ACAGAGGAGTCTTAGCAGAAGAGCAAAGCCAGGCAAGGCTGCATCCATCTGCCTGCTAAGGATCCATCACCATCACTCGACACACAACGGACCTGGCAAACACACCAGATCCAGAGAACTAAACCAAAACACAAGCACCGATATCCATATTCAGTCCAGTCACAACATCCACAACACGGCAAACAGGCTGACTTCATTTTTATAAGCACGTACACTGTGAAATAGTCTAAAATCAAGCAAGATTCATCATGGCATGATATTATCTATGACCAGAATTTATTTGAAATCAGAATTTGAAACAGAGTCATTATGCATTGCATGGATGTAGAGCTGAGACTAAGGATGCTGCTGATGTTGAATATTACGGTTATCTGTCCTTTCCAATGAACCAATAAAATAACCAGCATGCCCTTAAACCATTAAATGCACATGAGAGCACATTCTGATACAACAGAATTGAGCATGTGATTAATGAACATCATCTGCCTGCCAATGAATTCTGTAAGTCCAATGAAAGTAAATAACAGAGAGGGTTCAGTGCGTCTGTCAGACTGCTGAGTCTTCAGGATTATGTCAGTCAGATTCTGAAGTATGATCCACCGGACAGTTAATCCAAGCCATCAAGCGGGCCTCATCTTCTGGACCATACGAACGCAATTACAACACGGGCTGTAAATCTGAATTGTACGCACATCTTTAGTCAATTTTCATTTATTGATGGGAACCAATCAAGATGCTAGGGCTTGTGTCCCAAGAGGGTTGATGGCAGAACCTCAATAGTCTTATTTCACAAAACACTTACTGTCTTCTGCAGATCTAACCAGTTCAACCAGAGAGAACATTTTTACATGTCACGCTTTAAGAAAAATGGGATAGACTTCTTCTAGCAATGTACCACTGGTCCTTTTGATCAGCCAGGTTCGTTTCCTTTGAAAATCTACTGGATGTCACTTTGTTAATCCCTTTTTTAAAAATAACTAGCTGCAGATGACATCATAGTGCCCAGTATGACATCACCTGCAGGCTGCGTTCCAAGATAACGGATCCCGCAGCTCTCCAGAATTGAGAAGCTCATGAGACACTCTATGAGGACAAAGCAAACCAACAGCCAGATAAGGGCTGATGGGTGAACAGACTGCAGCACGCATATGCAAGACAAAAGGCGGGGGGGGCGAGAGTCCTCCCGCTCTGAAATAATTTAAAAAATCATGTTCAAATTTACATTAATTTCCCCCCTTGTGAAGCTCCCTTCCTCCTCAGCTGAGACTGAATTCAGTGAATCTATTATTAAAACAAGATACAAGGTCACACAAGAATCATTTCCTACAGCAAATCAGACTGCTTTCAGCAAGCGTAAAATTTCCTTTAAAAACAGTCTATGCGTATTTTGTGTCCCCACAGCAAAAAAAGCATCAGTCTTATTGCCAATTTACCACCAGAGCCAAGCAGTGTTTCGGGTGGGAAACACCTTTCTAAACAGACTGATGAAGCACGGTGGGGTGAAATGCAGGGGGGGGGGGGGGGTCATAAGTCACGACAGAGACATGAACACAAAGGCGTAGCTTTGGTTTCAACACTGGTAGGGACCCCCCTGCCCCCCAAAAACACACACAGTGCTCCCACAATATTGTCCATATCCAAATCTACACCCCGGCATGAATATTTACCTGCTCAGCCAGCACCTTAAATGACCGACAGGGTTCAGTATTCTGCTGAAGCAACTTACTCAGCGCTCCCAGAGCAGGGCTGCATCTGGGAAGGCATCACCCCCCCACGACAGCAGCACTCCGGGTGGGCAGGGGCCCCACCTATCGCAGCTACACCTGCACCTCCGTCCCTTCCCAGCATGCCTCTGCCGTTAAAATGGGCACCTCTACCGGTGACCTTCACAGACCAAGCACCACTCATCTGACGCCATGAGGACAGCAAAGTCATCGGCATCTCATTTCCACCCTCAAAGGTCACTTCCACGCCAGGTCATAAACGTCTCCTAATTAAGGTTCAGACTGAAACCGTCAGAAATTATATGCCTGGACCCGACCGGCACGACAGAGTACCATTTTTTCTCTAGTATTTTAACTTTGTAGTGCCGTTTGAAATTAATATTTAATTTTTATATACAGATACTGGAACACTTCACCAGAATATGAACATAACACATACCTTTAATTTAAGATGTATTACGTTTAAAATGTATTGTGCTGCAGTCTTAGACCACTTCTGATATATCCTAAAGTGGATTACTTCCTTTGTAATCTTGACTCATCTTTGAATTAAGGAATTCTCATTAGAGATGTCACAGGTGGGCTGTGGACCCAGCTGAATCAGTCACGCTCCGAAGGCGCCAGAACACATCCGGCTCCTTGTGGCTTCACGGTGGGATCCACTAGCGGCTCACCGCCATCGCCCGCCGGCTGCCTCTTCGCGGCTGGGCCGCCACACTACGCACCCACCGCTGCGGGCCATGTTCTAATTAATCTCCTCATTTTCTTCAGATTGACTTGTGTGCCGAGTCGAGCTCAGACGCTGGCGAGCTACAGCTCTGGGAGAGTTAGAGACCCTCTAAGCCGTTAATCGCGGCTCTTTCTATATTAAGTCACTCACTTTGACACGACTTTCCTCTTAAACTGCCTCTCTTGTGGGTAAACTCTTTTCACACTTAAATCTGTCGCTGCGCACGGTTACCGAAACGCTTACACCAGGACTTACCGCAGCTCGGTTTTGCCAAATGTATCTTCGTGAAATATTTCACCGACTTGCCACTTTCCCTCATTCCTCTAAATGCCACCCGAATAATTTGTTGGAAAATTACTCTCGCCAATTGATTTGATTCGTCCAGGGCAGCTGGGGGGGGGGGGGGGGGTGGTTCCCTGCTAGCATACAGCGTGAAATCTAGCAGCAGGGCATCACGCATTAGCGGCCAGCTAATGTGTCATTCAGTGGAAGCTGGAAGGCAGCGAGGAGGCTGGCAGGTCACAGGCGCCTGGAGGCCCCTACTTTTGTACACCTGAGCACGGTAAAGAACTGGGGGGGGGGAAACAAACTGCAAATATCATTTGGTTAAATTCCAGGAGCCCCCACTAATGCTTGAAAGGTATTAGGCCGCAGAGCACTACTGTCTATACAATGAGGGAAACCAATGCTAAATATTAATGTACAGGTCTGTATGAGGCTTATTTATTTGCATATTTATTTACATTTATGGGAATGTAATATATTTACATCCATTTCATTTACATTTTACTAACTAACTAAATTTATTTACATAACGTACTCGTACAGTACATACTGTACCATATTAGAGACTCTTAGCTGCATAGATTATCTAGTCAATAAACACACAGCAGCCATTTTTCCACACCACTGGTGACCTACTTCTGCGTTTGTGGACGTCCTAATAGCCTTAGTGAGTCTGGCCCTTCCCCTCAGGCCTTTCCCATTAATGGCTTCTTTCTGGCCAAAAACACCTTTCATTGGATGTTTTGTTGTTCATGCCACCATGTTCTGTGAACTATGGACGGCGTAGTGTGTCACAGTCACAGGAGGGTGACTGTTCCTGAGATGCCGGAAGTACGATGCATGGCCCCAACAACCACAGCACATTCAAAACTGCTGATATCAGGCGTCTTCGCCTTGGACCTCTCTATTGCTCAGTCAAAGACCATGTGAGCCACTGGCCCTGTCTAACTCATTCAACCAAGTAACTTACCTGATCACACTTGGTTTAATTTTAAAAATAATAAATGAAGCTCACATGTTATCCATTCTCACTAAACCATTCCATCAATCTGGCTGCAATCTGCTTACGGGTCACTTACTGATTTTGACTGATCCATTGTGGTGCTGTGAAGTATTCAGTAATAGCCTACATTAACTGCACCTTCATAATGCATTCATAGAACGGTCATAAGCAGCATGTAAGTACACCATAACATCCCAAAATACCTTAAAACAGCTTTAGAAATATTCAATGATTACACTATTATAATGTTTGTTATTATTATGTAATGTTTGTTATTAATGTATATTAAAGCTGTTATGGCACATTAGCATGTTATGTATACTTACGTGTTGCTTATGAATGTTCTACGAATGCATTATAAAGGCATTATGGAGGTGCAGTTTATATAAAGCGTTAGTAAACATTCCATAACATGTGTCTCTGAAAAATTATTTCAGCATTTCCCAATCATTTCAATTTGAATGTTCTGGCTGACTCATAGATTACTTTAGTGAGCTGCCAACATTTAACGTTTACATTTTGCAAGTTCCTGTCTTCTCAGATTAAAAAGCTTTAGCAAAGTCTGTTTTTATGACCAATTTCTCTGGGAAGATTCAATTTCACTTTACAATAAAAAATTTCACAAGCTTTACAGAAAACCAGCACATCCATTAATTTTGTAGTGAGCCATATTTCTATTTACACCAGTCTATGTTTGTACTGTCTGCAACTGTTTTTATGGTAAAATGGACAATAAAGGCACAGTTCAGTGAGCCAAAGCCCCTTTTGTATGATTAGCAGAGGACACATACAACCTGTTCTTCGCATTTTAGGAACAAAACTTTCCCGACACTTAGTCAAAACACAAAAAAATGATTGCAATGCCTGCGATCTCAATGCACACGATAAACAACTGCATTTTTCACTGTTCGATGAGCAGATAATTACACATTTACCTTCAGTTCACTGATCCATTAAAAGGGAATTTCACTGAAATGTTTGCCCTCCTCACAAGATATCATAGCCATCTTTTGTAAAACCGTGCAGTGGTTCCTGTCGATTGATACATTCAAGCCTCCTATTTCATTTGCAAACTCTTTCTATCATCCTCGGCTTCCCATAAGCCTTTGGTGCCTTAAAGACATCCGTAGCCTAGATGTTACCAAAATATTTACGAGGAATTGTAGAAGAATCCAAAACATGCAATTATACTTAAGACAATTTCAAAACACAATTAAAAAACAGTACAGCCCCTACTCCGACCACCCCACATACTCACCTTCTGATCCTGGGCCTTTGTGGTGAAAACACTCACACGACAGGCAAGCAGCGGGCAACAAAAAGGGGTCTTTGTCTTCCCATCATCCTCTGCACAGACCCAGCCTGGCGAGTTCTCCTCTCCTGAAGAAGGAACAATTTACAGGCCATTTTTATCCTATGGAATTGACGCGAATAATGTAACCACCACAACTCCCAACTCATGCTCTAGCCTTATTTTGTTTAGTCACGGAGTTTTTCCTCCTGTCATTCCGACGAGAGACGAAGTAACTCAATGGAACATTTCCCTAAATTTTATAACAACCCCAGATCTTAGGATAAAAGGATCAGATAATTTCAATATTCCATTTTTTTTTATCCATTTACTAAATATATTTGAATATATATCGAGCACAGGGGTCGAGATTATCTCCCCCTACAGTATGTTGACATAAGTTCCACCACCCATGGATAGGCTGCTTCCTCTAGGTTCACTGAGGAACCTAAAGGAGATACAGATTCCAGGTTCTCCATAACACTGTATTGGATACGTGATTGAAAGATGGGTGGGTCATTATTGCTTTCTGTGTGAAAATCACATTTTAGTGAGGACATCAGGCAACTTCGAACCCCACACTGAAACTTTTTCAATTTATGCAAAAAACTTTTATCATGCCTTTATTAAAACACAGCACGCGTAACACCACATTCCTGCACCTTTTGTTCCCTTTAAAGCTGAAACTCTGAGACTTATTTCATTTCTGTCACCAGTGCCTGATTCAGGTGTCTGTAACGGCTAACATATCTGACTTACACAGAGGCTGCTGAGATAACTCAAGCCGGCCCTCAATTTAATTAGAGTGAGCTTCTCAGTCATCATCTGTGGAAGGTAACATGCCTTATTCTGTCATTCCTCATGCTTTATTGTGTCTCTTTAATGAACCAAATCCCCCCGCCATCAAAGACCTGAACACGGTGCAGAAATGTTCAAAGGTACAGTAAAACATTAGTTAGCCAGTAAGATGTAAGGATTAGCCTAGATGATGGCAGGATGCATGGCCATAGCTGAGTCCGGACCTTCCATAATCAGCAAGTGACTGACAAAAATAATGGAGTCATTCAACTGCTCTGCACACCTGGACCACCTTTGCAAATTAATCAAGCTGAACTTGTCTTTGAGCCGCCAAACTGCCGACCAGCTTCATGCCACCAGTAAGTGCTGATTAGCAATGTGCTACACATTGTTCTCTTGAATGCTGCATTGTGAGCCACAGCAGCCCATCAGGAAATGAGCTGAGATGCGTGTGGAATAACCGTCGCAGATAGTGGCGAAGCGGAGGGAAGCTTGCAGGTCGAGTCACCAGATCTTCCACTGTAGCAATGGAGACCCACGATTTTCAGGTAGAGGTTACCCCTAGTGAAGCCCAATTTTAAGGAAGCACTCACGCTGGGCAACCTTGGCCAGATGCAGACGATTCACCCAGGAGATCTTGCTGAGGGGGTTGGGAGTGTTGAAGACCACCATGAATCTGACGGGATGTCCTGACCTTCGGTGGAAAACAGAAGCACAGGCCATTATGTAGTCAGCAAGGGTGGAAGAATGTTCACATTTTTGGGAAACAGAACATGTGGTGAGAGATTAGAGACATGGATTAAGGGAATTAATGGATGTGAACCAAGGCTGCAGATGGTTCTAACAATTCTGGCCCCAAGTTCTTCAAGGAACAAACTGCCCTAAATTTCGCCCAAAGAGTACAACGACAAACAGTTCTTAAATGGTCATTAATTACCAAGAAAATTACAAGAGAATTTTGGCAATGAGCACAAGGAGAAGAAACAAGGTTGCTGAAGCTGGTATATTCACAATAGCATTGTTGGCGGTGATAGAGTGCTGTGCTATCTTGAATGTCCTACCACTCCGGACATATACAAGCTGTCGCTGACTTTACTACTTATGGATTCAACCTAAACCTAAGGAGAATGGTTATGGGTCTCACAATGAGAAATGGGAAGGTAATCTTTGTACAAGATGGGAATACAAATGTACTACACATACATTATAATGTTTTCATACTGATTTTGAATTTCCATGAAAATAAGACACCACTGTCTGGTTATAAAATAAGGATGTTAAAACGACAAAATATAAAATATTTCCTATAAAATTTGAAATCATTCTGATTATGATTTAATGGTCTTACCCTCAATTGAGTTACACCAAAATAAGAATTGCAGAGACTGACATGAGCAATGTTACGGTTAAGCATCAGGTTATTTATAATCCTTGAGCGCTGAGTGATTGATGAGTGATAGGGAAGAATCCCTATCAGGGCTAACAGCCAATCAGGCTGCCATCATCTCTGAGACCTTATTTTGTGATGAACCAATCCCATAATGACCTCTTCCTGGACTTGTAGGTCCTTTTGCTGTAGTTCTGACATTTTAACATGAGTCTTTAAAAAGCAGGGTGATTGGAGCAAGCAATGTAACGTTTAAATGTCAAGATGACCCCTGCACTACTTGATCTGAGAAGCTTCATTAAAATATATGTCTATAAATGAAAAAAAAAAAATATATATATATGTTTTTTTTTTCTTTTTCTATTTTTCTCTATTTGCTGTATTTGAACGCTAAATAATGAATCACGGTGTAACTGAAACCCGAAAAGCTAGCTGATGTGTTAATTTTTTTGTACGTTCAAAAACATTGCGCGTTTCCCCCAAACCGGTGACGCATGACATTTGTATGGTTGACATTCCGCCGCCCCAGAGGCAGAATATTCCAGAAATGGAGCCATTTACAAGCTGTTCCTTGTAACGGGCTCCTTGTGTACCCACGGCAAGAGCGCCATCCGCTAACTATGTCACCTGCCACCCCACCCCACCCCACCCCCTGGGGACCTGGCCACCTGCCACTCCACCTGCTCCCCCTTCGAGTGCCGGTGTGATGATCGGCCACACGGCTTTAGTTCGTGCCTAAGCCCTGCTCTCGCTTGCACGTTGGTCTACCCTGTGTGCTTTACTTAGGCCGTCTGCCACTGCAGAGTGAAATACAGCATGCAGTCACGCCTAATGCTGGCACACAAACACCGCAGCCGAAAAATGCAATTCGCCGGGAAATCTGCGGGCAGGAGAATCATGGGAAGGCTCACCAGTATAAGCTGATGTAAACCCAGATACGCACCAGTTATCTTGCTGAAGGTTTTGGACCCTGGAAGACCTTGGATTAGAGTACAACTGGAAAGATCCAAAGATGACCAGCAACCTTTTGGTCAAAATTCCATAATATCTTCTGCCCAGAGGTGGAAAGTTCAGGTCCAGAAAGTACAAATACAGACTAAGGTTTTGTTTCAACCAACCGGTTGAGTTCTCCGTGACTGTGACACTTTATACTCAACTGGATGGATGAAACAAAAACCTTGATCTGGATTTGTACTTTTTGGCCTTGAACTTTCCACCTCCTGCTGCTGCTTCATAGCACATGGCCAAGTAAGAAGAGTTGATGTGAGTTAGAGGACCTGTCAATTATTGCCAATGAGCATCAAGCTGTGCTACTAAAGCAATAATCGATAATAATCTGCTAACTCCACTCTGTATCAGAGGTGTGTTTTAACTGACAGACCTGCATGCCAAGTCCGTCTGTATGCAATAAATTCAGTTCGTGTCACAGTTCAGAAATATTCGGTACTTGGATACAATTTTGTCTTTTCTTAAGATACATGAACTCCATACCAAAAGAATCATTGCAGACTTTGAGGATGAACAAAGCAGCTCGCGACCTGCCGGCTGCTTAAATTGCAATTGATTGGTCAAAATGTAGCATGGAAATCTCCCGAAAGGCTGAATTTTTGTGATTTCAGCCAGCCCTGCGGCTGGTGGAACTAATGGAGTTTAGTATTTTACACTAATTATTATATGTTTATCGGAAGCATGTAAATTTCAGCACAGTGAGGCATGAGGAGTCATTGTGAGAATCATTCGGCACCCAGGCAGCTGAAAATAGTCCTGAATGGTTTCTACTGAATGGTCTATTCAAAATATGATTCTGCTATTCAGAATAATGGCTATCCAGATCTGCATTCAAATTAACATTGTAACGTCACTTTCCATTGCATATTGCAGATTCTGTGGGACATCTCTACCCTCTAAAACTCTACCTGTACTCCACTACACCCTGAACTTCACACCTACTTGTCTGGTTTCCCTGGGACCAGCAGACGAAGGCGGCACTTGTTGGCACTCTGGATCTCGTCCTCCTTCATGCGGATGAGCCTCTGGAGAGCAAGACACCAGTCCTGCCCCACCGTCGTATTCAGGTTCTACAAACGGAGAGGTGTGAAAGATTCAAACACCCCAGTCTTGCCCTCCTCCCATATTCAGGATCTGCAGACAGTGTGTTTGTGTATGAATATGAGCATGTCAGGCTCCAGTCTGATGCATAAAAGGAAAGACAAATATTCTCCTGGTAACTGCATATGTAGCAGTTGAAGGCAGTTACAGGAAATTATTGCACCGTCAATGCTGGTGCCCACATAAAGAGCATTTTTTATTGCTTACATCGGTATGCATTTCCAAACACAAATTACGTGTTTATGGTTAATTAGCTACATAATGGTACAACAGCAGTTCCTTAATCCTTTACGTTTCCTATCGTCTCAAGCAAATCTCAGGCTGCTTTGAACACATCCTAAATAATGCATAGTGTCATGGCAGTTGAACATGCCGTTTGCCCTTAAGACCTGCAAAGTGCTGAGCCAGATCCGTCGCTGATATCATCTATCCGTCATGTCCCTGGGCTTTTCAAAAAAATCGCTCCAGATTACACATCTCAAAACTGCGCCTGGCACGTGACTAAGTAATTCCATTTTGAGACTGACAATAAAATTACCCAAACATTCCATATCCCACATATCAGTTAAATGATGGTATCCACCAGAAACTGCCAGAAAGAACAATGGTTTTCTTCACTTTACGCCTCAACTTGCTGTGTGTATGTCCAAAACAAAATTAAAATATTTAATAAACACAGATATAATACTTAGTGTAGTTATAGTAATTGTTCTTACCAAAAAGTGTAACGTTAACTTCGAATCATAATACTGAATTATATGTCTGAGACAGGAAGTAGGATGTTCCAGTGGAAGAGGGGGATTATTATTCGCTTTCCGAAACCTTCTTTTTATGTGTATAACTGTATTTCTCTGAATTTTGAAGAGTTATAAAGAAATGACATGTCAAACAATAAGAGCCACATTCATAAGCTAAATGTACAGTAGACTGGAAATGGCCGGATGTACCTGGTACGCTCCTTGCAATGTTCCCACAAGCAGTGTGATCTCCTCCACCACGGAGAGGTCATGCTCTAACTCCTGCAGCTCCTGGAAGAGTCGAGGAGGTCCAAGGAAGACCTTTCCTGGAACAGGAAGTCACATCATCAACTAAAAGATGTTAAGACACCCTTTTCATCTCACCTCCAACCTCCAATTCATTATCAAAACAGGCGCGCTGCATCATGATGTCAGACTCCAATGTGCTAAAAAACACCTGCAAAATAACAGAAATCTGTGAGAGTATGATTGCATTAAGCTTGGGAGTATGTCAGCATCACCAACAGCTGTCACGGCTCGAGCTGTACTCTGTCAAACCCTCAATACTTTGTCCTATTATCTGTGCCGGGTGATGTGTGATTTATTTATCCCTATTGTTTGTTCAGCCACAGAACCTAAATCCAATAAGTAAACATTGTGGCCACTTTGAATCAGAATGGCCCATTGCCTTGCAAGAAAGGCACACGGGTCTCATTAAACACAAAACGCTCAATCGATTAGAATCACAGTTCTAATGCAGGCTCTCACTCCTGACTTTCGCCTTTGCAGGCAATCAATAGCTTTGTTTCACTCAGCACGGTCGCTGCCTTAGTTCTCTGCATTGTACAATCGAAAGACACAGCGACGCCTCATTTACAGATGAGAACTTTAGGCCGGCTCTATGTCACATAAACCCTGGTGAAACAAGTGGGCAACAGCAGGCATCATCATGATATCCAATAAGCCTTGACCATTTAAACAGTAATATGATTGCTCTGCAGGCCATTGGATTTGAACCCACAACCTGCCAAATACAGGCATGGATCCAAACTGATTGTCCCAATTTAGCCCTCACTATAAACAGAGTTGGACTGGTGCCAGCCACAGCCTAAAGCTCAGCCAAACCCTGCTACCCTGAGGATGCTGTTTGGCTTCTATGAAATCTGTCCCCTGTGCATTAACTTAATTCAGATTATTTTTATATAGCGCCCTCCACAGCAGAGTTGCCCCAAGGTGCTTTACATCTTTACATGGGTGTGTTGTAATCAGTGGTGGGTACATCAACCACAACATTTCGATAACCACTAATCTGCTAACTGCAAAGTCAAATTAGAGAACCCTAAACTGACAAAGCACTAAAAAATATAGTGGAAGCTGACAATAACTACTAACTACTTTTACTTAGATGAATTCATATGAATTTAGCTTTGGTTAGGTTTTTGGCTCTGAAACCTTTCAGTCAGTCTGGGTAAATGTAATTGATCGAAGACAAAGCCCATTTAAACTACAGTACCAGGAATCCGATAGGTTACCCATCTAAGCAAGAAATCCAGCTTTGTAATGTTCTCCACTTAGTTCAGGGTACCCGAGTTTAAATTGACTTTATCTTTATTCATTTACATTTAGCCCAGATTATGCTAAATCCGACAAGTAATCGACCACTCATGTCTTGGGTTTACACATAGTCAGCCAGCAGCGTGCCAGATAGACTATTGCAGATACACTCACATCAGTCAGGAACAAGTAGCCTATGTATTAAACTTTATTCACTTTACCTGTAAAAAAAATCCTAAGAGGCTAACATTAGTGGAACTAAATTTAGCGGAAGCTAATTGATCCATAATGGTTTCCAATGTTAGCGCAAACACTAAGCCCCTAATGAAAACGTTAGCTTTGCTAATTAGCAGTTAGCAAAGCCCTGCCCACCACTGGTTCTAATACATCGCTATATCATTTACTCATTAAATGTCAGCAGAAGGGTGCTCAAGTAAGTTGTTCTCCACCCTAATCCTTACATGATGACAGAATCTGCAGTAGGTTTGATCCATGGTGGGCAGGAGCTTCAGCTCAGTCACAAGTGTAAGTGCCAGCCCACCTGCCTTAGGAAGTCAGATGCCACAGTCAGGAATAAACAGTGACAAGCAAGTCATCTGTATCCAATTCAGCTTTGGGTCCTGTATGTGCTGGGATAGGCTCAAGCGCCCCATGGCTCTGTGCTGGCTGGGTGGATGGATGGATGGATGGATGGATGGATGGATGGATGGAAAGCAACAAACCGACCCTTGTCTAAATACGAACCTACCACATTTCCTTGATTGCAACAAGTTCTTGGAGCAGGACTCACAATTACCGACGGGTGAATGTACTATTACTGCTTTGCCACGATTCTCTGGCACACAGCTATGGGAGCACAGAGTCCCGAATTCTTTGATTTCTGCCTTGGATTTGGGACAATGGGAGAAGAAGGATCATGGGAGTTCCCAGGGGGACAAGCTATTCCATCAATAAGTTGGGATTGCTGGAGAAGAAAAATGAGGCCATTTAAGCTGATGTGGGAGGTACAGTGGTGGTGGAGGCAGTGGTGGTAGTGGTTTGGGGGGGGGGGGGGGGGTTGGCGACGGCTGGATCCCTCACTCTACAGCCTGAAGGCAGCTTGCTGTGACTGAGTGCAATTAAAGCAACCAATTCTGACGCATCACCAAGCGTACATTCCTAAGCAGGCAGCTCTCAGACCCGCAAATTTTACTCGCTTCTGCCAAATCCACTGCAAGAGCAGAAAGAAACGCATCGTCAATACTTCAGCGAGATCCTCGCCGACGTGGGGACTCGCAGCACCAGGCACGGGGCTGCCCCAGACTTACAGAACAAATACATTCCAGTTCACAAAGCGCGCACACCGACCGCGAGATTCAAACCTCCTAATTAAATGTAATCTAATCCATCTCTCCAGACAGAAGGCAACACTCTAAACAAACATATGGTTTATCAAAGCATGAAATGAGATTGTGATCACGCCTCAGTGTTTAAAATCACAGCCTAAATCGCTGCAGTTTCCTCTTTCTTATACATCAAGAGCTCAGAGGTCGATAAATGAACCAGCTGTAATGCAAATTCTGTATTGGGGCAGGAAAAGCGTTTTTTTTTTTACTTTTATTGCTACTTGAGTTTTGATGATTTTAGGGCTACAAAACAGCAAAAATGAGAGCACCCGAAGGCTTGGTGACCTCCACTTGCTCACCTGAGATGTTGGTGTTGCTGGCCCTCTTGGTCCCGCTGTGCTGGAAGAGGGTCTCTTGGGTCTCCGACGCGTCCTGGCCAACTTCCACCACCTTCACCTGCAGGAGAGGGGCGCTCCACTTCACCGTGTACTTCGGACCCACCGGAACCAGACTGCTGATGTCAGACGGACCCCTGATGGCGAAAACACATGTTTGATACCTGGTCCTCGCTGATTCTGGGTCAGAAGGTCAGGGTGGGGGCTTTGCGGCTGATTTCATGAAAATCAGGGGAGAAGCTTTATGAACAAACGATGATTTCAACCACACAATTAGGAGGCAAGGTGAAATTAAAACCTGCATTCTGACAGCGTTTGAGGACGGTGATTGTCAATGTCTGCTTTAATTAAAGATCTCAGAGCGACAAAGATTACAAACAGCACTTTGGATAATCATCGAAAAAAGGCCCGGTTCAGGAAATTAGAACATTTATGATCAGCGTTATTCATAAGCACCCGAACATCCCTGTCGCTTCGACGACACGTCCACATTGCTATTCATGGATCTGCGGTAATCACGCACAATCAGCAAACGGCATCGGCCCTTTAAGACTGAGGTGTGCATGGGAAGCCCAAATCGTGGAGATCTTTTGAGCTCAGAGAAACGCAGAAAGATAATTATTTTCACGCTGCGAGCAAAAAAGCCGTGATAAATCGTTTAGGGCAGACGGAAAAAAAAAACTTTACCTGAGTTCATCAGTGATCTGAGCAACATTACTGTCAAACCTATTACTGTGAGGGGGAAAGGGAACAGCAGAATTTTCAGCAGTGACTGATGATGATGATAGTGACAGTGAAATGAGCAGGCAGTCTCTGAATGAGGAACAGAACTCTTACTGCTGTGTAACTCCTGTGTAAATAATCAAATAACTGGAAAGGAGGGCTGGTGTATTGCTGTTAGTGTGCCGGGGAACATGTTTGATCACGGTCGTCAGGGAAACCGAAGGTGGCCGCTGGCCGACTTGTGGGCGCTCACTTGATGTTGATGTTGGCGCAGATGAGCGTGTCGTTCAGGAGGAAGACCTTGCGCTCCTTGGATTTGAGGACCTGCCCTTTTTCCCCGTACACGGTCTCGATGAGCGTCTCACAGAGGATCAGCTGCCTCTGGTCCGAGTTCAGCAGCTACGGGCAGAAAAGGAAATCATGTGACAGTTACACAAGCAAATGCAATGTCTGACATACGTAAATACATTTTAAATGGAAGTTCTGTGGTATAAGGCTTTGTGAGAAGTCAAGGCACTATTGATGTGATATTGATATATGTATATATATTATTATTTATAAAAAACTATATTACAGGTTAAAAAAAAAGATGTTTAACTGAACTGCTCTTTAAAAATAGCAATAGCGTGAATGAGGCTTCAGACCCTGGGTGGGATTATCCTGTGTTGTCAGTCACATTGGTTAAAGCGCTACCTACTGAAAGCAACCTAAAGTTTTGTTATGTAATTATACTGCCCACTAGAGGCCACTAGAGGCACAGGCAGGAAAAATAAATCGGTCGAATTTTTGAAAAACGCTGCCTGCTGCCCTTTGCTCAATCACAAACTACTTTGAAACTGAAAGTAAACTTAGTTTCGACATCCTGAGACATGGAGGAACACAAATCACTATAAGATATTAAAAAAGGGAAGCTTCAAAGAGCATTAAGCTCCCCAGTCGACCACCCACAGGGCTACATACTGCTCAAAAGAGAGAACCTCGTGTTTAGAAACAAAGAAGAACTTCAAAGCCAGAAATGCTTATTTAGTTCTTGAACATGTCCTGGGATACTGTCAAAAGTAGACTTTAAGAACACATTAGGGAATGCATTGTTTAACCTCATTAGAAATCTGAGGCTGTGAGACTATTAGGGATTGATGATTCACCATCTGTCATTATGCAGCACTGTATTTATCAATGAGTGCATCTAAGTATGTCTTCCTATCTACCCACACATACAGACAGACATCTTTCTGTGTGACTTTGGCTCTATTGTCGTGTCTTTATTGTCACCGTATCTGTGGGTAGTACAGAGCTCACAGAAAGTCTTGGGACACTTGCTTAATTCAGTAACAATACTGCAAATTTATTGGTTTTATAACAAAATCATCACTTTATTCTTTGTTTGGATAAAATATATATTACATTAGAAATAACTGGAAGTTTTAACATAAAACATTAATTTCAAGTAGTAATAAATTAAACCCAAATTATAATTCTAAAAGAGTGTTCTGAAAAATTCATTGACTAGCAGTCTCATTGGGTGCTTTTTAATTACTAACACCTTTGCAGTAACATAAAACACCAAAGATGTCTTCAGTATCCCTATGGGAGCCAGTGACTAAAACTGTAATTAACAGCAGAATGGCAAGAACAGAACTGAATGAGTCAGTCAAAAAATTATGATGCTTAATAAAAAGAAAATGTCTTCGTGGAAAATATGTGCTGATCTTTTAAATGTTGCTTATCAATTGACTTTTGTTATGAAACCAGTAACCATTATTACAGAATTAAGCAACTGTCCCGCGACTTTCTGTGAGCACTGTATGTGTGAGTTTGTATCCTCGAGTTGACACCTGTTTGTCTGTGCACCTGCACACATTTGGTCACAGACTCTTGGTCAGTGTGCTTTTTAATAATAATATTAATAACTGATACTTTATTGATCCCCGTGGGGAAATTGTTTTGCTGGGTGCGGCGGCGAGCGCGGCACACGGACCTTGCCGAGGTTCCGGTCACTGACGCTGCGGGCCAACTGCTGGATCTCAGACACCTGGTCGGCCACCCGCTTCTGCTCGTTCAGCTTCTCGGCCAGCGTCTCCAGCTCAGTGAGGGCCAGCTGCAGGGGCAGCCGGTCAGGGTGGCCTTTCGGAGTGTTCTTCAGCATGTCCTGGGCGAGAGCAACGCACAAGGGCCTCTGGTAAACACTTCAGGCACCTGCCGCACTGTTATTAAATAACACAGATGTTCTCGGCACCGTCTGTTATAAAGCAACAGACGACAGGTAACATTTTCATTATGTGCTGACATATTACGACTTAACAAGCATTGACACATCTAGTGAGCTTATCTACAACAATGGGTTTTTTTTTACTTTTTAATAATTAAATTTTATTAATTTACACAACTGCCACCTAGAGGTCAGCATGTAGATTCTAAGAAGCTTTTATACAGCAAGTTTAAATAGTAAAAGTTTTAGCCACTAAAAGATTCTTTAGTGCCAACAAATGCCTGATGAGAGCTTTGCCAGTATGACATATATTTCTTTCGCAATGACTTTCAGTTCCTCTTGCCGCATATTTATGGGTAATTCCAATGCAAACTTCTGGATTTTGGTGTATGCATAACTTGATTTCCCCATGTTTAGAAAAAGGTTTGGCTAAAGTGATAAGTAAGGATTTGACCTCATGACATGCATTTTATGGAAAGAACTATGACTATTGGATCTTAATGAGCTTCTGAACCCAAAAGAATTTCTTGTGCATTTTCAACAGCTTTGGTACACTACAGTATTTGCAACCAAGATCAAGTGAAAATATGTTAATTCTGATGATGTCCACACAACCAGAACATTTTGTTATATCTGTATAACTAGTACACAACCTTCTCAGGACAGGGAAACTGCAGTGACAGCTCAGTTTTATATTCATTTCTTCTGCATAAATCACAAAGCTGAAAAGCCTGTTTAGAATGCCATCATCGTTGAATGTCTCAGAGGTGCTTCAGTTAAATATAAAATATAGATCTCCTTAAGGCAGTCCTTCCCAACTCGGTCCTTGGAAACTCGCAGATGGTCCACAGATTTGCTCCCTCCCAGCTCTCTGCCAGACAGTCCACATTTCTGCTCCCTCCCAGCTCCCGGCCAGACAGTCCACATTTCTGCTCCCTCCCAGCTCTCTGCCAGACAGTCCACATTTCTGCTCCCTGCCAGCTCCCAGTAGGAGCAAAAATGTGCACTGTCTGCGAGTCCTCAAGGACCAGACTGGAAAGCACTTTCAGATAAGTATTACTTCCATTCTCCACTCCACGGATCTCAGATTTGTGAGATCACTGCACCTGCTTCTTTTTCTAACCTACACTGGCATGTCAACCTCTAACAAGTAATATATGTTAAATCTCAATTAACTTAGATTTCAGACATGTGACTTAGCTCTCATTTTTAAATACCTTTTATACTGCTAGGAGGTTTAATAGAATAGAATTCCTTTACTGTTGCTGCAGATGAATTCAAATCCAACAAAATGTTCGTGAGAGTGAAGCTGGAGATCAGAGAGCGAGGTCAGCCATTTATCTGACGCTCCTGCAGCAGTTTTTGGGGTTAAAAGTCTTGCTCAAGGACCCCACAGTGATATGATCATTCTGCCAACCATGGGATTTGAACCAGCGGCCTTCTGGCCACCCACACACAAATTACTTTAGAAGATACTGCACTGAATACAGAATAAATCACATGACTTAACCAATAAAATTTGAAAAAAATACAGAAATCTACCCAAGTTTTGTCAAACGCTGCCTATGTACCTGTGTCCTAAGATACACTTTCGCCCCTCTTTAAAACAGGATACCAGGCAGGACAAAACCGTCCCGAGAGCACAGCCTTCAGGCTCTGACCTGCAGCAGGAGGATGAACTGGGGGAAACGCTGGATGGGCTTCACCATCAGGCCGTAGAGGGTGATCCTATCCGCACTGGAGGCCTGCTTCTTCTGGGCTCAGAAAGCAACAGGATACGCTTGAGTGAGCATTTACCTGATGCTTAACATGGGATTTCAGCTAGAAGAGAACTGAGAACAGACTGCATGAACTGGTAAAAAATTTTACATTACTGAGGACAGTGGTTGGTTAAGCAAGAAGGTGTAATGTGAGAATTATCATGACTAATGAATCATGGCCATGAAGAGAAACTTAATTCTTGGCTTCCATCTCCTTGCTTGCTACCTTGCTGATGAGGCCAAAACCAGCAATGTTTTGATTTGTATTTAGAAAAAAATGGATACTATTTTTGTAGCCCCATATAAAACAATAGCTTCTGCGTCTTTTACTGTAACGTGTGAAAATGCATTCAACAACAGTAATTATTTTATTCACTCATTCATATCGAATCACCAACAAAAAAGCCATGACTGACAAAATGACCTCTTCAGCTCTCTGGTCAGAAGGTAAACTATATGGACAAAACTATTGGGACACACCTGTCAATCACTGAAATTGGCTGTTACATTCAGACCCATTTCCACGGGTGTATAATGTCAAGCAGCTGCATGCGAGCCTCACATCACCAATTACAATGTCAAGCGTTGGATGGAGTGATGTAAAGCAGACACACTCCAGAATCTTGTGGACAGCCTTCCCAGAAGAGTGGCAGCTGTTACAGCTGCAAAGGGGGGGGCAACTCCAAACTGATGTCTATGGATTCAGAATGGGATGCCATAACAGTTCCTGTGGGTGTAATGACCAGGTGTCCCAATACTTTTGTGCACATAATATAGCCCCCTCAGAGAGAAAATGGATGCTTGGGAATGTCGAAGGGGAAAGAAAGTGGTCAATCACCTTGAGAAACTCCAGAAAAGCCGGTTTGGATATGCAGGCTTTTTTAATAAGGGCCATGGCGTTGGTGAAGTTATTGACGTAATCACTGTACACGTCGAGCACCATCGACTTGGAAAACTGCACAGACAAAAAAGACATGATGAGGTGTGCAGGCGGATTGAAGTTAATTTCAGTTATCTGAAACACTGAAATATTAGCCATGTAGATGGCAACACCTTCCCAGAGGTAAGTCAAATCAATGAATTGAAACTAAACATCTAAAAAATATTCATTGCAATCCAAAACTACTTTCCATGGGAAGCCAATTATGATTGTGTCTCTCTTCTAAGTAAACCAATCAGGAGGCTTCTTACTCTTAGTTATACCAGAGATCCTCAGTGAAATACAATGTAAAAGCTGAGTTATGGATGCTCATTATTAATAGTGTAAACAGCAACTGCATCTGTAGAAAAGCTAAATAAAAGGGTCAGGAAAGAGAATGTGTTTTGCTCTCAGGAGAAATTCAACATGAAGAAAAGTATCATTACTTAGGAAATTAATCTCTCTGTCTCACTCTTTAATACAAACAAAAGATCACCTGGCTTATTCCTAATAAACACCCACATACACAGACTGCGTGGCAAGAATTGTCAGTCTATCACAAAACAAAGTGACATCATCGCCAAACACCATCAGATTTCCACAAAACGTGTTTGACGTCAGTGTCCCTGGAATCTCACAGAGGCCACGAAGAGGTCACCGATCTTCTCGCTGTGGTCCCATTCGGCCACGCGTGATGCCAGTGCAATCTGGAACATGGAGTGGCACTGGCAGATCTCCCGCAGCCGGTAGAAAACGGGCCGGATCTTCCTGAGGCTCAGGATGCGGGGCTCGGCCTCCACCAAAGGCTTCTGGTACTCCTGTGTGGAGTAACAATGGAAGAGGAGGATCAGGCACTGACCCCATAGCAGTGGGTGAGCAATTCAGGCAAAATACAACTTTGTAGAATTCACTGCTAAGTCTAACCAGAGGGCCTGCTGCCCCTTCTCTGGCCTGTATCCGCTCTACAAAAGGTTCAGGGTGTCTCGCCTGTATAATTTACAGCCTTTGACATAGATTTATGGACGGAGGCCTGGTGCAAACAGACATGAGCTGAGTGGATATCATTGTAGCTTCATACTCCAGGGATATTGGTTGAATCCCTGCACTCAGCTCTGTGTTTATGCACTTTGCATGCTCTCCCTGTTCATGTATGGTTTCTCATATCTCTTCCTGCAGTTCGACAAACTGGTGCACCTAGAAATTCTAGGCCCCTTGACAAAATATCACCTTGGACCCCCCGGCCAATTTAACGTATAATTTTATGTTTTCAAGGACTGACACATGTAAAGTACTGCCCCCCCAGAAGCCCCCAGGGTATCCATGCTTCCCTGACCCCCCCGGTAAGGCATATTCAGCAATGGGCTGCCATTCTGTCAGGAGTGTCCCCTGGTTCTGGCCCTGTACCTGCTGGGGTAGGGGGCACGGGTTCCAGGTTAATACTGCGACCCTCTGCTGAATAAGTGGTTATGGAAGATGGATGGATGGATGGATGGATGGATGGAGGGATGTATGGATAAAGGGCAGGTACTTGGTCCCCTGTCACCATAAGCGATTTCTCTAAGACTACACGGGAATCCCTGCTTCCCCATAAAAATGCCAAAAATAACTGAATTAGTCAATGCATCAATGTAAATACATTTTATTTGCGATTAAAAGCGTAACCTGTCTTACTAATTGAACCACAGTTGCTTTTGACAACATGTATGTAAATTTTCCCTTTGAAACCAGCAGAAGTACAGCCCATAGATGCCCACTGATGCAGTGCTTCACTGGAAGTCTATGGAAGATTGTTGTATGCTTCATCTATGGAGAATAGACTAAAGCTTAATGGTGAATATGCTCTGATCACATATTTTTGGAATCCGCCCGGTCGCCGTTACTGAGAGTCTATGAGAGCATCATACATAGTTTACGCTGAGCTAACGCTGACTGGACAGACAGACCTGCAGTCAGATATTCCAGACCTGCCTGGAAGCCAGGCTTCTCTGCACAAGACAGGATAATCAACCAATAACTAAGAAATGCTGGCCTGCAGCATTCATCCATTCTGTTGCATGCAGGAGCGCAGAAGCATCTTGCTGAAATCCGGAGTGACAATTTATTGTGTTACATGTTATCTTTAGCCATCTGCATTTGTAAATATTGTAAATATAGTCACTGTCATTGAGTTTTTCGTTTGATCGTTTGCTTAATTTTCAAGTTGAGTAATTTTTAGGCGGCTAGTTAGTTAGCTTGCCAACTAAGCTGTGTGTGTGTTCAAGCTGAGCTAGAGGCTTTGAAGGAACATGGCGGACATCGCAGCTAATGCTGATTGCATTGTAAAGGAGTCCTCTGATGAAGGAGAGCGGAATTCATGTGCAAGGAGCTGCCCCGTTGAAATACATCTTGTCCATGGAGTGCCTCCCCCCACCCTAAAAATCACCCCCCGTCAGTGGCAGGCCACCCACCTGCAGGATCCTCTTCAGGGACTCAAGATAGCTTCGCTCGCTCTGGACAATGGAGCCCAGGATATGCCGTCTGACGACCTGCGCAGGAAACAACGTTCAGAGACAAAGAGTCGGATGCAACATACATTTAGCTGGATCTCTCCATCATTATGAAACCAAGTTAGCTGATGGGGCTATCCTTTGTGGGGTTACCCCCCCGCCGCCCCCCCAGGATGTATGAGAGATACCTAATGGCGCACGGCAAATTGATAAGATGTGGTGCGCCTGAGATGTAAAAGAAGCAACTTTAATTACGTTGAATTAGCAAAGCATGATTACACAGAATTAAGAAAACAACAGTTCTCATTTTATGCAAATTCTTGGCCTTGGCATGACTCGACACACAATGGAGTCCTAAATAAACAGGCAGAGGTGGAATCAGTCTTCATGGACAGTTTAGCAATGCTTTTTGGCTCATAATACTCAATTCGGAACAAAAACTAATAAAACAATTCATAATATGCTAATGAAACATAAATGCTAGAAATGTACAATCAGAAAATAATGTCATAGGCATAAAATTTCAGCATTAAAAACAGTGCATTTAAAAATGGATGCAATCAACTCGATCTACTTTGAGCAACGTTATGATTAAGGATTATCCAGGTAGTTCAAATATCTGGGCCTGTTTTTTTTTTGCTATTGTAGACTAGGGCATGGTGACCTGAATTTGCCCATGTACTCAATACTGAGGGGTCAGCAGGTCACCCTGGCTGGTTAAGTGACCCAGCTTGCACACCTGCTGGCTGCTAAGTCCTTCTGGCATAGGGCCCAGCTCCGCAGGCGGGTGCTTCAGATCCGACACCATCACGTCCAGGTACCCGGCGTCATCCTCCACGTCTTCTGCAGAGGAACATGGGAGGATCAGGTTTACGCCTCACTTTGGAATGCGTGCCGTCTCCATGGAAACGGCTACAGCAGCCCCTCCTTTACAGCCAAATGCTAAATAAGGCTAATCCCCCAGGACACTGTATGATTACATATAGGTCACCTCTTTATTTTTAGTAAAAATACCACATGCTGAACCCAGTTATACCTACCAACACCGTGTGTACGAGCCACCCACGGGTCAGACGAACCAGACGATTAACCTGTATTTTCACGTAAATATTTTTTATTTTAAAAGATGCTGTTTGGCGGAGATATTTTGCAGATAAGCATTAACTAGCTATTTTAAGCAAAAACTTTTGTGTTAAGCTTAAGAAAATTCATTATAAAGTTTCTATTATGAAGGAAACCTTTCATTACAAACAATAATCTGAATGCTTCCAGATCCATGTGGCATTCTTTTGGAAAACCACAGAAAATGTAATGAATTCTGCCTTTTTAATATTACATTTCTTAACTTAATTCACATAATAGGTAGGAATGTAGAGTATGTCTATTAAATGTGTTATTATCTCATCATGTGGCGTTCACTGAAGAAAGCTCATGTCAGTCGGTAATCATTGCACATATTAAGTCGCTGATATGAGACTTTTTCCTAATCACTGACATTCACCTTTTACACATTTAAAGAGCTGCAACTAGAGCATTTCAGGTTCTACAGCAAGGAGACCTGCTCCTGTGACAGGTACCGACAAGTCAGGACCTTAATAACTATATAACCTGCAGGCGTAATCAGAACTGACAGTGTCGCAAGATGTATCTTTAAGCACACGACATGTGTATTGAGACATAATATGTACTGTTATTATGAAGTGCATATTGCAACTATTGTAAATAAATAAGTGAAATACAGACATGGATACAGGTAAACAGTTTGCATGTACATTTCCAAAGGTTTTCTCCGTTAGTTTGGAGCATAAGTCAACGACCCAGACTTGAGTGAAAGATGTGTTCTCCCCCCCCAAGTCACCTGAATTCTCCTTTTTCTGCAGGAAGGAGACTTTGCGCATCATGGCCAGCCGGGTCTTTTCCAGTCCATCCTTGGTACCGTTTCTGGCTGCTTTCATTAGCTGCTGCACCTACAATCGGTCAGATGGCAGTGGAACAGAAAGTGAGTCAATTGCCAGAAGAGAACGAAAGCCGCCTCTATCCGCAGGTCAGGCAGGCGGATGTGGCCGATGCGGGGCCACGGCGTGGGGCGTTTTCGGCGGGACAAACGCCACGTTACTTATCTCTCTGGGACAGATTACACGCTCCGGGCCGCTCCTGCACCCCAATGCAGCCGTCTACAGCACTCTGAGCTTCTGAAGCCGCCGGGGCAGATTTCATACCACAGTAATAAGTTAGAGTGGTTTTTAATACACTGCTCCAAGAATTCAGCTTATTAATTATGAGCATTTGGAGACGTCTCTGGGTGATTCCTCCAGATATTTATGCCTTATTTATGTATCACCGTGGCCTTATTGCACAGAGTGGAAAAACCCTGCAGGACCCAGTTCTGTGAGAGAAAGCTGACCGGCTAGAGAACAGTGTTCTCAGGCTGGAACTTTTATTGGCCCGGGTTTACTTTGTTTCTGGGCTGCTGGAGCAGTCCCCGGGGGGTGGGGCAGCCTACCTTGGCATCGTAACTCTGTTTGATCTGTGTGACATCGCGGCCCCCCAGCCGCATGGCCAGCTCACGCCTGGTCTTGGCACAGCGCTCCTTCAGTCGCCGCACGTCTGGGGAGAGCTGCTGGTGTCGCCGTGGCAACGGGGCCCCATGAAGAAGGGGAAGCAAGTTGGGCAGGGAAGGGAAAGCAAGAGGAAGGGGGGGGGGGCACACAATGGGATGAGTCAAAAAGGAAACCGAATGGCTAATACAACACAGTAGGGCACAGCAATGAGGCTTTAACAAAAAACACTGCGGACAGGGCAGCAGGAACAGTGCAGACACTCTGGGCCTCGAGCACCACAGCATTCGTTCTCCCTGTTCCTCAAACAGCACGGCTGAAGCAGACTCTGCTCTCATCACGACCGGCCCTTTGTGAACAAAACACCATCCTAGCCTGGAACTACACGATGAGGACGGGTGAGATCTGTATCTGCGTGAAGTCCCAAAACGAACATCAATAAACTATTACGAATGCCTGACAAAATGATACCCCATAGTGCTGCAAAACAGTGACATTACATACAGCAGCTGAAAACTCAAAAACTCGCTGTGTAACAGTAAAACGCACCATCAGCGTTTACTAACAGCTTCTTTAATGCATCTCCATTACGTTACTTACATTAGAGAATCCAGAATCTTTGTGTTTAAAGTTGTCCCTTTGTCTGGCTGTGCAGCACTTGAGCTCAGTCTCAGAACAGCACATCAACGGCAGAAGCTGGAACCACCACTTTTTCCCAGGGCGGCACCTGGACTAGGTAAGCGGAGTCCGGGGCTCCCATTATGCGCTCTCCCCCCCCCCCCCAGGATGTCGCATGGAGAAGAGACAGAGACTGGCCCCGATGCGCAATGAAGGATAAGAGAAGCCGGGAGAGGAACCAAAACTGAGACACCCCAGCGGCAAGACACTTAACAGTCCAGATGCCCGTTAAGGATCACTGCTAAATACAAACAATAGGCACTGGGGGAGTCCAGGTCCAGGATCCAGGCCAGATTTTAGCTTTAATATCATGCTGGACATTAGGATCTGATCACCTCACAGACAAACCTGCCGTCAGACAGAATTATGAGGATCTAGAAAAAATAAACTATTTTACACCACGGTTATTTTCGGGAAGTTTTCCTCTCAAAGACCAGGCGCATGTATTTTCAGCAAATATCTCCCCCTTGTGGGCCGACACCAAAATGAGCACAGTTTGAACTACATAAAAATTTCTTCCATGCAGAATCAAGGACTGGTGTAAAGTTTGAGTATCTGATACCTACACAAGCCATAAAAAAACATCTGTCCTTTTATCAATCTGGTGGTGGATAATGCTTAGTAATCGATGTACAATGTGAGGACTAAAGAGACAAAGCGTTTGTCATACATCTGCAAGTTGGCAGGTGAGAAAGCAGCACCAGCTCTCTCTGTGCCTGCATGTACCTTTTTGTGTAACATTAAAATGTCTCTAAATCGTCTTTCATTTGTGACGTGTGACGTCTGCCTTACCATGGATTTGCTCACACAGCTGCAGCATTTACCACCACCCAAGTCACCGCCCCTACAACCAGTCACTAAACTAGGGGAGCAGGGTAAATTCCCTTTTCGCCTACCCCATCTGGCTCTCCATGACACACCCCAGTGAGAGCCAGCTTGCTAGCGAAGGGCAGCCACCTGCAGCAGCACCATGGAGCTGGGGGGTTAAGGTCCTCGCTCTGAGGTCCACAGGCACATGACTATTCAGTCAGGCTCAAGCTAGCGACCTTCCAATCACAGGCAGAGGCTTAGCCAAACACTGCCCCCAACTGGGGGGGAGTGCAAACGCAATCCTCCACTACCAGAAATTATGCAGGGGTGATTCCCACACGGGCCCCAAATAGGCGCCAATTAATGCATAAGCTATCCTAGGCTTCAGCCTCAGAGGGCAAGGCAAAATTAGGGGCCCCGGAAAATTTTGCTGCCAGAATCCCCTACCTCGACCGGCAAATTTTACTGACAGCACCCAACCCTCGATCGGTAATTTTTTTCCGCTGGAACGCACCGATTAGCAGATTACACACACACACACACACAATATATAACAAATCAGTCCTTATTCACATACTAGACTCCCAAACACTGTCAAATGTCATGACAAAGTATGCTGGTGACTTTGCTGCTCCGTACCTTACTGCGAGTGGGCAGCTTGCTCTCGTTGTCCGACTGCTCGTCGTAGCTCTCAAACTCGCTGGAGCTCCATCCATTGCCTGTCTCGATCCCGTCCTCGGATCGCTGCACATCCTCGTAGATCAGCTCATCTAACAGAAACGACAGGCGCGTTAACGCGATACGATGCGCACGGTCCCCTCCGGCTGCGCGCGCCTCACCCCGTCCAAGCTGACCTTCGTCTGGAGAAAGGAAACTCTCATCGGGTACATCGTCGTAAATGACCTCGGGACTCTCTGTCGTCGGCTCAGCGCTGCCTGCAAAAGAGATTCCAGGCAGGTTTTTACAGTAAATGCATCCATCAAATTAATAAATTCAAAACTAAAACAATCAGCATTCCTTTCCTTTTAGAGTAAATACATTAATAACCGTGCCTGAGTGACAGTTGCATGAAAATGTGAGGATTAACAGTTATTGTCTGCCAGTTATATTTTTCAATAATATATTCAAAGGAACAATTAAGAACTACTTCAGAATCACAGTTAGCCTACTTTTAGTAATAAAATTACGATTTAATAATCGTTATTGTCGAAATTTTCAAAATCTAGCTTTAGTGGTTTCTACATTTTACGGAGCTAAAACTAAAATTAAAATCAACAGCTAACTGCACAAAATTTGTAGCGCACACAATGTCCGAGGCATTTTATTACATTGTATATTCATTATGTACGAGTAAACAGATAGCAGCATCAATAGAATGTCATTGAATAAACTTTAACCCTCGACACATTGTTACATTTGACGTTATATATACTTAAATGATGAAATTGTAAGAGTACCGATTTGGATCAGTAACATAAAAAGGCAAAATGTTTAGCTAATGCAAAATCAACTGAACTGAATAGATCGACCTCTCCACTGCACCTACAGGGATACAATGACAGCGCCTATTCGTCTTCTGCCGAGTTAGCAGTTAGAGATGTGGACTGCAAAATCAAGATTAAGTGCGTAGTCACCAAATATTGTTTTTGTTCTGTTTTGTCTCACGTTGTCCATCCAACCGAATGGTTAAAGTCATTTTTATCATTTTTATAAAAAAAAAAACTTAAACGTCCTGTTTTACAATTTTCAAAATTGTCTCTTTTTGTCAAAATACATTACGATGCACAACTACGTAAACGTAGCTGTAAGTTCATATTAACATTCAGCTATGTGCATCAGGTACGTGTAATTTCAGCAAGGCTGCATTTTCTGCAAATCGGGAAGGACCTTGTGATATTTCTGAAATACCCAGAATCAGTCTGTGAGGAAAGAGCAGCTGGTGCACTTTCTTGGTTCCACGTGTCTGTGCTGTTCCTGCTTCTGCATTTACTGCTGACTGTGTCCTTAGTGCAGCCTCACACAGAGCTCACAGACAGGTGCATCTACTGACCTTGGCGGCCTGCAGTGCTCGTTCCCCGCTGAATGATTAAAATTTCCTTGCGCGGCTTTTATCGACCTGAACCGCTGGGAAACCGAACCCCCCAGCACATAGCAGCATTGTGCCGCTTAAGGTCCTTGGGAAGCAGTTATTGACGCAGATGAGACAACATTCCTGACGCTGGTCCCTATACCTTACAATGGCTCAGCACAATTTGTCCTAACATCCATTGTTACCAGCCAATCAGTTGTTTCTCTTCATTGATGATGTTTGGGAGGGAAACAGAGACAAAAATAAAAGTAAGATGCCAGGGCTGCAGGAGTGTTCAGACTGCCGTCACAGCAGGGACCGGGCAGGGCGAACAGCCCCAGTAATGGAACCTCTGTGCAGGTGCAGACGGAGCTCTGACATCACACTGGGGCGTCAGCTAAACACACACACACACAAAACCAAGATCATCGCCATAGCAACTGCTCCAGGGCCAGGCTGGATGTTCCAGTTCCAGGTTCTCCACCTTCTCAATAAAGCCATGAACTACGTTCCCTAAGACTAAGAATTTCTGTTCATTCAAAAACACTTTTGTTCTCCATACTAAACAAATGCGCATTTCTTCTGGGTATTAAACTTACGAAAAAACTGGGACAATTATTTCTAATTCCATCAGCTGCTGTTTAACCAGTCCAAAATATCAAGTTAGGCTTAATGTTCTCTAGATCAGTGTGTAATTTCACCTGGGCAAAAGTTAAGAGAAAGTTCAATAAAATGTATATGACAGCTTTAGATTTCAATTAGATCAAGGTAAATTAGTGAGTGGGGGCGGGGCCAACTCAGGAGGGAGAGTCAGGTGACTGGTGTTATCCATATTAATTTATGTCACCTGTCTCTTGCTCATTGTCATCATCACAGACTATTCAGTTTGAAGCCAATGACACAGATCAGGGTGTTCGCTCTCAGAAACGGAATCAACATAAATGCCACACAGCTGTTTTTTTTCCTCTCATTTTGCTGTCACGTGGCAACAAACTTTTTTTCCCTTTTGTGTAGAAGATTTAGTCTCCACCCTATTCCCAGAAAAAATGTGTAACCTGTTGAATAAAACCCTAAATCACAGGCAACTCCCTACACTCCGTGGTTCTGTTTGGCTGCTCCACCCCATGATACAAAGATACACAATCAACAAGATCTGTTAAGTTTGCTGGCATGACAGCTCAGGATTACATCATTACAGCTCAGGAATGATGCTTTGTGGTATACATCTATAAAGTACCCGCTTTCTGAAACCTGTTCCAGTTCGTTTGTTTTGTTGGATGGGAATATCAACTGATGGCGGGAAATATCAGATATCGAAATATTGTGAGATTGAGGGTGAAAGGATCGGTGTTCACATTATTTCAGATGCTATGGGGAAAGAAGAGGGCCAGGGAATGTTGTGTACTATAAATACCAGTGATGGGAAAGTCTAGGATTAAATGGGATTAACATTAGCTGTCAATAATCTATTTGGATTTGAACCCTTATTTCCTCCCATCACTAATAAATACCCAAACCTTTTCATGTAAACAATACACTTTCATCTATATATGGAATGTAACATTTGTGTCAAAATACACCAAACTTGTTTGACCGCGCTTGGCTTGGACTTGTAATTAATGTGATATGTTACTGCACCCAACATTCCTTCTAGAAGACACAGTCAATGGGGTTTCTGATTGTCACGTAAGACACCCTGTGGGTTCTGAGGAAAGTGCCCCACAAAGGTCATCGAGTGGCAACCCAAATGTGTAATTGAAGAGAGAATAACAGACAAGGTAGCACTGCAATCAGTCTTTCAACATTTGGATTCATATCCAGTTCACCCACAATAACCTACCTATTTAGGTTTGGTACCTTACTGAATAAAACCTACCAGAACTTGAACCTGTAACAGGCCATGTCTTTAACCATCACACTATCTACTACAATAAAAGTGCTAACCCTTGCGTCTTCAGAAGTGTGACTTAAGGACACATGCTTTGTATGCTATTGTTATGCTGTCTGTGGGTTATACAGATCTTCCACATTAGTGGTCTTCAAAACTAGACAACAAAAACAGTCTGCAGTACTTTACCTTCACATATGCTGTCCCTTCTCTGGCAGTCAGGTGATGGCTGTGGTGCAGTAGAAGAAGAGCCCCTGAACAACAAGCAGAGCAAAGAGTGCCGTTAACACGTGAGCTCAGAGCAGCTGATCTCAAGTCAAAGGCCTGTAATAATTCTGTTAGGACGAAGTAGTAGTATGGTGCCATAAAACCAGCATAAGAATGTATGTCTCTCTCTCGCTCTCTCTCTCTCTCTCTCTCATGAAGGGTGGACTTTGGAAAGTCAAGTGTGTTACTTCATTCAAACGCCAACTCAAGAACTCAAACTCAAGAATGTTCTCACCTCATGATTTCCCCCCAGAATTCGAAAACCAAAATTTGTTTGAGTTCATTTTAATCTTAAAGAATTAACGTAATACTTGACGTAAAAATATGTAGAAGATGAGAAGAATGAATGAATGATTAGTCACCAGGTGCCACTGGCTAGGAAATCTGCATTCAGCTTGTGTTAACACAGTCGTAAAAGCCCATCGAATTAATGGAAAACCCAATGAGTCAGCCAGTTACAGACACACCTACTTATGACATGGAAATTTATCATTTTTCAGACGCTGCCCTTCCAAATGAAGCTCTGCAGTGTGTTACAGTTTCACATGGCTAGCTGAATACCATTGGAAATGTCTGCCTGATTCATTTTAATGAGAAGCGTCATATTAAGAATTCATTGTTTCTCTTAACGCTCCATCTTCTCAAAGCGCTCAAGCTGTTTAAGGACATTTTAATGTGAATCAGTATCAGTTTGTATCACATGGAGTGCAAACTGTTTGAATATAGAAAGACTATGTCTGAATAACTGAATATAATATGAGGATTTAAAAGCCTCTGCAAATGGGCAAAAATATCTTCGCTGAATATTATTAACTTTATCGACCCTTAAGACAACTGAACTGTTGATAAGGGGCCTGAGGCTCAGGACTGAACCGTGTGGGTTGGTAAGACTTAAAGGCCAGCAGTCTGATGCATAAGGCTTTCAGAGAAGACACCCACATGACTCTCTTTAATCTGTATCCACTGCTGGGCCTTTGCTTTCTCTGGTTTAAATCATCTCTACTGCTCTCTACCCTTCAAAGCAGTTTTGACATCATGGAGATAACAGTTTTGGGTATTTTCCGCAACATCAGCCCCTTTAACTCTGCCGCTTTCCCTTCCCACAAATTCTCTCTAATACAAACTCTGATTTGTTCTTTAATTTTTTAAGAAAACACTTTGGTACCTCGGGATTAAGCATTGGCCCTGGACTGTGCGGTTCCCTGCGATAAATTCTGCCCACCCAAAATCCATAGGCCCACCTGAAAATGCCAGTATGCCAGATGGACTGACCAGGCCTGATCACAGATTACTTTTAACCTAACCAGATTGTTGAGTTAACTGGCACCAGACATGCACAGATGCAGTCAGCTGATAGTGTTTGAAAATGAATCACATTCTGCAAAAATATCAGTCAACCATCACTAGTTAACGAGCTTCTTTAATTTGGTCCAGCTGTTTATATTTCCACTTAAATACTAAACAACATTTATTTCCACAGCCATTACTTTGAGTCTATCGGAGAGGATATTGCCAGGGATTGATTTTGGCTCCATGTCGAGGGGACCCTTGTGGTTCTGTCCTTAGGCGAACAGGGCAGTATATTAATTAGGAGCTCAAACCAGAAATTCACTCAAGTTTGTGCAACTGCTAATCATTATTGCATCATAAATGTTAGATTTCAATTACTGGTAAATGTAATTCTTTGTAGCCCAAACCTAATAAACACCCTGTGTTAGTGTTTATCTAAATCCCACCCACTGCGAGACAGAAAACAAATCATGTTCTGTACAGACCTATGATTTATTGTATATCTTCTAGCCTACTAGAAATGAGCTGAATAATTGGTCCAAACCGAATCAAATCAACAGAACAGTTATCCACAGTTTATAAAGTTCTACCAATGGGCTAATTAAGACAACTAGCTATACTCGTATATGTAGCTTGATAAGAATGTTTCACTGACTTGTTTTTATTAGATTAATAATGTACATTTAGCTCAGTTTTTCCTCGTATCATACACGCCTATATCACTCAACAGCAAACACTCTCCAAACTGGACAAACCAAGGGTGATATGCTGCCTATTGTTACTTTTTATATCTGTGGTCTAAAAGTTGCTAAAAGTGCTAATTTACTACTCAAACAGGACCTTGTTAAAGTAGAATTTTATCCCTGAAATTATTTTCTGTAAACTTTAGTATTTTACGGTGATTTGCTTACAGCCATATATATCCAGTCAGGTTTGTAAATCCTTGGAGGTCTATGGTTTCCGAATTTTGTCCGACGGGAAAAGAACCCAAAGCCATGGGAAGCACGGCACAGCGAAGCTGAGGGTCTGGCCAAGCTTCAGCTGTCTGCCGGCTCTTTATGTCTCTGCCCTCTTCAGTCTGCCCTGCAAATCTGATGATGCAACTGAACGTCACTGAGAGCAAAGTCTGTTTTCCACCAATTATCCGGCAGAATCTGAGGGTGTAGACTTACAATCTACACAATAATTGCACCAGCTAGGCCACCGAAAGGTGTAAAATGATAACCAGCATACACTTCTGTATCCATGTCTCTGTGGGGACCATCCATTCATTTCAATGGGAAAAATCCTGATCCTAATCTTATTGTCCCTTTTTCGTCATTCTGATTCCTCCCTATATCAGTTCATGGGCTGTTTCAATCTGTCTGGCAGACATGAGGGAATGAACACATTAAAACACACATACATCAAACCGGCAGCAACAAAAAAATCATTTATCGCATGTGTGAGAGAGAGAGAGAGAGAGAGAGAGAGAGAGAGCGAAAGAGTAATGAAAACAAGGTAATGAAAATGATGGGCCGAATGGCCTCCTCTCGTTTGTAAATTTCTTATGTTCTTATGTACACACACACACACACACATTTTTGTATTCGTAGCTTTGTGGGAACCGTCCATTCTCTTCTATGGGCATAGCCCGAATCCCAACAATGACAGCCTTAACCCCTACCCAGCCCTAACCTTAACCATAAGTAACCAAACAAAATACAAGACTTTTGGCATTTTCGTTTTTCGACTGCAGTCACAGATTTTTACAGAATTGAGTTTCCCCTTGTAAGGTCCCCATAATGTCAAAATAACAGGTTTTTATCACATTGTGGGGACATTTGGTCCCTACATTGTAATTTAAACATAACCCCCCCCTCCCCAAGAAAAAAAACACACACACACTCATAGCCTGCTCCGGATTCCCCAGATTAACTTCTCCTCATCTGCTATTGCACTCTGCACAGGGGATGCTGTCAAGCAGACAAAGGCCCAGTGCATTATGGGAACCCAAACAGCATCACCCTCAGAACATTCTGAGTCTTTTGACTACAGCCTCTCCCCCACCACCTCTCATGGTGAAAGTCCAGAAGCACCATACAGCACCGGGGGTGGGTGGAAAACAGCATTCAGCAGAACTTCTGGGGGGCGGGGGGGGGGGGCAGGAATGGAGTAACACACTGCCTCTTCATGCAGCTGCCAGAGCGCAGGAAAGCTCACAGGAACGGGCCCTCCTCGGCCGTCCCCGCACGCTTCCCATCGTGGCCCTCCCCTTCCCTGCCCCCCCCAGCACTTTGGCCTTAGGTGGATCCAGAAGGATTTGTTTGTCTCACTTTTTGCACTTTTTCTGTAACCTTTGTTTCCTACGCCTTGATGTTTTTTTGTGGGCTGGCAGTTACTTTTAGACTTTTTTTTAACAGTTAAGCTCTTTTAATGATGATTTTGTTAAAAAGTGTTCTATATTTATCATGGTACAACATCCCCACCTTAACCTCATGCTTAATTTAGCTTCTTTTATGAGTTTTTTAAACTTTTGCTCTAATAACAGCTACTTTGTAGCACAATTAACATGCTACTACACTGACTTCTCAAAAGCCATGCAGCCTTCTATACAACTGAAAAACAAGGGCGAACAACCCCCAAGGACTATGGCACAGACAAAATATATCGCACCTTTATCAGTGTCTGCTTCCTTAACTCAATGTCCCGAGTAACATGTCTTGTTTCATGCTTGGATATTGCACAAAAAAAACCCCAAAATAACTCACCCCTTTGGAGGTTTGCTGACTTCCAATTCTGTGGGGGGAAAGAGTGAGAGGGTTTATAGCGAGTCATAATCCAAGCTTAAAACCAACCCTGAGCCCGTTGACTAGGGGGCTGAATATAGTCAAAGCTGGAGGTCTCGCCTGTCAAAAGGCAGGGATGTCTGCATAAGAAAAGCAGAGGAGGCCGTCAGTTGACCTCTAACATGCGCATAAAGCTCGCACACAAAAAACACCATCTGACACACATCACGGTCTCCTTCAGAAAATCATCAACCTGTAAACAAACTGAAGTATTTCAGTATAAATCCAGGGCTTATAAGAAGTAATGGGTTCACAAAAAATACTATATAACAAGGAACTACATTCAGTACATTTTGAATTATACTGGAATTCACTGAAATCCATCCCACATAATGTACTGCCCACATTCCACAACACAGCCACCCCCAGGTGTGTCCATAGGACAATGACCTTATTATTGAACCGAAAATCAAATAAAGAGCCTTTGATCTTCCTGTTATCCCATTTTTCTTCTGATTTACACTGGCTTGATGGCACTGCTGCATCAGGAATAAAAACAATGACAGATATGTGCTTATCTGTGATGCTGGAAGTGCAGAACCTGTGAAACGTTTAGCACACACTGCCACTATTGTGACTAGTGCGTCTCACCCTCCAGACACAGTGTTAACGTCAGAGCTACTGTACAATCACCTGGGCTGATGTCCTGGGTGAGCGTGTCCCTCAGTCCTGCAGTGGGCTCTCCGCTGAATTCTGGTGAAGTTATCGATGGTCCTGCATGCAGGTTACTTTCCATCTTCTTTTCAGAAGACTCCTCTCCTGGAGTGTGATCTTCTTCCTCGCTACCATCAAATTCAAATTTCTGTCCTTCATCTTCATCTTCCTCATCACCCTCTTCCTGCTGTGGTGCATGGGATTCTCCCGTAGACATGGTTTCTGTAACAATGGTATGGATATAGCATTAAAATAACGGACCACGGATTATTAGACATGTAAAACGGAGTCCAAGCTAATATGACCAATTGAAACCAGCTGAGGTACAAAATAATCGCAACAAAAATCAGGATATTCCTCCCAGAGGATCATAACCACGTCTACAAAGTATCACGCCTTCCTGTGCATTTCCACATACTTCAGGACATGATGCAGACACAGAATGACTTTCTTACAGATCAGTAAGTGAAATGGAAGCTTGTGCTATTCATTTTCAGTTGTCTTAGCATGTTTAAAGCAATCGTATATTGTCCCCCTAAGCCTTTTGTAACTCCTCCCCAATACCCCTCCCCAAAAAATCCTAGCAAAAGAGTTTCAGCAATTGGCTGGCAGGTATGTCTACCTATGACATACTTATTTTTACTGCTCATACTGTGCACTAGTTTGTATAGAGGCAAAATGACCTCCCTCTATTCTATATGGAATGAGGGGTGCCATCGCAGCTTGGACTGCTGCGGGTAATTCCCACTATGGTGAGAGGGGAGCGGGAGGCATATATAAAAATGTGGAGTAGTGACTTGTTTGGTTATGTTTTGTGTGTCAAGTTCGTTGTCAAAGTATTTGAGCCGAGGGTGAATCTTGTCAAAAACCTCAATGTGTTCTGTAACTGGGAAGCTAGTTTGCACATAGTCATTTGGGGAGAAGGGGGTCCAATCAAGGGGGAAGGTGGCCTGAAGGCAGTGTAGGGGGGGTACTTATGAGTATTACATGTGATAGCTTGAATATTGCCATGCATTTAGGTCCATTGACTGAAACTGAATATGTGTAAAACTAAAGTTCAGATTAGGTTCAGCATTTTATTTCTTAGTGCAGCAGATGGATCTGCTGAAATTCTACACTGGCTCAACCAAGTATCTTATAATCCTATACATGTATCATTACTACTTTTGCTGCGGCATAATTAAGCTAATCTCCGCATCTTTCACACATTTCTCTGTTTACTGGGCATTTATTGAATTATTATTTTATTCAGATTAAGCACCTCACACTAAAGGTACAGGCAGGGATGGATTGATCCAGAAGTTATAGCCTATGGCCCTGGGAGCCGACCTCTTAACCATGTCAGTCTAGGGCCCCCAGAGAAGTTAATCCAGCCTTGGGTACAGGGGCCGATTCCTTCATTGGGATTCTGTGAATCCATCAATCAGGCCAATAACAGCCCCAGCATTGACCACCAATCCACCAGGCATGGCTGGTAGGAGTATTTCTACACTCCTTCATTTAAAGGCAGCAGCTTTAATTTGATCTAACATTATAGTATGAAGGTGAATGTCATGGTTGAGATGAAAACCAGCCTCTGTGACATCACCACATCAGTGAAGTCAATACATTAACGCTGCAGCTGAATGCGGAATGCCTTTTCCTGGGTTCGAGTTATTTTAAACCCGGGGTCTATTGCATCTCAGTACAGTATATTATGGGTAAACTGCAGGTCTCGTAATGCACTCTAGTGAAACTGATGAATTTGCTTTATTGTATTTCACTTATTCCACTGGAATTGCCTTTGAATTTATGTTCTCTCCCATATCTCTAAACTTAACCACTTTGTTCTTTTTGAGTGAGATGGTTAGCGCGAAGGAACGTTCACAGAGATGGATACAGTTTTTTTATTCTGTGAACTGAGCTGATTTGACATACCAGGGCAATCTGGTTCAGTTTGATTTCTATACTTTGATAAAGAAACGGTTAATGGAATAATGCATGATGTATGACAATGGATTGTTTTTGCTTTAGACATAAAAACAGAGTAAGCTTCATGTTCACCCTATCCGTCCTTAACCTTCTAACGTTTCATGTTCTGACATAAAAAATCTGGCACATTTCAGGATGAAGCTCACTGCTGTGATATGGCCCCCTTCAATCCATCCTTCAGCTGTTTATCCAGGACTGGGTCATAAAGCCTATCCCAGGTGGCACAGGGGCACGAGCAGGGAGCACCCTGGACGCGATGCCAGTCCCTCACAGGGCATACACTCACACACAATCACATGCTAAGGGCAATTTGCAGCTTTGTGCTGGGAGGAAACGGCAGCACCCAGAGGAAGCTCAAATGAACACAGTGAACCCGCAGCCTCCACGCGCGCAAAGCCATTGGAAGTTATCCAGCCCATTTCGCTGTAGAAAATCAGGAACAGATAGAAAATGGAGCAGGTTCCACATCTCATGTACATGATCATTATGACATGGGTCCTCGAATCTGTAAAATTTTGGATGCTTTAGGAACAAAAGTCCAGACCGCGATTTTGTTTCAACCAACCAGTTAAGTACTCTGCGACTGTGACTCTTTATACTAAACTGGTTGGTTGAAACAGAATCTTGGTCTGGACTTTTACTCTCTGTGTATATGTTATTTGAATATTTCTGAAGCTTGCAATTTTGAAATAGATATGCCCCCAGTTCTGTGTTTTTTCCCCTCCCCTGCACCCGTACGGTTCCTTCACGCAGCCCCAGGAGGGCACACCTCACAGATTGAATACCTCAGCTCCAGCGGATACCTAGGGCCAGGAGTCATTATGCTGCAAATCTCAGTAACCCACACAGAATCGACACGGCGGGGATTGGGATTGAGCAAGGGGTTGCACGGTAACATCTGTGCTGGCCGGTGTCATAAATTTAGTGTACACTGTTCAGTCAGGTAGCTTTGGCAAATATTATATACTATAAGTCTGAGTCATGAAATTAAAAACACAACGACAGTTCAGAATTTCAGAAAACAGTGATGTGTTTAGCTGGCATCCGGTCTGGGCTGGAGCTACTGGATTATGTAGCAGCTATAGGGTAGCCAGCCGTCCCAGATTGGCCCGGAGACTCGTGGAATGGAACGACGTCTCCCAGAAGGCCTCGATCTGGGACTTTTTTAGTGTTCTTAAAAAATTAGGGCCATCAAAATTCACACGCTAGCGCATTGGCGTATAAATTTTAAAGGCATAATGATTTTTTTCGTTATTATTGCGTTATCGCATGCAGTATTTTGATATGCAAATGGGAAAAAACTATGAGCATGTGAAAGGTTCTGTCATGACATAGTGCAGAATCCCAGAAATCGCAGCCAAAATAAAAACAATCTGTCAGCACCCCATGGGGAAGGTGATGGAGGGGAAAGTCGAGGTAACGTCGTTAGTTGGTTCGTTACGTTGTAAAAAATGCCAGACGGCTCAGAGGATAAAAACTGTCTTGCTAGTTTGAAACAAATGCAGAAAACAGTTTTACAAAATAAGTTCTTCTTTAGTCTTGAAAAGCACATGTTTGATGACAATGTAGAATGAACAGTATGTATTTTTTGTTGAAGATTCAAAATATTCCCAATACAAACTTCTGTATTGAAATCATTCAGATTGTATCACCTAAAGATATCCTTCTATAATACCAACCTGTGTTAGACTAGGAGCCTGTTCAATTGTTTTATGGGGACGTGCTAAATTCAGTGAGATTCTTACTTGAAAGCTGCTAAGTCACATGACTGCCATATTTATTTACAACTACGAGCAGAGAAGACTTGATGAAAAGATCCCGACTAAGCCAAGATCATGTCAATATGTGGACATTCATTCTCTGTAACTACATTGAAATGACGGAGGGTCCAGTTGGTTTATTCCCAAATCATTATCTAAAAATAAACATAATCGAAAACACGGGCAACAAATTGTGGAGCAGGTAACGGCAAATTCGGAAAACCAAATCTTAGCCATAATCCAGCATCTGTAGTTCAAAAACAAGCAGAATTACACTGGAACAGTGAGTGCGACACAGGGGAAAAAATCCTGAATGCGATAACAAAGAGCAAGAAAGATGATCAGGTGGAAGTCAGTCACAGGAAAAGGAGAGTCCCAAACAATGTATGGTGAGACACACAATACATAACAAAGAGGTGACTGAGAAGAAGGTCTGGACATCTACTCAGTCAGGAAAATTAGCTCATTAGTCACAGGTGTGCTAGCAGAGGCTTGGCTGGATACAGGTGTGACCATTATAAAGGCTTTTTTTCAATCATATCTTTTATGTATGTTGTTCAGTACATACTATATTAAATAATTTAGCATGTGTCATTAATCTGGGTTATTTCTTGATAAACTACTGCAATATTCAATTAAATAATTAAAATTCTAATAGAAAGTTTCACTGTCAAAATATTCAGTATTCGCAGCCCTAATTGGCTGGGCTGTTATGAACAGGTGCCATGAGCACCGCGTTGTCCTCACTGCGGCTGCCTGAAGCCTGCTACAGCGGGTCACTACGGCCACAGGTCCGATGGTAATGAGCGTTCCTGGGATTGGCAATGAGATGAGGGTCATTTAATCTCTACATTCAGGTCATCGTCATTTCGAATGCAACTTTCCAGCGGCAGGCAACATTTAAGTTAAGCAATTGGAGATATGACAAAATATTTCCTTGGTGTGTCCTTGCTATTGTACCCTTGAGGAAGATAAAATGCAGTCCAAATTACTTTGGTAAAAAAAATCCAGCTGTGTCAACAGGGTTACTATTCAAGTGTTACTAACACAAGAACGCCTTAGTCTAGAATCATCTATTGTTGCTGTTTACAAATGGCAGAGCTGTTGTGATGATTACAATAAGGAACAGCTGACAGCTAACCTGACAAACTGGCCTGAAGCACTCTATATAATTTTACTTTCAGAACTGATTTTCAATGTATGACGCATTCGTCATTTTTTACGGAATAACTAAACTTGCATAGTGAATAAAACTCTTTGGTTTTGTGAAGTTAAGATACATGTTAGTTTATATAATATCTCCAAAATCAAACACAGAATTGTTGAACGCCGATTGATGGACTGACTCAAACTGGTTTAGTGACCAGAAATAATCCCACAAACATGCACATGGAATGACGTTCTCCTAAAACCCAGCACTGCCTGCCAGCCATGCAGCAAACCATCTGCTTTACATTGACATTACAGGAAAACTGTTTCCCCCGAAGGAGGAAAATAAAGTTTTGTCCAGAGTTGGCCCACCCACAACCCCCTTGTGACTCAGTGATGTTTATGAGTAACAGGTCATCTATGGGTCAAAATTACAATGAACCAAAGTCACAATACACGTGAGCAGGATGAACATGTTCAGAAACAACAAACATTTTTCAGATCTATTCACCAATTCCCATTTCGTACATAAATATGTTATTATTAAACATTAAATTATTAAATATTTTATTATTGCCCCATAAGAGATAAGCACTTTCTTTTCACATTTGTAAACATCGTACACATGTGTATAATCCAGTGATTCCCAACCCAGTCCTTGGGGACAGGCAGGCGGTCTTGCTCCCTCCCAGTTCCCTCCCAGACAGTCCACATTTTTAGTCCCTCCCAGGTCCCAGTAAAGCAAAAATGCAGACTGTCCGAGTGTCACCCAGGACTGGGTGTAATCCACAGACTGGGCTTTCAGATGATGCGACACTCACCTGCAGCAGGTATGACAGGATTCTCTGGGGACGCCATCAGGTCTGTTATCACATCAGCCTTCCTGGTAGAGAAAACACAGAGCTTTACTGATAGGGCTCTCAAACAGACATGTACATAGTGAAGCACGGATCTTCTCGAAGATGGTCCGTTTACCATTCATTACATCCTTATGAGTATTTTTACTTTAACATCTATGCTTACAGTTAGCTTTGATCGAACCCATACATACTGAACACTATGTCATTTTCATTTGCAGACATAAAATCTGTATGTGAATCATTTTGGGTCAACAACTTGGTAGGAATTACAATGCATAATCTTATTCATTTGCAGAAAACTAAACTTGATTTGGTGAAAGAATTAACTTTTAAATTGAATAGAAAAATCTTCCTTGGCAAAACGAAATGTTGACCGGCAATCGACATGTCTGTTCCCTGCAGGACGGACTCAATTTTGCACCCTCTTTTATTTTCATTCGTCACACCCAAGATTTATCTACAAAGTCCACAGAATGCAGAAAGCAAGCATCCCACCCTAAGGGCACTGATTTCAGGGAGATGGGAATTTGGCGATAGCGCTAAAAATTTGCACGACTTCTTAGCAGCAAAATTTACCTAACTTGCACATCACATGTCGGTGTCATTCAGCTGCTGTCAATTTCAGGGAGAGCCCCGGAACTGCTGGGGGAAGGAGGGAATGTTTGAGAGAGTGTAGCGTGATGTTATGATCGCAGATGTCGCTGGACACTGTGACAGCAAGACCCTGATAGCAGCTCTGTCCCAGGGGTAGAGTGATGCTCAGTGATCAGGAATTAGCTTCCTGGGTATTGCACATCCCCACTTTCTGTTAAAATTACATATTATCAGCCTAATCTGCCATGGACCCACTCAGTACATCACACACAAAGTTCCTGTGAAGCAACAGTGCAAACAATGAGTGCTCTGTGGGGTCGCCTTGCCACACTCTGAATGAACATTGCTGCTCCATTCTCCATTCACAAGGCCAAGTTACACATTAAATCAGTGTGACTCTTCTCTGGGATACAGTGCAGTGGAAGCTAGAGTCCCTTTCGCCATTTGAATTATTTTCTTGTTCAATAATATGTCTTTAAAATGCCCAGTCAGCAATATTTAAAAGTTCAAGGTTGATCAGGAACCAAGTACAGTGGAAATTGCTTATAGTGATCCCGATTATAGTGATCAACTGCTTATTCCTGTACAAATACCATTTAAATAATTCGCTTATGGCAATCAAGTATTCCGTGTACAGTGTTCATTTTGAGTCTTTTTAAACTTGACAACATATGGAAAAAATTAAAATTGCGGTTATTCTTTTTTTTTTTTTTTACTTTATTTTGTTTGCCTTGCAGTAACCCATCTACCTTTGACTAGCTACCTGAGGCTAATGCGGCGCGCACAGAAAACATGACGAGAAAAAAAAAAGTCATTTTCTCTCAGTGTCAAATATAGCTTGTCACAGCTAATGATAAACCTCCAAAATCGAGACACCGAAATGTAGCAGCGAAACTACAATAAGCGCTTTCAGATAATGTAACGTTGTGAAAATTCGCTTTATAAATAAAATTGAATTGAATATTTACTGTAGCATATTTGAATTATGCAGTTATTTAATTTGTACAGTTCTGTAATTTGACAAGCATTTGAAATAGCTGTACTCTATATTGAAATTGTCAAACGATTAATAGCGACACTGTATGTTTTATTACCTTATATTCATGTGATAAATATACAAATGTCAATTAGACTGCAATCTGTCTGAGACATAAAGATGAAAAAAAAATCGGCTACAACGATCATCTGCTTATAGTGATCAATTTCACCCAGGCGTGATCACTATAAGCGCTTTCCACTGTATTTACAAATATGTATCCCCCACTCTGAAATGTTTTGTAAATAACATCAACAGCTAAATTTCATGAAGGATGAATTTTGCTTTCAGATGTTTAAATTCCTCTGTGTGTCCTGATATTCTGTCCTACAGTGCAGAGGTAGGCAACCCTGATCCTGCAGTGCCGGAATCCAGCAGGTATTCTGTCCCACCTCATGAGTCACTATCGGCCTGAGATCAGGTGTGGTTCATCAGAGACCAGGTAGGATGGAAAACCTGCTGGATACTGGCGCTCCAGGATCAGGGTTGCCTACTGCTGCTATAGTCTATTGTGGGAGATACAAGAGAACATCTTCTAAGTCAGGGTTCTTCAACTCGGGACCTCGATTCCAAATCCAGGCCGTGTTTTCAGTTCTCCCAGGTAGTTGTTTAATAATTACTGATTCTGATTGGTCAGAGGCTTCACACCTGACTGACAGGTAAAGGAAGGCTGGAAAACCAGCAGTGCTCGGACCTCGAGGACCGTGAGTTGAATAACCCTGTTCTAAGTGAAACTACTGAAGTTCTGAGAGAAACACATAAAGATGGAGGATACCCTGGTGTGCAGCCATATCCCTTCGCATCCTAATATAACCTTCAAAACAATCTGTATAGACGGTGATATCCTCACTAATTTCTGTTATTTTAGAACCGGTGGGACTTGGGAGGAGTCCTTCTCCCCTCAAACTGCATGTCCTTGCTGGGGGTGTTGTGATGGGTCGGCACTGGCCAAGCAGGACGGTCAGATTCCGCAGGACGGTGAGACAGGTACAGACATGCCGGGGGGCATCGTCCTACCAATGTCCCTGGGAGGGGGTAAGATAAGAAGCATGCTGGGAAAGCTTTACGCTCGTTTGAGGGTTAGCTCACTTGACCTCTAAGATGGGGGGTGGGGTGTAATTATGCAGTGTTCATACACAAACTCAGGTGTTTCATTTTACAAACAGCCCACTGGACTTATTCACACAGACAAAGAGAAAAACAACAATGAGATTATTAAATGTGAACAGCAAACGCAGTGAATACTATCAGTGAAAGCTGATCGTGTTTTAAATAATTCACGGTCCTTTGTGTCCCGGGTATAAGTATTACCCGTTATGTGAATCCACACATCCGTATATATTCCATAACTGTTTAGCCTTTACAGGGGTGTAATAAGCCTACAGCCTATCCCAGGACATACTCAGCACAAAGCTGACCGGGATCGGATGGCGGTCCATCGTGGGGGGGACACACATGGATATTCAGCAGCTTTACTGAACTGCGAGTCATTGGACTGCTGGAGTTAACCAGAGTACGCAGAGGAAATCCATACACAGAGAGTGTGAATATGCAAACTGTACACACACACACAGCTGGAGGGACGACTTGAACCATCAGCCCTGAAGCAGTGATACGATGATCCTGAAGACCGTCATGACAGAGAAGCTGCAACAGTCATGTGGATGATAGTCAGCTATGGAGGCCTTCGTTAGCGAGTGTACGTCTATAGCTTGTGTGATGTCAGTCAATGAATTCAGGCACTATAGTTCAATCATAACTCAGCAGTACTCGTGGCATAGCTAGGCGGAAGGCACTCAAATGGCTATGCCAGTGTTTCCCAGTCCGGTCCTCGGGGACCCACAGTCAGTCCATGTTTTTGCTCCTCTGAGCTCCCTGCCAGACAGTCCACAGTTTTGCAAAAACTTGGACTGTCTTTGGGTCCCCGAGGACCAGATTGGGAGACACTGGCCTGCACCGTAATCACAGAGGGCAGCAACAGTGTTTCTTTGGCGCAGATCGCCATCTTTATTTGCCGGGGGAAGGGGGGGGGGGTTAAGAGTGAGGCTCCCCCAGCTTTCACTGGGCTCCTAGAGGTCAGCCCCTATGAATAATTCACAGCCTACCACAGGCTGTGGTGAGGCTGTCACAGTGTGCCTCAATAGACAATGGCAGAAAGCAGCTGCAGTGATGCACAGAGAGAACAGGACTGGGATTGTTGGGTGGAAAAACAGTGGGAGATGAGCCCTTTGCCTCCTATAGGGGGACAGAGTCATTGGCACCAACCAATCAGAACATCTGATGCTGCCAAGTGTGCTGGAGCTCTTAATGACATGAAACATTTGCAGATTTTTACACTTTCACGCGCAGCTTCACACTTACTCTGGCTGAATTCCATATACAAAATCCATATATGCAATAAGGTGCACTTTTAAGGTTTAAAATGGGATTTTAAAGGAAAATAACCATGTTGTGTTTTTCTTATGGTCAAGCCTTCTAAACAGCACAGTCTTTAATCTTTAGGATAACACAGAAGTGTCCCAGCCATCCAAGTTTTCCTACGGGAGGCTGAAACGTAGAAAAATACAACGGTAACGTGCAGCTGCTCACTGCCGAGTTCCCTCGGCTATACAGGCACAGAGACCCCACTCATGAAGGACTCAAGACGTTGGAATGGGTGTTGCCATGGAAACGGACACTTTCCCTGCTCACAGATACAACGCGGGCAGAGCATTGGACACAGCAAACACGCCGTGAGACCTGCACAGCTTTGCACGTGACCTTCACGGCCGGCCCCTTTCACTGACCCACTTGTTCGTTCACAAGCACACACTTGTTTTACCACAATCAGTCATGTGACACTCCCCTCACTCTCATTCCGCATGTCTGTCAGGTTCACTCAAAGTCGTTTTATGGATGATACTTAACTTGGAGCAAGTACCCTGCAGAACATGATTTATATACCTCAATTACCAAAAGCTTTGTCCTTACTGCCTGCCGCAGCAGAGTCATTCTCACGAAAAACCTGCGCATGTGATGTCACTAAGAAGGAGGGAATGGTACTCGATCAAGCGTATAGACATGTGAGAATATGACAGACCTGAATTCTGTGGTACTTCATGAAAACTCTTATACTCCGGTTCATTTATTCAGTCTGACATGGTGGCCATTTCAGTGCCTAGAGGTAGCTGTCACAAAACATTGTTCAGTATTACAACACGCACACCAATAAAATTTCACACACTTGGATTTGCCTAGCAGAGTTTACATCATCTGTCTAAGCAACAGACAAAAGAACAGGTTCAGCAAGAATCTCAGCTGATAAAATGGTTATAATGACGATAGCGGAAAACAGTTTTTGGAGCACAAAACTGATGAAACTTTATGGGGGTGTCAAAGCTGACAACCACCCACATCGAGGTAAAAATGACACACTTAAGAAATCCACAAATCTGTAACATAACGCTATCTGATGATGATCATGCAGTAAGGCTCAGGGCCCAGCAATGACATCTCTTACCGTATAATACAAAATACCTCTCCAATAATATCTACATTTATATGCTTAAATCCATCCATCCATCTTCCTGCCATTCACCCAATGCAGAGCCGGGGACCTTATTCTTACATGTATATATTATTTATGGGAATTCTATCAGAAGCCGCAGCAAAGCCAAAGGCAGCTCATTGAATCAATGTTTCCCGTCAGTGCCAGACAAAACATCAGAGGTCGGCATCAGTGCGGTACATTCTACATGCGATTGTCCATCCTGCCCGATTTAAAATTCTCTATCTGTCTCTTTCATCTGCCGCCTCCTCTTCTCCGCAGCCACATTCCACGGTGACAGAGGAGGGGCTGATGCTGAATACAAAAATAGCAGGCAATCTTTCCTTACGATCCCCCTCTCCTAACGCATCCATGTCCCCATGAGAGAAACCTCCTCTTTGTTTGAATAGAGCGGCGCGGGGCAAAGCGGAGGGCTGTCGCAGACAATGGGCACTCACCTCTTGTTCCCCAGCAGGACTGCCACCAGCAAGCCACGGCACCTCCTTCAGGCTTTAATCCCAGCAATCCCCCATGCACACCCAGCTGTTAGATTAAAAGGCTACCCCTAAGGCCCCATCCTGACACCACGCCACCTTGACAGCTTCGGTCCTCATGGCCCAGCACCCTTATTCCCGCCACTGACAGCAAGGGCTAAAAGATTACACCCTGTTTACTTTTCCAGAAGTAAGTTCGCGGATTCTGCCGCTCCTTGGAAGGAGAAACTCGTTCTCGCTCTCTTCCCCCCCCCCTTTTTGGTCCCTCCCACCCTTTTCAGCTACAAGCACCGCCCCACAGCAAGGCACATAAGTTCTCAGCCTTGGCCAACCAATAGCAGGGCTTGGGACTTGCCTGTCTACCAATCACAGCAGCAGCCTGAGCCAATTTGTAATGAAAGCAAGTGCGGGCAGAGCCAAAGAAATGGAGGGAGGGAGGGAGAAATAATAAAACCGATAACCAGCTTTCACAATATCGAGACACAGGAAAGTCTACATTTTATATTTTATATATATTTCCACTGTAATATATATATATACACACGCACACACACACTTTGCATATCATCAAGGACAGTAGACATGATAACAGCTTCACTTAAAATTTAAACATTTCAAAAAATGAATTATAAAGTGCAACAGGGTCCTGGAATCAACATAAAAGCATAAATATGCCCCAAATCATATTCTGAATAAACATTCAGCATTTGTCACCAAATCCCAAAACAGACATGAAAGGTCTTCAGAAGGAAAGAAAACAGGAGTTAGAGTCCCAGCAATGTCACTTCCAAATCTCCAAACACAAACTTGACTGTGGGAGGAAATAAGAAATACTTTCAAGACTAACCACAGAAGACTCACAAATCCACACATTTCTATCATACCTCCCTTGTGTGTGTGTACTTGCCGAACTACAGACAGTAATACCAGTTTTGTTACAGAGCTTCAGTTGGATGTGAATGAGAAAACCAAAAAAAAAAAAAAAAAAAGAGTAAAAGAATTTTTATTGGTTAAAGAAAATTGTTCACGTTTGCAAGTTTATTTACACAGAAAGAAATTATTTGAGAAATCAAATTTCTAAAAGATTGAGTGAAATGTCAACTTCTTTACATTAAGTCTTCTAACTTGAAAACATTTCACTTCAGGGGCGCAGTGACACTTTCAGCAGTGGAGCGATATGATACAGACCAGCCCTGCGGGTGTGTGGGTGTGCGTGTATTAACGGCCCATTTCAGCAACAGTATCCAACAATGTGCCATTACACAATTTCTAAATCAGCTGAAAATTTTGCTCTACTTACCAAAATGATAATCATTAGTGGTAGTGTGCTAGCTAAAAGCTTAAAAATATTAGACAAAGATTATAACCAGCGTAAGCACACTTGAGTTGGCAGCTGTTTAGCGTGAAGCACCACGCATCGATGTCAGTTTTGGAATGAGGTGCCGGTGTGGCGCTAATCCCGATTATCCTACTGCTACTTAAATTGTGACCCAAAGCAGTGTTGTAAAGTTAACGGACTAAAACTTTTCTCGGCCGTTCCAAATAAAGTTTGAAATTTTCCTGCATTTCATTGCATCTTCCTCCAGTGGTTTTCCGCATTATCCTTGCTTTCTCAGCACCACTTCTCTTCCTTTCTTTTCTTCTTTCTTTTCAGTTTGCCGTCCATTGTAAAATGCAGTTATTTCACGCAAATCAGTTTTTCTCCTAGATGGATACATGTGCGCGAAGCGCATTCGAGAGTCGTGTAGAAATCAGCCCACTTGAAAAGGAGTCGACTTTTCAGTGATTTACTACAAATCTGTGCATTTACTTCGAGAGGTTTTTAAACGGTGTGCACGTGCAGGGCAGCTCAACCGGCCCGGAAAAGTCACCAGCACACCGGGGAATCCCGACTCCGCCGCTCCGCCCCTCTTTCACGTGACTTGATGAGTATCTGCTCACAGGCCAATTAAAAATACTGTCATAGTAACAAGTAATACTGAAGTCAGATCATATTCAGGAAAGATCGTCATTAAAATCCATGCCCATGTAGTCATTTAAGGGTGGTGTACCATGGTGACATAGTCCTTAATTCCTGGACAGTTTACATTGCGCAAGCAAATTTCCACTCAAAACATATTACCACAGTTTTTCTATCATTTTAAAACGTTAACTTGCAAAATGACAAACTGAATACTTCACACAAAAGGCTACAAAAAAGTTACAGCACAGAGTCACAGTTATTTTAGTGACTCTGAATTGTTGTCCAAGTGGGCTGAAGGACGTACAAGTTCCTAAAGTAATACTACACAGAATCAATAATTATTAAAATATTTCATCCACCTTAACCTTCTCTCTCAGTGCTGAGCTTATTAATGGTAGAAAACAGATCTACCAGGACAAGGGATTAGAAACTGGATTACATGCATACAGTGGTTGGACAATGAAACTAAAACACCTGTTTTTTGGCCACAGTAATTAATCAGTATGGTGTAGGGCCTCCTTTTGTGTCCAGTACAGCATCAGCTCATCTTGGGAACGACAGACACAAGTCCTGCACAGTGACCAGAGGGATTCTGAGCCATTCCTCTTACAGAACAGTGACCAGAGGGATTCTGAGCCATTCCTCTTACAGAACAGTGACCAGAGGGATTCTGAGCCATTCCTCTTACAGAACAGTGACCAGAGGGATTCTGAGCCATTCCTCTTACAAAACAGTGACCAGGTCACTACATGATGCTGGTGGAAGAAAACGTTTCCTGACTGGCTCCTCCGAAACACCCCAAAGTGGCTCAATAATATTCAGATCTGGTGACTGTGTAGACAATGGAAGATGTTCAACTTCACTTTCATGTTCATCAAATGATTCTGTCACCAGTCCTAAAGTGTGTTTGGTAGTCCTTGGCAGTGATGCCAATCTAGGATAAGTAGTGTACCTCGGAAATGCCGTGATATTGCAGCCCAAACCATCACTGATTCACCCTCGTGCTGCACTCTGGGTATGTAACAGTCCAGGTGGTAAGCCTCTTTGGGGCTTCTCCACACCGTAACTCTCCCAGATATGGGAAAGACAGTGAAGGTGCGTGTATCAGAAAATAATACGTTACAGCCCAAGATTTGTGCTGTTGGCACCATTTTAAAACAATGTTTGGCATTGGCGTGAGTGACCAAAGGTTTGACCCTGTGGAGCTCCTGACAAACAGTTTTGGTGGAAACTGGAGAGTCCAGGAACACATTTAATTCTGCTGTAAGATGGGCAGCTGTGGTTTTCTGTTTTTTTGGATACAATCTGCGTTGGTACTCAAACATCCCTTCAGACAGCTTCCTCTTGTGTCCACGGTTTTCAGTAATGCAATGGCATTTCATGAACTTTAATGAATTAGCAATGACTTTAAATATGAGATTAATTGTCTTAACATTCATTGACCATTTTGACTGTGTCATGGGGGGTGGGGGGGAGATTACAACGAGTTATGTGTACACAAAGTTTGGTGGTTCTACACTGTATTTTTGTACTTCATACACATTAAGCCTTTTTACGTTAACCATAATAATTGATAATGTACATTATCGGCTGGGTCCAGTACATCTGGATCCGGATTTTAGGCGCCTCTAAATTTGTAAACCATCCCTTCATTACTCAAAGGGTATGTGTGTTAAAACTAACAGTAATTAATAGTGAGTTAACCCAGCCTTGGCTCAGGACATTGCAGAGGATCTCTTATTGACAATATAATGCCGCAGTGCTCCAGGCAATTTCCAATACTGAAGACTGGAGCTGTCCTTCTGCATGCTAATTCTGCTTTATGGTTTGATTTAGGTATCAGGTTGTGGCTCTGCGCTGGTCACTGAAATGTTCCCGGGTTGTTTTCCGCAAACCAAAATATTTGTTTACTCTTTAGTCATACAAATTTTCCCACAAAGTCAAAATGTGTTTTGGCAGCATAGAGAAAACTCAGGTCAACAAAAGTATTATGATGCCATGAAGTAATCCCCCCCCCCCATTTTTAATTCTAAAAGTTTTAGTATTTGAATTGATACGGAGAACCTTGCCTAATGCCTCAATGTAAACAATAACTTGGCATTATTAGAATAAACTTTAAATTTTAACTGAGACACAACAGTGATTATTTTTGATAAGCAGGATTTAAATTTATGCAACTTTAATTTGAACTTTAACTGCACTTTAAATTGGAGATATTTCCCAAAATATGTTTTCTCCAGTTATTAATTTATTACGTTGACTAATCTGTGCCCATACGACCGTTATAAAGCGGCCTATCCAGTTATACTGCAACGGAAGCAAATATGCATATTAACATGATAAATCTTCCAAATGGTAGACAGAGGTTTCGACTCCCACGTAGCCTTCGTCATCCAGGATGATGGGCGCCGCTTCGTGGTTTGCTAACGTACTTAGATTAAATCAGCCAGCCTCAATTTCATGCATAATTCCCGGATGCGTTAAAAAAAAGCCATAAAAGTGCCTTTTAAGTTAATTTTCTATGAAAAACTATAACTCTGTGTCCCTACGTAACAGTGTATGAATAACACATTTTAAGCAAACACGTATCCTTTCCACTAAAATAGCTTGACGTTATACTAGTCATCCCATCACGAGATGGCGACATTGCGTAAAATCGAGGCTTTTTCGAGGAGCCCTTTTTTTCCAAAGTCCTTCTTTTTTTCTCGGGCCCCCATGTGTTTCTATTTTGTCACTATGTCACATCTCAACTCATATTTACATTTTAACAAAAAGACAGACAGCGAGGGGAGGGGGAGGGCTCACGCGTACAGACCTTCCTGCCTTTTCTGTCGGAGGCGTCGGCGGCTCGGCTCTCTGCGCTCGCGGTGGTTGTCTCGCGCTTCTCAGGTAAGGAAACGGGCACTTTTCGAATGTTTTGGGGGGAATGAAGTTTCAGCGGGACTTTGGGAAATGTGTGAATTGCCGGGGAAAGTTTTTTTTTTGTAATGGTGGTGGGGGGGCAGCTTGGTTGTAAAAGCCGGGGGAGCTGGCTCGGGCTTTATGCGCGTGCCGGGTACTTCCCGGTGCCTACGGTCGACTGTAATTTAATGAATGTACGGCTGCGCTCACGTGGTTTGACCGGAGCGAGACTGCAGATTCTTTTGTTCAAAATCAATCAAAAAAAAAAAAAAAAAAACGAGGAAGACGGACAGATAGGAGGGAAAAAGAGCATCGAAACCAGGAAATCCCTGCGTCGGGTAGCCTTCTCAGACAGCTAAAACAAAGATCGGCGGCGCCGTAAAGTTTTTTTCTTTCTTTTGATTTTCTTTTATTTTCTTCAACTTTCGATAGCTAGCTAGAGGGGAAAAAAGAAAACTTTTCAATCTTTATTTATTTCACTCGAGGTTTGTAGCCACTGCCGTTTCTCTTTATTAACTGTACCTAGCTGCTTAGCCTTTCTAGCTACATGTATTTTACGCCACTTTTGCAACTTAAAAAACCCCGAGCGTTTAAAGCTCCTATCCGGTTATTTGCGTTTATCGTCTGGATTTTGCCCGCTCGTAAGAGGGCTTTTTTTAGACTAATTCATTCTTGTTTTGTGTATATTCACACATTCCCCATTTGATGCTTCCATTTGGGTACAACGAAAAGACAACAAAGGGACGCAGATAGTTGATCCATATTTGAAAGCGTTGTGTTTTTTTTTTTTGATAGCCAGATGTTTCTCACTTAATCCCGCATATTTCTCCCAGAATATGTATTAATCCGAACTTTTGAAATGTGGTTTACATGCATAACATTATGGAGAACGTTTGTTTGGCGTCGCTTTGATTTAATTTAGGGTTATTTTTTCTGCTAATGGTTCGGGTAGCCTGCTAGCTGCCGTGCGCTGGCCATAGCCGCCGAAGACCATTTCTTTTTCCGTCCCGCTAATTAGCCGCACGGCTAGCAGAACTAGCTACACAGGGCGCTTTTGTTCCGGTTTTTTTTTCTTCGGATCCCAGGCGTCTTATTTGCCGACTGGGCGGCTAAAGCGGTTAAATACGTTTCCTTTTACCGTGTATTTTGGCTCTCTTTTCGACTATGTAGTAATACTTCCACCTCCCCGGATCCTGCAGATACAGCCGTTACCCGGCTATTTTTTGTTTGTAAGATTTAGGCGAAGCGCAGCCCGTAACGTTATTAATGGGATGGTCAGCACATCGTCAATGGTATCGCTAAACGGGACGCGTCTAAATCAACGAGCTCTTCCTATCGCTGGACCTTGTATATTAAACCTTATACGGCTATTAATTAATGGCTATGCGTGTTTTAGAGGTTTGGATAAACGCTTCGGGATTGCATACCCCCCCCCCCCAATTCGGTACAGTTTTTGGTCTGTCGGACTGATGCTGATGCTGTGACCGAGCTGTACCAGCGCCCCTCTTCCGATCCTCCTCACGCGGCGTTGCGTGCAGACCCAGCGGCGCGTCGCCGCTGCAAGATGAGGACCCGTCTGTGCCCTGGCAGGGCAAACTGGAGCACTGCTCGCCCGCATGGGGGCATTCACGCGAGGCGCCGGGCAATGAATATGTTCTTACTTCAAAGTGTATAAATAAACAGCAGTATGTGATAGTCATTCCAGGTATTCAGATATTAAATTCATTCTTTTAACATATTCCACCAGGAGTTACATTTTTATGTCGATGTTTATACAGTTAAGTCAATGAGTGCATTCCTTTGTAGGAAGGAGACCCCAGAACTCAACATTAATTGCTATGCATGTGGGTGACAAGTTGTAGGGAAGAGAAACCTCCAGATCACTGATCAATAATTGATTAACGTGCTACATATGTGATATTGGTTGATTAGTTTCTGAATGTCACACTCCCTCCTTTTTTTAAAAAAAAAAATCAGCAAGAATGCCACGTAAGAAGGTGACCGATGTGTCAGGGAACGGTGGAGTGAAGAGGAAGAGAGGAGGCGGAAGGAAGAAAGACAAGGACTTCAGCAGCGACGACGAGTTCTATGACTTTGAGCAGGAGAACACAAAGAAGGCAGGGAAGCCTGCCCCCAAGTGTGGACTGCAGCCCGTCACCGTGGCTGACGACGTCAAAGAGAAAATCGTAAGAGTCCTTCTCAGTGAGAACAGTAGCTTTACATGATGGCCGACACTCCAGTTTTCTTTGGCTCCACTTAGTGGTTTTGGGTAAAGTGTTGGCGACTGATTGAGCTCACAGCTGTTTTTAGAATAATAAGGCAACGGATCCCTCCCTTCCCCCCCACATACATTTGTACACCAAGTATTTTGCATGTTTTGGCCTGTTTTGCTTTCAATTCAATTAAGAATATAGGATCCTGGATTCCATCTGGGAATTGTGGCCAGCTCAATTACACACTCAACATAAATGAAAGCACCCCCGTCCCTTGGCTGGGACTTGGTGATTAAATCCCATACAATGGCCGTCCTGCTGTGCGGGTAGGGGGTGGGGGGGTGGCCAGATGGAATCGTGACGACCTGTCTGATGATTTTTTTTTTCCCCTTTTTTTTTCTTTTTTGCTCACATTGCTTTCTTGTTTTGTGTCACTTGGCCTTTGCTGGCACAGTCCGTCCCGGCAAGCGTGCGCTTGGTACGCCTGCCTGGTGTCTTTTTGATAAGAGGTATAGTTAAATGCGCTTCATTGCATTTGCAGGACGCTCCTTAGTGCCTGTATGTTTATCACACGGGTTCTGTGCCGAAGTACCTGTGGTATAGGCACCTACAGTTGGGGCATTATAACGAACAGGAAAATATGCTTTTTATCCTTGTATGCAATGACTTATCTCTCTCTCTCTGTCTCCCCCTCAAATGCCTTTGTATCTTAGAAAAATAATAATGAGGACAGGTTATAACATGCTGTAAGAGTAATATGCAGGAAGAGTGAGCTCATGGTCATGCCATTCACATGTGCTGCATTAAGGTGCTTTATTTCTAAGATCAAACACAACGTCGTGATCTTGTTACAGCGGCTCACAGTTTTGGAGAGTGGAATTTGTAATGTTTGTCTGGCATTCCACAGAACTGAGTCACTGTACAATAAGTGATTAGAATTTTTTTTTCCCCCTTGGCCAAATCTTAAAATTCCTGTTTTTGTTCTCATTTCATTCCTTTAATATAAAGCATGTCTGGAATCTTCCCTGATAGACGCTCGCAGGATTCCAGCAGAACTCCAGCTGCAGAAACACTCCCCGCTGTCCACTTTAACATCTTGCTGTTCTCTCTCAATAGAAACTGGAAGGGTCCAAGGTTAAAGGTCAGCTACTGGTTTTTGGAGCAACCAATTGGGACTTGATTGGACGCAAAGAAGTACCAAAGCAGCAAGGTATGTATAGGTGGTAACAGGGAGGGAAATGGCTGGTTCAGATGGTGAGTGAGATGAATCTGAAATGAGCCATTTCCCCCTTCAAGCAGTGTGTGTGACACTGTAGAATATTAGATTTTATATTAGAATTGTGTAATGGAGGTAGCCTTGGCAGCAGTCTGGGGTCTAATGAATGTGTTTCAGTGTTAAGCTTAACTGCCTTCTTATTCTGGATAGCTAACAGGTAGAAAGATTGGAGGTTCTGCAAAAGCAAAGAAAAAGAACAATAACGGTTTGTCACACAAGCTCATTTGTCTGTTAGAGCATGCTCTGTCATGTCTGGAAGACCACCTCAGGGATAAACTAGGAGCAGAGACCAGTACTTATGGTTTGTTACAGTGGCATAAGTCTTCATTTCTTAATAAGGGGGTGTCCAGCCTCATAAAGGCTGAAGTGCTGCTGGAAGTCTCAGCCATCACTGAAAATGACAGTGCTCCACATAATGCCAGTTGTTAAGATCCATTAGGGAAACCTGCTTGTAATTAGTTCTCCCCGTAAGCTTCTGCTTTATGAGCTGGGTGCTCCATCACTGTGTGGAGGTCATGTCTGCAGTGTTCTGGCTCCAGCTGACCTCGACGTTTTAGAAAACATTGTGGCTTTTGGCCGACAGTAAAGCCTGGAACACACCAAGCTGATTTTTGGCTGTCGGTGAGTGCCTTTCAGGCTGGTGTGTGCGGCACGATCACACGGTCGGTCCCCATCAGCTCTGTTTTGGCCGATTTTTATCATGTTGAATCGGCATCAGACCTAGTCGGTAAGCCGAACTCTATTATTGGGCTGTATGTCAGCCATAACCTGCTGTTGTGCCATTGTGTTTCAGCGTTTGTGGAAGATTTTAAGCATCGAAAGTAAACTATCAGCAATTAGGGTGTAAAGATGCTTCAGAATCGGGTAAGATAAAGATGGTACTAATGGGTTGCACACGCTCACTTCACCTGCTGCAGACAGATGCGTAAAGTAGCAGAGTGCACACAAATTTCTGAAACGTAGGATGACAGAGGCAGGCTCATTAATATTCAAAAAGGAAGCACTACTTGATAATCTTTGAGATACAATGCCTTTTTTGGTTAATGGTGCTTTTGGAAAAAAAAATATTTTTTTAGCTCAGGCATTGCAAGCTACCGTATCAGACCCTGAGGTAGGTAGCTAGCTGGCTGAGTAAAAAGTAGTTACCCTTAGAGGTGCATGTCATATAGGTTAATATTTTTATATCGGTCGATATTCAATGAAATTCAATTAATCAAGATATCGGCATTGGTCCAGTGTGTCAATCTTGGCTGAAGTTGCTGGCTGATATTTAAACTTTATCAATAGTCAAACTAAGCAGCATAAGACCTAAGGACACAACTGCAAAAATGGGGATGATTGCATTGGCCAATCAGCTGTTTTCCATCGTGAAGGACGAGGGATTTCGTTGGTTCATTATTAAATCTGACCCGCAGATTGATCTTTTGTTTCCCCCACACAAAGAAAAAAAAATGTCATTCCGCTAATCTGCGCCTGCAAGCTCAGCAAGCTTAACCATTGGCAACCTTCCTCCCCCCCCCCCATCATGAAGCCCTACATTTCACATCTTTGACTTTTCTGTAGTGTCCAGTAGTTGGGTCTTTGACAACGATACAAATTGTTCTGAGATTTGTATTCATGTGTAATAGGTAATAGTTTTTTTTGTGGAATTTTAAAAACGTTTGAATTTAGGTTCTAATCTACATCTATTAAGTGAATTGTGATGAAAGTGCATCAGATCGTCTTAGGACCCACGGTTTTCAACCCCAGTCAGTGAACTTGTTTTGCTCCAGGCCTCTGGTAGGAGGAGCAGTATTTGAGTCTTTCAGTTATGGAACTGGATTCCTGCCATAAGTGCTGTGAACTAACTTTGAGAATTTAATTTATCATTCGATGTCGCTGTCAGGCGTGGTAGCAGCAGGCGTTTTATTTGTTCACGTTGGTCCAAATGCAGGGTGGAGTTTTCACACTGGGGGCAGAATGGTTCCTCTGCTGGAATATCAAGGCACACGCCTCAGCAGGGGGTCCAGCTCGAGCGTGGCGGACATATTGGCTCACATCACCGGTCTCGTTCAGGGAGTTGTGAAGAGCGCGCACATCCGCATTCACTGGCAGTGCCGTTTGGGTGGCACACGGACATATTTGACTGTGGGTCAAATAAGGAAATCTGATGGCTGCTTCTAAAAATGTCAGGTGCATCCCATCGCGTAGCACGTTCATGAAGACGTCCGTTTGTGTTGCAGTGGCGTACCGGAACCTGGGACAGAACCTGTGGGGGCCGCACCGCTATGGCTGCCTGAGCAGCGTGCAAGTGAGCTTTGTAGTGTCCGGGCCCTGTGCTGCCCACAGCCTGCTCATCACCGCCGAGGGAAAGCTCTGGAGCTGGGGTAGGTAACACTGCTTCACTCCGTGACTGCTATTGGTCAGTCTATGTGGACTGGACTGTCAATCAGTGGCTGGTTTTAACCCAATTGGCTTAAATTCTGTTGGGTTTCAAAGTCATTGATAGGTGTAACCTGATCAGCATGAATATGACGCAGTAGGATTGAGGTCCTCTGGTATCCTCAGAATCCCCTTAAACCACAGGATGGGTATGACACCCATCTAGCTTTTAAAAGATGTTGTATAATTGTGCGAGGAGATGCTTTGCGTTCATTATCCTGATGGATGGCTGTATTGAGCTCCAGAATGAAACTGACTGCATCCGACAACATTTACCCCCTTTAGGTCGCAATGAGAAAGGGCAGCTGGGTCATGGAGACACCAAGCGCATAGAAGCTCCTAAGCTGGTGGAGGCCCTGGGTGAGGAGGTGATTGTGGCAGCAGCCTGTGGGCGCAACCATACCCTGGCACTGACAGGTCAGTAAACCTCCCCCCAATGTGTTCAGGGACTAGACTAAATGGGCTGTTTCTCGATAGGCGTATTTGACCGTACTTGTGTTCTCATGTAAAAAAAAAAAAAAAACTCCTGGATGTTGTTCTTGCTCTGCCCCAAATATCAAGGATATATCGGTTGCATCCTCGCCAAACAAGACCAATTCCATAATTCATAATAATGCTCCCCAAGTTCATTCTTGGAAGGTAAGTAAGCAAGACTAGTCTTCCCAAGACCACAAGTACGATCTTTGCGGTCTTGGTATTGAGAAACAGCCATGGTCCAAGTACAGAAAGGTTCAGGGATTGCAATGTCAGACTGACCATAGGAATCCTGGAAGCTCTGAGCTCAAGCTGCATGGTAACCTATCCCTCACAGAGAATGGTGCCGTCTACTCATTCGGAGAGAATAAGCTGGGTCAACTGGGTCATGGCAACCAGACTGATGCTGTTCCTACCCCTGCCACAGTAAGCTCCGCCTCATTACCCAGGGTACACTGCGCACACACACAAAGCTTAAGCTTCTCGAATATGAAATGCCACAAAAATTGACAAACTTTGGTTCTGCCTCAGTTAAAAAAACAAAAAAAAAAAAAGAATTCCCATAGGCAATATTACGTAACAGATCATGTTACATAATTCTAAATGCACAGAATAATCAATATGCATCATTACCAAGAATAACATCTTGGTTTAGCTGGAGGATCATTTCAAACCCCTGATCTGGTTTTGACTAATAATTGGTCTCTGTTCTGATAGTCTTTTTTTGTCTCTTACTTGTGTTTGAGGTCACACAGCCACTGAGTTTTTTTTTTTTTGGGGGGGGGGTCTCGCAGACATTGTCTGTGCCGTTGCTGCTGCTTTGGAGGCAGAGTATCACTTGCATGCACTCATTCTTCATCCCCTTTCAGATCCAGTACAACGGGCAGCCGTTGGTGAAGGTGGCTTGTGGTGCTGAGTTCAGCATGGTCGTTGACTGCAAGGGCAACCTGTATTCGTTTGGCTGTCCAGAATATGGCCAGCTTGGTAAGGACCAGGCCTTTAGCCACTAAGAGGTCTTTAGCAGTGGTGGTGCTCGTGAATTTAAAATCTACCTTCTTCCCACAGGACACAACTCGGATGGGAAATTCATTGCCCGAGCTCAGCGCATCGAATTTGACTGCGAGCTGATCCCACGCCGTGTGGCCATCTTCATTGAGAAGACGAAGGATGGGCAGGTGATGCCGGTGCCAAATGTAGTGGTGAGGGACGTTGCCTGTGGCTGCAACCACACGGTGAGTCGTTGGTGGGGGGGTGACATGTAAGGTTGCCATCACCATGAGTCATTAGCAGCTCACGTCTTACTGATTGGTGGACAGGCTTTGGATAAGTGTCTGTTGCCAAACTGGAAATAATGGGTGTTGTGACGAGAACAAAGCAGCACCTTGAGTTTTTTAATCTATTAGTGTAGGTGACCTGGAAGGGCATTTTTTGTATACGACCCCCTGTCTGGTATGAAATGATTAATCATTGGATTCTTGATCTTTCTTTCAAATTGATTTTGCTTTCTGTGAGTAATTTTGTACTTGTTGACCTAATGTGATACTGGATGAATGGAACATGAGTCTTGAGCAGTTTTACTACTAATGAGTAGTAGTGTAGTGTACAGTGTAATGTGTGGACAGCAATTGCTGATGTTGAGTTGGACTAAAGGAAATTTTTTCTTCAGTGAAGCACAATGAAGCATTCAGTAACCGAAGTAGGCCTGGACCGTCAGATACTTCTGCAGCTTAGGCGCAGTAATGACATTCCCGTGTGCTTGCAGCTGGTGCTGGACTCCCAGAAGCGGGTCTTCTCCTGGGGCTTCGGTGGGTATGGCCGCTTGGGCCACACAGAGCAGAAGGATGAGATGGTGCCCCGCTTGGTCAAGCTTTTTGACTTTCCGGGACGCGGGGCGTCCCAGATCTACTGTGGCTACCAGTGCTCGTTCGCCGTCAGCGAGATGGGTGAGCTGTTCCCACAGATTCATCTGAAATCAATTACAAATCAATATATAACTTGGTACTGAGGGGATATAGAGATGCCTATTAATGATTAGCATTCTTTGGGATGGAGTCCCATTAAGTCTGGCTCAGGTTCTACCCAAGTTAGCAATTGAGTAGCTAACAATACATAGGAATAAGCTTAACTCTTTGTGGGACCCTAATTGTCTTAAATCAGTCAAGCACCACTTATATTTTGTATTGTTACTCTGAAGCACTTTTGATTTGGTGATGATACTAGTATATTTGAGTATGTTTGATACTGACCAAAGTTGCTTCAACATGTTGGGAGGAAGGTAACCCCTATACTTAGCATTTGAGCATGGTTGTCTGTTTTACAGGTGGTCTGTTTTTCTGGGGAGTGACTAATACGTCACGGGAGTCCACCATGTACCCCAAGTCGGTTCAGGACCTCTGCGGCTGGAAGATCCGGAGCCTGGCCTGCGGGTGAGCGTCCTAGGCCCGTGAGATGGGCGCTGAAGAATCGCGTTGAAGCTGTTTGACACCGTGTCATGACGGCTTTTTTTTTTTTCTTCCAGGAAAAGCAGCATCATCATTGCTGCTGATGAGAGCACCATTAGCTGGGGTCCGTCCCCGACCTTCGGCGAGCTGGTGAGTGGGGGGAGGATTACAGAGTATCCAGGATTACAGAGTATCCAGGATTACAGAGGGCTGATGAGGGGAAGATTTTGGGAAACAAAAGCTCAGATACGCTGAACAAATTTTATGAAATCAGTCCAATTATAGGAAATATGGCAAAAGTTAACAACCTGGTCCGAATGATTAACTTTTATCTGTCTGAGGTTTCGTAATCGGCCATACCAGGCTGTCCCCCTGTGTGTCACATGTAAAACCCCTTGAACGGTTAAACACGTTTTATCACATTGTCCTCCTTTTAACTCCTTTTGGCGAAGTTAACATTTTACTGACTGTTTTTAAAAGACAGTTTTAGTAAAGTGAAGCCAGTGGGTTTCAAGCATCTTATTTGGATTGTTTAAGTTGTTTGTAACGTTTTATGGTTACTCATGAAGTTTCTACATTTCTTGGTTATTCATCCTGTTTTAATGCCCATATACCCTCGGCCCTAGTTGCTCGCACGGCGCTAAGTCAACATATCTAACTGATGACTGCCGCAGATGCAGCCCAGACCCCTGAAGGGAAAATGCGCCTGGCCACTTGGGGCTGTATTTTATCCATCATGATTTCAGCTTGCTAAACATCTTTGCTGAAGAACATAAGTGCATTGCTTTTATTTAAGGGTCTGTTTAGAGGCTATTGTGTTAAGGTTACAGAAATTGTTTCTGAACACGTTACTTTTGTTTTGCATCCATTCAACACTGTGGGCCAGTGTCAAGTGGAACTCCTGACTCTGGGTAGACCTGCTATGTTGAGTTACTGATGTTCTCTTGTATTTTTCAGGGCTATGGTGACAACAAGCCTAAGTCATCCACCACTGCACAGGAGGTGAAGACCTTGGATGGGATTTATGTTGAGCAGGTGAGGACTCTAATTTCAGCCTCTTTATTTTAGTGCCATTTTAGCGACATCTGTATATTGTGTGCATGAGAAGTGCTCCAGGAAGAAGCTTGTTGCTATGTTGCCACTACAGGTAGTGATGGGATACTCTCACACGCTGGGCATCGCCAGGCAGGAGACAGAGGCAGAGCGGGAAAAGCTCAAGAAGCTGCCAGAGTACAACCCCCGCATGCTCTGATTGGCTGCCGGCCCTTAAACTCCCACCCACTCCCGTCCTCACAGAGTGTCCTCCATTACGGAATGCTCTCTCACAGTATCACCAGTTTGTCACAGTAAAGGGTTATGGGTGGGGAGGGTTGGAGAAACCTATAGTGGTGAAACTCAGACATTTCATCTTGGGAAAAAATGTTTAAAAAAAAAAATACAAAAAATATACATTCTCTCCTCAAATTGGACCATCTCCTGTGAAAGGGGGGCTGGCGAGACCGAACACCCCCCACGGACTGCTGCCCCCCCCCCAGTATCCCCAGCCACACTCAGCACCTTCAGGTATTCTCAGTTACCAGGACCTCCACGCTCTTGCTTCTCCTCTCTAGCTGGATGGAAACTCCCTCATGTTCAGTTGCTGAAGAATTCATTGAAAGGTTGTTGTTTTTGTTGTTATTCTTTTCTTCCACTCTCTGTCTGCCCTTGACCTTCCCCAAATATTGGCGTGTGAAAGGGATCCATGTCTATTATCTTACAATGGGTGCTATGTTGTCTTGATGCAAATAATGGCAGGGCGGGGATCTCTAAGACGAACACTCCATATTTGTGCCTTTTTATGTGAAATATTTCAGGTTAAGGCTTTTTTTTTTGTTGTTGTATGTACAGGTTATTTTTACCTTACCAGTGTCTTCGCACGCATCAGTTAAACAGTCAGGATGTGGGATAACTATGTTGTGCCATGTTGTTCTTGTTGTCTTTGTCCATTTAAGCTATTCCATTTTTTCAGTGGTTTTTAATCCCACCCCCAACTGCTGGCTGATAAAATCAGAAAGCATGCAGACTTAAGAAGGACTGGTAAAGCAGGATGTTGCCCAGCGATGAGGATTTTGTTGTGACCTTTAAGACCAAAATGGATGGCAGCAGACCCTGATGTTTGGCTCTTGACATGCCGGTTTTATGCTCCCTCAGTTTTTCGTTGAGCTGTTTTGTGTTTTGGCAACGTGTGTCCAGTGAGGTCAATTGACCTTATTTGGATTTGAGAATTTTTTTTTTTCCACTGAATTTAATTAAATGTTAATTAAAGGTTTGTCAGTGTTGTTTCTTCATTTGAACTTTGAACCTAAGAATGACAGATGAAATACCACTAGCTTGCATGTCTAGGTGGTTATTTAATGCAAACCACAAGCTGAGGTGTGTGAATGAGCACTGGGTGAAGGGCATTAAGCCAGTTATTTGTGACAAATGATCACCTGCTCCAGTGTGTGGTTTAATGCGTCATTCCTCCTCACTTCTGACAGCAGTGTGTTGCGTTGGCGTGGAGCATAAGGTTTCTTGGTTAAATCGGAGGCTGATACTTCAGGGTTTTCAGTAATTACTCCGAGCTAAATAAATCTGTCAAAATACCGGTGCCATGAAATTTAATACGCCTCATTTCGTTGATCTCCACACCCCACCCCCCCGAGAGGGAACGTGCAATCTTCACTGCCACCCCTGTAAGATTTGCATGTAAAATAGGTTGCATTAGCACTGGCATAAGCCGTATGAAAACGCAGTATTAACCCCTGCCACAAAAGCATTCAGACCTCTTAAGGCTGGGGTGCTGTAAGGGGGGGGGGTGGAATTTAGGACGATTCGATGGGCCCCCAAAAAAATTGGAACATAATTGAATTGGTCTGGGTGGGGGGCCAATATGATATATTTTAATTGAGCCCAAAATCTCTAGCGGTGCCTGTCTTAAGGTATATTTTATGAATGTACAACAGTATATATACAATACAGTAAAACTTTATGTTGACGGACAGACTGCAATGTTTTTATTGCGGAAGTATGGACTCCTCTGAAATAATCATTCAATGGTGCGATGGGGGTGCGGGCGACACTCACGAAGATTTAAGGCGATACTAGGTCCCTCAAGGACGTGTGTTCCTCCTATTTTGCAACATACTATCTTTTCACCAACTAGCCTGATGAGTCACACACTGTTTCATAGCCTACGTAATGTATCTCTATTCCGTTTAACACATGGTAATTAAAATGTAATAATCATGCGGCCGCATTGTCTTCATGCACTAAATGTAACCCCTTTTACGGATGATGCCATTATGATGTGCGGCGTCCTTGGGAATGTACTCTGTAGCTCAGCCATAGTGGGACCTTTCAAACGCGTTTCCCATTATGATTCACCAGAATGCATGTTACTTTGGTACGCAAGGCTGCTTTAAATATATTTGCTTGCTTTGGAATCAGTTTGCTTTCGGTGGACGTGATTGATTGCTTTGGGAAATATGCACGTCAGAACAAACGCGTTTTGCAAATCAATAACGCTGTTTAGGGAGCAGCGGGTTAGATTTCCAAATTGATATTTACATTTTCAAAATGATGTGACAAAGATAGCAATACATTTACTTTTAGTATTTACTAATTACCTTTCCGTGGTATAAATAAACATACAAGCAGTATGTGTAAATTCTGTATGAAAGCGTGAAACTGTTAATTGTAGATTTACTCATACTTCGTAAACCCATAGAACAACTGTGTTAGTAACATTAAGCATATAATTTAACACTTTGAAAAATCATTAGAGATCGACCTTTTCGGTTATTTGTTTTGCTATTGGAGCTTGATTTCTTTTTAGATTTCAAAACAAGACTGGAAAAACAATAGGAGCAGAAATACATGACAGCGGTGGTAGCACAGGACGTCGATTTCGATGTGAGAGCCGCTGCGGCACACGGCGGAGAATGAAGCTGTGCCGCCCCCTGGTGGCCACAGTCATGCGGCACATAATCACCGTAGTGCTCTCTGCGTTGAAATCATGATTAGCAAATTCAATAGGTGTAATGTCACTCCGAGATTCAGCAGTCTTATCAGAGCAGCGATAAAAGCCATGCGAGGTTGTAATAACGGTTAGATAATCCTAAACAATTGTAAAACACTAAATAATTAAGAACACAGATGTATACCTGACAATCGACGGAAATGTTGCTCACGATGTTATCTTTCAAGCCGGAGTGAGAAAGATTATTCACACAGAGATTTAAGCAAATATTTGGAACGAGCGGCCGGTGGTAAGCGACAAGCCTTCAGTAATGAGAGTACGTTTGAGGATTAAAACTGATTCTGCAAAATGTGTCATATGAAATTATTTTTTTTGGGGGGGGGGGATTACAGAGTATCCAGGATTACAGAGGGTTGATGAGGAGAAGATTTTGGGAAACAAAAACTACAAGAGTATATCAAAGCGCAGAACTCCACTCGACCATGAACGTAAGAACCCGCACGTCCCTTGGTCATTTTCATTCCAGTTATTTTTGTAGGGCACATTCGTAGAGTAAGATTTTTTGTGTTAAATGTTTTTTCTTTTGTGCATCCATCATCAGTCATCTTTATCTTCATGGCACCTTTTTTCTCTCCCCTGGTTTTGGTTTAGATTATCCACCATTCAGTCACCCGCTGTTCTCTACCGGCAGAGATAGTTTAACTGCCGGGGGGTGTCAGCCACAGACGAGGTACGGAACTTATCCTAATACGCAGAAATGGTCTCCTAGCAACAGGGCCGTTTGTCTTGATGCAGGGCTCTCCCAGGCTGCTGCTGCAGGCAATGGCGACAGATACTCAGAGATCAGTCAGAACATGAAGGGGCAACAGACCACCGGGCAGCCTCGGCCTCACTAGCCCAGTCGAACGATTTCAGACTTATTAATCCAATTACACTAAAATGGTGCATAATATGCGAAATGCTACTTACCCAACGCTTTATGATGTAGTTTTGATACTTATAACATTGATTATACTGGCAGGTTATAATTCCCAAACGTCAGGGAATAACCCAAGACAGAGTGCCGACCCAATGCGGGGCGCACACACACACACCATTCACGCACACACACACACACACACACACACACCATTCACGCACACACACACACACACACACACACACCATTCACGTACACTTCCATCAATGCACGGATTTGGCAGCTCCATTTCATCTTAACACAGGCTTCCTACACAACTTCCATTTAAAAATTCCTTGAACAAGGAAACTAGGTTTGCTTTCACCTCTGGTAGGAGCCCGGAACCCCCCCCCAAACACACACGCTGCTCCCACCAAAATCTATGCCCTTGTAAGTCAAGCAAGTGAAGCCTCCCTATTGCCAGGTATCCTACATCAATATTTCATTGTTCTTCACTGTGCACTCAGAAGCACATTCTGACAATCAGCTCACTTCAGCAAGGACTTTAATAACTATGTCTTGATGTTTTTCTGAATACGTAGCAAGTGAATTTGTGGCAGAGGTCTGGAAACACCAAAACATTTCCTACTCTTTCCTTTTTGTGTACTTACTCAGACTTGGAAAACATCAAAATCAAATTCCATACTTTTCCATAGCATCTTTTGGATGGTGGAGTGAAACTGAAGGATCCAGACGAAGCCCCCAAACAAGCCCAGAGAGCCCCATCCCCCTAAACTTCACCATGTCCATAGACCGGGGTCGAGGAATCGAACCCTGGTCTCCATTGGCACGAGGCTTCCCACAGCGCCACCAAGCATTTACATTTGGAAGAGCGGAAACATGCAAAAGTGTGCAGTGAAAAGGGGAGTGGATTGGGGTTTGGACAGCTACGCTCATAAAGGAGTATCAAGACAGGTTAAGTTACCAAAATCCTTCACTATAAGAAAAATACATTTAAGACTTATTAAAAAAGCACCTTTTGCTGGGTTGCTCATAGATCAAAATCTACCACCACTAATACCACAGCATGCTGCATAAAACCCATTTTACTGCATTGAAGTGCCTAACAAGCTAATAAACCCAGCTCTCAGCATTCCCTCCTTCACACCATCACAAACCATTAAGCGGCACTGCAGAACCAGAGCATCGTTATTACTGCCAAATTCTATCATCATAATCCCATGACGGCCCTCAGTCTCCAAGACCGTTTGTATAAACAAACATATGTACAGCACCCACATTCAGACAGCAAACATATGGTGGGCATAAATTACTTGGCATCCTTACCAAAGCTTAAAATTAATTTTTAAAAACCTGGCATGCTTTCTACCTGCATTTAATAGGCATGGCGATTCATTTTATGGAGTCGATTATGGCTGCATTATTAGTTTTAATAAATCATCAACGCACTGGTGCCGAAGTTCGCTATAACGACATCGCCGCTGCTGACATCTCAGTGACTGAACACGTCTGTCACTCAAACACAACCGCAGAGGTCAGACTTCGTGTATACTTTGAGTATTTATTGAATGTACAAAACTGAGGCAAGCTCTGTTTAATCCTCGTCTTCCTCCTCTTCCTCGTCCTGGTTGATCTGGAAGTAGCGCAGCTCGTAACTCTCCTTGGTGTTGGCTACGACACGCAGCCAGTCCCTCAGGTTGTTCTTCTTTAGGTACTTCTTTGTCAGGTATTTCAGGTACCTGTGGGCCAGTGACACACACAGTCAAGGCAGGAGAACCACAGCTGAACACGGACCTCAGCTGAACACGGACCTCAGCTGAACACGGACCTCAGCTGAACACGGACCTCAGCTGAAAGGAAAGTGAACATGTGCATTAAACGAGAAGCACCACTGAAGGCTCTGAGAGCAGGTAAACTTGAAGGAGTTCATGGAAGTGTCACAGACATTTCTCAAATCTGATGAGCATAAAAAAATACTAGTGGAAAACAACCTAAAAACTTGTGATTCATGGAGTTTAATAACATGTTTCTGACTTTTAAATCAGAATTTGTGTTAACATTTTCAGAAGCAAAATTATTTATTTATTTATTTTAATATCAGTTCAAAAAGTGCACAATGACTTACTGGAAACATGTAATGAAAAACAAATAGCGATTGCATTTAATCACCCAGGAAATAATATTCATTTAACAATAATTCAAATTTTCATACAATTCAATTAGCTCAAAGTATCAATCTATAAGTATTAATTTTGGATGCACACAGACCCTATAACCCAAATAATTAAAAAATCCTGAACCAACATTCCTCAGCTATGCAGATTTTTCTTCTCAAATTGGGAAGCCTCTTGAAAAGGTTTATATATTGGTTAACATATCGGCAAACGCTTGTTAAAAATCAAGAGCGTGTGTGTAGTATCTGCCCGATGTGGCAATCTCGGTCGATATTCTCAGCTGACATTCAGGCCTTAGTCAGTATTCAAAGTTACTAGCATCAGAGCTAAAGCCATAACCAGCAATCAACTATTTTAGATGAGACAACCAGCCAATTTCTATGGTGAAGGATGAGGAATTCAGTCATCTCATTCACCACCTAGTACCTTGCAAGTCACCCAGGTCGGTGCTATTCTGCTGAAATCTCACTGCCTGCATTGGTGTTGTAGCTACACACATCCATGAAATCTTAAGATGCAATGTCACCAACATCAGTTTTACTACAAATTTGTGGAATTCAGAGGCTGGTTGCTTATTGGTAACTAATATCAGACAAAATATACTGGCTATCAGTAATATTAGACACAAATATACCGTTATTGGCACGACCAACAGAACGCGAATGTATACTCAAGATTTACTTAACCAAGATTAAACCCATTATAAACAGGTGAGCTCAATGTGGTATGAATAGGATTCATGGACATTTTCAGGAATTAATTTCTCAAAAAGCCTCATGCTTGCATATGGTCAGCAACCATATGCAAGCATGATGCTTTTGAGAAATTAATTTCTGTAATTTCATGACAGAGTGGCATAAAAGCATTCTGGGTAAGACTGTGCTTACAAGTTGCTTTTACAAGTCTGAAAAGTACTGGTTAGGGTGCTTTTTGTGCTTTTATGAAAGAAGACTCAAAACATGACAGAGACAAACATGCCCGACGAAGGCTCATCAGACAGGTCAAATTACTTGTTCACACATCAAGGTAGACGACCAAGGAATCGCCATCAAAAGATGGCTAATGATTCTGGGACGTTATCATACTTCAGCTTATCATACTTACTATGATAATACAAAATAAAGGCATCCGATTTTGGGATGTAGACATTATGGTATTTTCAATAATAATCTCAATTAAGAAACTCATTTAAAGTCAATAATCATAGCAGCTAAAGCACAAAATTCAAGATTTAAAAGTTCTATTGTCATTCCTACACATCAGCACACCGTGCTGAGAAAGGAACAACGTGTTTCCGAGTGTAGTGCACAGCAAAAAAGGACGATATCCTGGCAGTAATGAAATTACTTAATTCTGGGCGATTAAAACATTTTCTTTAAGCAAAAACAAAATCACACAAACGCGTCATGTCAAAATTATTTTTTGTTTAAACTTGGAAGCAGCAACAAGAAGGATCAACACTTCACAGCTGAAGAAAATCATAAAATAACCAGCAGGTTTCACAGTATATTTCTGAACCAAACACAATAAAACACAAAATGTGGCTTGTAGTACTTAAACTGTAGTTAATTACATTTGAAATTTAGATCAAGGCAGAATCAATAGCCAATAAAAAGGGAATTCAGATATTATCTAAGTATATTGCCAAGTATTGCCCATGAGCAGTGAGCACTAAACTCAAATTCAATCAGGTATTTGGTCAGATTAAATTAATTTAAGAATAGTTTTTATCAAATAGTTTAGAATAACGGGCTTAGCTCAGGACCATTGTTACTTTTTTTTTTTTTAAATTTGAATCCAAATTTTACAAATTATGCATCATATTCATGTCAGAAAAGCAGTACTGTAAAATTAAATGGAACATTCTGCAGTAACTAACATAATAGTGCACTGTTTTTATAAGAAAAAAAAAAGTCCAACATTAGAAGAAAAGATTCAAAATTATTTAAAATTTCAAACTCAACGATGGGTCATGGGACTGAGTGGCTTAGAAGATACCAGAGATTAAAGCATTCAAAATGCAAAGCAATACGGAAAAGGATCAAATTAACTCGGGTACCACTGCGAGCTCATTACACAAGCATGGAACAAAAAACACACACAAAACCAGCACAGTAACCACAGAGGAACCACAACAACTTCCAGGCCATCATGTAAAAGCAGGAAAACTAAAGTGTCCATTTGCTGAGTAAAGGCTGGTGCTGGCATTGATCCAGCAATTTAAATGCGTGAACCCGGAGTACGGATCGGCAACGTCATTAAAATTTAGGTGACTGCAACCGGTTCTACTCCTTCTACACTGTAGAGGAGTCTCCTATGTTTGTATATTCGTGGGGAGGACAGTGGTACTAAGGCAGGGTACCTACCTCTTGGAAAAGGGGACTTCAGACGTCACTGCGATCTTGCTTTTGCTCCTCTCAATGCTCACCACACCGCCACCGAGGTTCCCAGCCTTGCCGTTAACTTTGATGCGCTCTTGCAGAAACTGCTCCTGTGACGAGTTACAGCACAAATAAGGTCGTCATGCTACATCAACACAGACAGGCTTCTGCCCCTTCCCAGCAATGCAGACTGACTGCACCACTCTGACATGACCTAGAATAGAAAAGGGGAACTTCTTCTTAGAAGGTGAGAGGTGAGAGTAAGCGTGGGGGGTCACAGGGCCCCTGGAGCTGGGGGGTTAAGGGCCTTGCTCAAGGGCCCACAGAAATGTGACTATTATGGACAGGTGAGCATACAGAAGTCTGTATCATTAAAGTGCCCTAAGATGACAAAACCCATCAGCCCCTCTCAGTCAGAAGCAGCTACATTTTTTGCCAAGTACAAGCAAGTATAAGGAATTCGTTTTGGTGCTTACATATTGCACAGTAGGTTATCACAACACGGAGCACAAACAGAATAACACACAGCACAACACAAGTGTGGACAATATTTAGTGCAAAAGGATAGGCATTCTGAGGGCTGGTTCAATAATTCCACGACTCTGGGGAAAAAAGCAGGAGCTGATAGTGTCCCATGGCACCTTCTGAACACCTGGATAATCAGGCTACAAATACAGCCTTGAGTCATGGTAACTTTACACGGTCTGTAGTGATTACAGGCAAAAGACTGTCACAAATATAGGTAAAAACATCCATTTAAGATATAAAACTGATAAAACAAGGCCTGTGTTATAAAACAGAGACACCAAGGATAAAGCAAACAATTAAATATCCAGTCAAATATGGTGAGATATTACTCTGCTTATGGACTCTATAGTTCAGTGGTTAGAGCGCGAGTCATATAAGGCAGGGATCATGAGTTCAGTCCTTGCTGAGGCTTACAAGTCATGCATCTGGACCATAACTGTGGGAGTGATGTGTGGTTCTGTCGGATGTGCCTGAGATTAGAAGGTTTCCGGTTCAAATACCAAATTGGCCGAACTGATTACACCATCAAGCCCACCAGCAAGGCCCTTAATCCTGAGCTGCATCAAGGACTGTCAGACGCTGCATTCTCAATTTTATGTCACTTTGGATAAAAGCATCTACAAAATATGTAAAAACTGAAAAGCGTTCAAAAATCAGCTATTAAGGACATGGATACTTACAAAGTTCCCAGCGTCCATGATGCCATCTTCTACTGGGTGAGTGCAGTCCAGGGTGAATTTCAGGACCTGCTTCTTCTTCTTCCCACCCTTGACATTTGCCTTTTTCTAGTTCACAAACAAAATAGCATTAGCCACTCAAGAACACTAGACGGTTGGTGTCAATCGACAAATTCGTAACGTGAATATTCTTCCAATAATCGACTCATCCCTTATCTAGCACTGCCTTTCTAAAAACTTATCACACCAATAAAAAATTATATCTAATAAACACTAACACGACACTAAAAGAACAAAACTCTAATGTATTTCACACATAGATCTACATATCACAAATGTAATGACTACATTGCGGGGCACAACTTCGTTCGAAGCTACACCACCACTAACTACAATTACAGTCGATCGCTGAAACATAACTCATAAAGTCGGGGAAATGTCTCGAAAACTTTAATCGATGGCAATATTTGTACCATTCTTTTAAAAGAAACAGCTGACTTCGTCCAAAATGCATCAAATTAGATAACCAAACTGCAATGGTTATACGTGTGGAGAAAGCGCAGGCTGGCTATGAAGGGAGTAACAACGTGGTTCACAGAAAGCAGGCCCGTCTGTGGGGTAGTGTCCACAAATACTTATTACTAAAGACTAGCGTGATAAAACTGCGCACGATTAGCCGTTTCCTGTACCTCGTTCTTTTATACATTAACTACAGTGGTTACACGATCCGTCTGAAACACTTAAGCATGTTAAATGTTAGCGTGTAAAGAGACTCGATCTTATTACCCACCGGGGCCATGGCGAAAAACTCGCAGAAAGGAAGAGCGGGTTCTGCGCAGGCGCTTTGGAGCAAGTCTGACGAATCAAATGCCGAGATTATCGGAAGATCCGTGAATATGAAGTCGATTATTATAATAGAGAATAAACGGAGTGGAACCCAGCTTTATATTTTAAGTTATTTAATTACAAGCAAAAACATACAAAAATGTTCACAAATTCTAGTTACCAACTACTGAACTGTAGATTTTGCCTTAAATGTTCAAAATGTTTCTATACTCCTGTATAATCTTCTTGTATCAAAAAATCCTCCCAATGTAATGGAACTACAAAACAAAAGACAAAAACTATATAAAACAAACAGCGATGTAAAATATTTAAGTGAAAAATAGACAACAATACATAAAACGCGATTTCACAAGACCACATTTTCCCAAAACCTAAGAAAAAAAGGTACGTTTTAAGTTGCCCTTTAAAACCAAAACGCAATGACGGAGGAAGATTGTTTCACAAGCTTGGGGCAATGACTTGAAATGCCCGATCACAACGCGTTTAATTAATATTTAAATAATTACTATTCCACCTAGGTAAATGTGAAACCTGTTTATCAACACAATGAGTATCCTCCCCCCCCGATATCTCAGCAGGTGTTATGCCGAAAAAGGCATCCCTGCCATAGAATGCATGCCTGTCTCTAAATGACCGATTGGTCGCTGTTCTGAAACGAGTTGAGCTACTTTGTCGAGTTAGGCTACCGTAGTGCTAATCGTTAGCCCTCACCCTTACCCTAACCCTAATCCCCAAAAAAACCCGTAAAACCCTAACCCTAATCCCAAAACACCCCTAAAACCCTAACCCCACAAACACCCCTAAAACCCTAACCCCCCCCCAAAACCCCTAAAAGCTCAACTCGTCGGAACACCGGCATGCATTATACGGGAGGGATGCCTCTTTCGGCATAACACCGGCATCATCAGTTGTTCCCAACCATGTGTCCTGCAAAAATGTTTAGAAAACGCATAGACATGCAGGCAGGGTCCAGTGTACTGGTGATGAAAGTGCACGTATAAGACAGTACAGATAGACTCAGAAAAAAGGGCTTGATTTGAACGCATTTCAAAGAAATACAAATATGTTACAACATACAGCGTGAGTGAAAAGTTGGGAATCACCCAAATATTTTTATTGGAATAGTGATTCTTTATTCCACAAGAATATAAAATTTCTGCTTTTTGTTTATATTTATTGGTTGTGAAGTTTGACCGTGCAGACATTAAGCAACCATGCAGAGTTGCACTATGCATAAAGCCCATGCAGAGAGTGACATTATGCATTAAGCAACCATGCAGAGAGTGACATTATGCATTAAGCGACCATGCAGAGAGTGACACTATGCATTAAGCGACCATGCAGAGAGTGACACTATGCATATAATGACCATGTAGATAGAGTGTGACATTATGCATTAAGCGAGCATGTAGAGAGTGACTATGCATTAAGCGACCATGCATTAAGCAACACTATGCATTAAGCGACCATGCAAAAGTGACCATGCAGATAGTGACATTATGCATTAAGTGACCATGCAGATAGTGTGACATTATGCATTAACGAGCATGTAGAGAGTGACTATGCATTAAGCGACCATGCATTAAGCGACACTATGCATTAAGCGACACTATGCATTAAGCGACCATGTAGAGAGTGACACTATGCATTAAGCAACCATGCAGAGAGTGACATTATGCATTAAGTGACCATGCAGATAGAGTGTGACATTATGCATTAAGCAAGCATGTAAAGAGTGACTATGCATTAAGCGACACTATGCATTATACAACACTATGCATTAAGCGACCATGCAGAGAGTGACATTATGCATACAGTATAGTGACCTTGCAGAGAGTGACACTATGCATTAAGCAACCATGTAGAGAGTGACACTATGCATTAAGCAACCATGCCGAGAGTGACACTATGCATATAGTGACCTTGCAGAGAGTGACACTATGCATTAAGCGACCATGCAAAGAGTGACAATTTGCATATAGTGACCTTGCATAGAGTGACATTATGCATTAAGCAACTATGCATTAAGTGACTACGCAGAGAGTGACACTATGCATATAGTGAGACCATTTTACAGAATATGTTCAATGCACTTTTCAGTTAAATGTCTTTTGCAATTTTAACCATGTGATTATCTTTCCATTTGGACTTATTGAGTTGATTTCAAAGTGGTGGCCTTCATGACGGCAGAGGGGTTTTCATGCAAACCTCACAGACTCACCCACTGGCCTAATGCAAAATAAGCACAGAATGGAAAATTAATTAGCTAATACAAAATTGTACAATCATTCATGTTATGGAGATATGCGTTTTGTATACAGTAGGTCTTTTATTTTCAGTTTTCATATACACAAAACAGATAGCAAATTGCAAATGCGTGTTAAAAAAACTCCAGGGAACAATTGTTACGTAAAAAAATAAGGGCAAGGTTTGAGGGCAGAGGAACCGATGTTCCGATTCCCACCCTGTTGTCCGTCGTTTATATTATTTATGAGGGTCAGTATGAACAGGCGTTTCAAAATCCCGCTCCCAGCTTATCAGTGTCACCTGCAGCTGCCCGTCTAGTGCAGAGATGGGAGGTGTCACCCAGCCTGACGCCACCTTCCACGTGTCCCGGGAGGATCAGCGGAGGGATCGGGAATCGCTGTCATTCCGGCGTGCGGTTCCCGATAGGACAACAGCAAGGTAGGCAATCGGCAGCGCCTCATTTATGTGATTTACTGAAACCGACATTTCTCATTTTAGCGTTCTCAGTTCTCAGCTCTCATTGTCCCTGCTGAGCTGTTACGAGCACTAATCTTTAATTGCCTTTGTTACGAAGGCTAGTGCAACAACGTTGGATTATAACATACTAATTCAGGTTTATTAAGTATTCAATATATAGGCATATAAAGGTTGTCGGCTGCATTATGTTTTAGCGTTGCCTTTAGGAGAGTTCTTATGGGCGAGATCTAAAAGTTTCATGAAGTTAAGTTTGTCTTGAAGGATCTGATAAATGTGAAGTACAAACGTCAGTTTCAATAACAGACATGACACTTCAACTCTTCAGCATTTACTACAAATAAAATAATATTAAATGCTATAAAAGCACATTTTTTTCCTTTTGTAAGTGCAGTTAATAAATGCATGTTTTTAGCGTGAGCCTGTATAATGAAATCGATTCTTCCCCATGGTCTTAAGGACTACCCGTATGATTTCAGATGTCTGGCGGGATCTTCTCCCCCTTGGATAACTTGTACGATCCGGACAGCGCCAACTGCCACCCCCTGGTGTGTCACTTGTGCCACCAGCAGTATGAGCAACCGTGCCTGATGGACTGCTACCACACCTTCTGCGCTGCCTGCCTCCGCGGCAGGGCGCTGGACAGCCGCCTGAGCTGCCCCCTTTGTGGGTAAGGACTCGCGTATGAAACCGCGGCTTTGCCATCTATCAAGCTGAATAGTTAAAATGGCAGCATATCAATGGGATCAGTTTGTGTTATCGACTTTGTTTTTAACTGACACTATGCATTAAGCAACCATGCGGACAGTGAGACTAAGCACCAGGATCTCCACAGAGATATATCCAGAAGTTTTACTTTAGTAAGCACATATTACTACTACTACTACCCCTAATAATAATAATAATAATAATATTTATTATTATTATCATCATCATCATTATTATTACTATTATGTAACTGTCAAAATGTCCGTTTTGGAAATATATATTCCCTAGGTTAACAATAACTACCCATCTGAATATTTCTCTGGTAAACCTTTGCCAGGACAAAACTTGATCAAATAGGAAATATCCTGCAGTAAAAATGAACACAAATAATTATACCAAAACTAAGGATTTTCTTCAGATAGAATGAAAGATATTGAATGAAATGGTTACGTATTGTCATTGTCTATACTGGGAGTGTCATGGAATGATATAAAACATGAGCAGTTTCTTGAGTGTCTCATTTTACAGCACATGTGGATTCAGTTTCAAATAACTCCGGTGTGTTGGTGTCATAACTTGAGAAGTTTGCATAGCATCATGATTTGCCTAAATGTATTAATGTTACTAACAGTAATTCATTGATTAGATTTTATAAACATTTACATTTGCAGATAGTTAAATCAGTTTAATTTTATAGGCCAAGGTTTGCCATATTAGGATTACAGGAATTAAATCACGTATAGATTTAGATCTCCTTTCATCTCTGTCTTATACTACAAGGTATTAATCTTTGTTGTAAAACTTAACTGTCCTGTTAATCTGTAAATATGTTGTTGTAATCACACAGTTGCCATCTTTAAAATGGGCCCTGGAATTATTTGCCGGTGTTATTCTGACGATTAGGATTTTCATGCTCTGTGAAAAAAAATCTTGGGGTAGGAAATGAGGTTATGAAAAGACTTAATTGAATATGAAGAAATCACGGCGAAGCGTTGGGTGTTTGCGTAAGCGGGGGGGTCGAATGGGGCCGAGCTGAGGGAAGCCGACAGCTGGCGTACAAATGCTGCTTCTGTCTAACCTATGTGGAATCCGTGGCGTGGTGGACTTGCCTCGTCTGATAAGGCCGTCATGCAGTCATGCTGTCAGGAAATAAGCCAGGTATTCTACACCCTTCCATTTGGCACCTGCTGACTGTAAGCTGAGGGTAATTAAACTAGACCCCTCATTCTGCAAAAAAAATAACAATAAAAAAAAGGTTTTGGCTGCCTTTGGAACTGCCTGAAAGACCGTGGGGAACTCTCACTTTCACTGAAGGCATGAAGACACCCCAAGACACGATATCAAAGGCGTGAGGACTGCGGGCGTGATGTATCTGATGGGTTATCTCATTCACCAAAGTCTCTGCGGGGGCAGGCTGTGTGTCTCAGTTCACGGAAAGCCAACTGTCACATTTGGTGTGGTATAAGATTTCCAACCATTGTCTCAGACATCGGTGGTAGATAAGTCCAAAATACATTACAACATAATTTATATTGCAACAAAATTAGTATTTTTTGTCATAGTTTTTGCCACATGTGGAAAATGATTTTTCCATGACACTTGTTTTGGTTTTCACTCAGGGAAATATACCGATCAGCAATAACATTAAAACCACTGACAGCTGAAGTGAGTAACATTGATTGTCTCATTACAGTGGCACCTGTGAATGGTCTCGTGAGTGAGGAGTCAGTTCTTGGAGTTGATGTGTTGAAAGCAGGAACAATGGGCAAGCATAAGGGTCTGAGCGACTCTGGCCAGAGTTAAATTGTGATGGCTAGATGCCTGTGTCAGAGCATCTCCGAAAGAGCAGGTCTTGTAGGGTGTTTCCAGTATGCAGTGGTCTGTAACTAGTAAAAGTGGTTTAGGGAAAACCAACCGGTGAACCAAAGGTGTGTGGGGAACAAAGGATAGCCCATCTGGTGTGACCCTGTAGGAGGGCTACTGTAACACAGACTGCTGAAAAGGTTCATGCAGACTATGATAGAAATGTGTCAGAATACACAGTGCATCACAGCTTGCTGCGTATGGGGCTACGCAGCCGCAAACCAGTCAGGGTGTCCATGCTGACCACTGTCTGCCGCCGAAAGTTCCTACAATGGACATGTGAGGGTCAGAACTGGAAAGTGGAGGCCTGGTCTGATGAGTCATGTTTTCAGTTACATCATGTGGACAGCATGCTGTCTGTGTTTGTCTTTTGCCTGGGGAAGAGATGGCACCAGGATGCACTATGGGAAGAAGGCAAGCCGGCGGAGGCAGTGTGATGCTCTGGGCAATGATCTGCTGGGAAACCTTGGGTCCTGGCATTCATGTGGGTGTTACTTTGACACCTACCACCTACCTAAACATTGTTGCAGACCAACTACACCTCTTCATGGCAACAGTATTCCCCAACGGCAGTGGCCTCTTTAAGCAGCACAGTGTATCCTGTTCAGGAATGGGTTTGAGGAACATGCAAAAGAGATCAAGGTGTTGATTCGGCCTCCGGATTCCCCGGATCTCAGTCCGATTGAGAATCTGTGGGATGCGCTGGACAAACAAGTCCGATCCACGGAGACCCCATCTCACAACTTACAGGACTCACAGGATCTGCTGCTAATGTCTTGGTGCCAGAAACCACAGGACACCTGCAGAGGTTTTGTGGAGTCCATGTCTCATTGGGTCATGAGGGAGACCTACTGAACATTTGGCAGGTGGTTTGAACGTTATAGCTGATAAATGTACGATACATATGAAAGTCTTTAATGTATGATAATGTTGCACAGAATTACACACCTAGGGAATGTCTTCACTTCCATAGGATTTTAACTTGTACAAGGAATTGTTTGCATTTTTTAACTTTTTCTTTTTTTTTTAAATACAGTCAGATCAGCATTTGAAAACCCTTTGAGGTTTTAATTTAGAGCAGCCTCCCCAGCACAGATGTGAAAGTCATACAGCAATATCTGTCCCTCGCCAAGTAGCGTTTCTGCGGATGCCGCACAGGAAAGTCGAAACACGGGATATGCCTGAAGCACGTGCGGGGGCGTGGCTGCCCCCCCCCCTTTACAGCCGTGTCAGGGTGACGAAAAGGCACCAACTGGGTGCAGGGAGTCAGGGAGTTCTTTGTTTGTAATTAAGGGGCTTCTTCCATTTCGTTGGGTACCCAGGCTGAAACCCTACCCCAGCAGGGCGACCCCCGGCTCCTGGTTCCCCCCCACCCCGTCCCTCCCAGGCTATTTTTGAGCCATATTGTCTCCCGATTTACCGATGCCGGCTCCCGGTCGTGGGGGGAGCCTGCCCTCGTGTTGCTGTGACCTTTGGCTTTTGAGTTTCTTCTGGTGATTCCTGAGCCCCGGCTGTGGGTGGAGACACTGCTTTACCCGCATTGCCTAGTGGATCCTCAGCAGTAGGACTCGGTACCGGCGACACCTTGAGGGACTTCTGTGGCCAGTCCAGCATGCTCCTGGGGGAGCTAGATGAACACATGTAAGAATGATGATCCTCTGTCTTTACTGATGGGCGCTCACAAGGAGTGGGCTGTGAATATAAACTGGTTTTTTTATGCAGCACGTTGCTGATTGATGGCATTCAATCTGTAATTACTGGTTTTGTTATATTACAAACTCTGTGTGAAGGAGCTGTTGAAAGTGGCGAGGTTATATATGTTTGTGAAGTTGAATGGGGACAGATTGTTAGATCTATATTTTGAGAATGAATTGGCATATATTTACATATTGATTTGGGAATATTTCATTATAATTCTGCTTCAGTTCATATGGGTTCATGAAGTGTTGCTTCACCTGATGTCAGGATTCAAAGTAAAAACAAAAAACTGCTTTCCACGAGATAGAATTTTAGATGGACTTGTCAGTTATGTAAAGTGATGACCAATTTGATATATAATTATTATTTGTTAATCGTGACAATAAGAGCAAAGTTGTGAGCATCCAGACGTACTGATGAAGAAGTTCCGCTACGGATCCCGCAGTGTTAGTACCTCATTTCACCAGCATGTTGTGTAGTCAAGGCAAACAATCAAGGCTGTGCACATCGGTCCAGTGAAGTTTGAGATGAAACTAGGTGGTGTGTGTTTTTTTTTTTAATGCATCCAGATTACACCAAATTGTTTATATTGACAAAATTAGATGCAAAACGTCTGACTTTTCTCATCCCAGCAGCCTTTTCCTAACCATAAAGGTATAAGTACGTCAAAAGGTCAGCTGATTGTGCATAAAGTATCTGAGGTTGTAGGATCGAGTCCAGCAAAATGCTAATATTTATGAAGATCCTTAAAATGCTTCAGATTCAAAAATATCCACCCGTGTAAAACTAAATGCTTTTATAAGAGCATGTGCCTCAAAACTAATTATAACAATGTTAAAATAGTATAATTTATTTTCAGTGCAGTGTCTGTTCCTAGAATGTTTATGTTTGGATTGGGTGTTGGTTTTTATTATACATCCACACCCTGGATATTCGCTCCCGTGTTTTCCTGCTGAACGCTTTGAGGTTGAGTATCTGTCTTGCTAAAGCCAAACCAGACGTACTGAGCAGAGATGTGTGGTCTCACCCGGTACTACTGGTGGAGCAGGAGAAGAATCGCTTCCACAGTGCAGTCAGTGGGTCCCCAGCTGGATGAGGCAGAGTGCAGTGCTATTTTTGCCAGTGACAACGGCCAGGGCAGGATTTATGATATCTAGGAATTCAAGGCCCTGCTATTTGTGCCACACAAGGACCTTACTATTTGTAGAACACAAGTGCTCTGTTGCTACGAACGGCCGATAAACAATATCTCTGGCTGGACGGCAAATATATTTAGACGACTGGTCAACAGCTGTTGCGATTCAGGGGATTGTTTCTACAATCAAAACAAAAGGGGCCTTTTGTGGGGGATCCGGCTACCATGCCGATTGGTCCTTCTCTGTAAATTTTGACGACCAGGGTGGGGGGGAACCCCTTTCGTAGATTTGACGACCTGGGGAGAGCCCTCCGTTTTCTACCGGAGGGCTGAACTAAAATATGAGGAGTGTACTCATAATTTTAGCAGCAGGCTACGTGATTGGCAACAAAAACATTTTTTTTTGAGGGGGGGGGGCGGGCATCAAACCCATTATTTTAATATGTGGCTGTGTGCATAGTGGTGACATTTCTGGCTTTTCGACCCTAATTTTATAGGGTGAAAAATATCACAATAATGTCGAAATAAGATTTACTATGTAGTCTTGCGTTTCTCAGATTTATTTTTGAATGCTAAAAGAAGGTTATCTTGGATATAAAAAACTTATTGCAGGCTCCACAAACAGTTCCTTCCTTTCTGAACGTCTTCCTTTTTGAGAACATCTTGAAATTAGATCACAATTAGATGAAATTAGATGAGATCTCAAATTATTTTTCTCCCATGCCACACTGATTATATGTCACTGTTCTAAAATATGGAAAGTTTTTCTTGTGATTCGGCTATATTTTATTTGAAAGCCCATTTATGGTCTTCATATCTCCAGTACCACTTTTATGAGAATAATTTATTTTTATGAGAAATAATATGAGAAATAATTTCATTATTTTAATGGGATAGCTAGTATTTTGAGAAATTAAATTAAGAAATGAAATATTCAGATTTGACTAGCAAGCTTTGTCTGCACTTTGCTGTTAAATAAGGCACATTGATACTGAGTATGATTATTACATATTCTGACATCACATATTCTTTTGTCAAGATGAAGTGATAAGAATGCAACAAAAGATCATTAATTATTTCAGCTACAGTCAGAATTTAATGTTGAATAGTTTGATTATGATCTTGAGAGCAGAATAATTTGAATGATTTGATTTATAATCTTGATGTTACATTAATTTGTTGAAGATGACTGAATGCCAAAGACAAACATTGGGTTGGATGATCCATATGTGAACTCTATTATGCAATATATTTTATCATGATCTGTCAGTTATCTTTAAATTACGTGTTATTAACAATCCTTGCCACAGTGCGGATTACTGGTTCACTGCAGTGAGTGGGAGTACACGTAGCATAGGACGGAACCAAATCAACCCTCTGCCCCCTGCTGGCAGAAATCAGACATGCGATCCCATAATTTAACTGGCACGTTCCGCACAAGCCAGTTCCACATAAAATGTTCTTGTTTGTGTGTGCGTCCCAGACATCAGTCGATTGTGAAAGGGATCAACGCGCTGCCTCCAGAGGACCGGCTGCTCAAGTTCCTGGTGGATAACTCCGCAGACTGCGAGGAGATTGTACAGTGTGCCAACTGTGACCTGGAATGCAAGAAACAGGTAGGCTGAGCAGGCATCGTCCTGAAGATGAGGACGCAACGGACGACGTACATCCCGTCCCAAAAGTGTTAAAGAAGAATATGCTAAGAACTTGTGCTTAGATGTGACAAATGGGTTGTGTACTGAGTTGTGCGAATCTCTGTTTCTGCCACAGGATGTGGATACAATGTATTATTGCAACACATGTAGCCAGCCCTTGTGCCGCGACTGTAGGGAAGCCACACATAAAGCCAAGATGTTCGCCCGTCATGAGATCGTCTCCCTGGCTAAATGCACCAAGGAAGTCCACAAAAAGTGCTGTGAGTGGCCGGCCCCTCCCACAGAACAACCCCCCCCCCCCCCCCCCGCCTGCTTCTTCCCTGCACTCACCCACCTCTCCCTCTGCCTTTCCACAGCCCTGCACGAAGAGCTCTACATCATGTTCTCCACCGAAAAAAAGTCAATGCTATGCATCAATTGTTTCCGAGACATGCAAGTGTGAGTGCGGGCCTCCCGCTGAGCGGCCAGACCGCCGCTGTGGGGATACTGGGATTACTGGGATGCAGCCTCTGTGAGCTGGTGCTCATGCTGGTTTTGTATCGCGCAGGGAAAGCCGAGCACATTGCATCGATATTGAAACAGCGTATATGCAAGGCTGTGAAAAACTGGACCAAGCGGTATTAGTAAGTGTCTCTTTGTCATTGAAACGCCGTATGAATGAACGCCTTAGTTGTCATTGCACAAGATTTAACAAAATTGGGGGATTGTCCTTATCGGTGCAAGAAAGAAAAAAAGTCAAGAAGGATGCAAATACAGAAAAAATAAGATGAAAAGATGAATAGAATATAAAATGAACAGAATATAACCTGGAAAAATAGATAACAGAATATAAAGAAGTACATAGAATATAAATTTGAATACAAATTGAGCGGAAAGAATAAAAATGTAAAGCATGTAAAAATAAACAGGAAAAAAATGACAAAAGTAGGTGTTTAAATAAGTGTCATGTCATTGGTGTTCCTCTCCTCATGATTCAGTTTCACAATAAGAAAATATTGCACGTTTCAGCAGTGTATTTAAGAACATATTGCACATTTCAGCACTATTAGAAAGTATTGCACATTTCAGCACTGTAAGAAAGTATTGCACATTTCAGCAGTGTAATTATGAAAATATTGCACATGCTAATAGGTAGTGATGTAATAGGCCTCTGATTTTAGTGTCTAGCATCATTGTTTTTTTGATGAACCTCCATGCCCATCATGTCTGATCAGGATAAGCAGACCGCGGAGGATCTGCAGTGGGGCATGACTCTTACTTTTCCCAGGCAGTGAAGGAGCTACAGACATCAGCACGTGAGGCCATCGTCCTGCTGAAGGCCATGATCTCGGAGGTCAGGGCCAACGTGGACGAGGAAGAGACGGCCATTAACACACTCTTCAACAACATGCAGGTAAGAAATCACCTGGAGCAGAGCTCTCAGATACCTGCCTCACGATTCAGCCTACCTGACTGAAAAGCCACAAAGGTTTTTTTTTTTCCATGTTCAGAGACATTAACAGAAGGAAATGCTGCTTAAGGGAAGGGAACATCCTTTAGATTATGTCTTTTGGGAATACCAGCTTAGTTCCAGGGCAGAACCACGCGATGTGGGGAACTGGGGAAAAAACATTCCCAAGCTTCAGTCTAGACATTTCACTTCCTGGAGAGGTAATGGGGTACACAACCAAATTAGAACCAAAGAAAACAGCACTCCGGGGTAACTGAGACATGGTTGCCATTTCTGTAGAGATTTTATTTTATTTTTTTCATATCGATATATCTTCAAACAAGGTATCGGATGAGACAATACTGATTGTACATGTGAGAAAGAAAGTACATCCACTTCTGTTCTGTGGTTTTACACATCAGGGTGGCATGGTGGTGCAGTGGTTAGCACTGTTGCCTCACACCTCTGGGACCCGGGTTCTGTGTGTGCAGTTTGCATGTTCTCCCCATGTTGTCATGAACTTTAACATGCTAACTCAGTTCAGTATAGTCTGAGATGTAGCTCTTGGCTTTTTGCAAGTTCTCTGAGCGTTGCACGGTCTGACCTTGGGGTGAGTTTGCAGGGACGTCCACCCTGTGGGAAGATTGGCAACCGTCACTGTAGAATGATGGAATAATGGAAGAATGGCCTTATAACCCTTCCCAGATTGATGGGCAGCAAGAATTGCTTCTCTGAGATCACTGCTGATGTCTTTCCTCCTTGGCATTGTGGTAACACACACCTGAACGCTACAGACCAGCAAACTGCCAGACGTTCTGCTTTCATAGAGGTGGTCACACTTGCTGAAGATCAGTTACTCAAGTGCATTTGTTCATCAGCCCTTGGTTGCTACTTACCCCCTTAATTCCTATGGAAGCAGTAAGGGTGTACTTAATTTTTCACACACTGCTTCTGCATGTTTACTTTTTGTTAACTAATGACACAGTGTAATATATCATGTGTTGTTGTTCATCTGTGGTAGTATTTACCTCATTTTAAGACCTGCTAAGGACCGGATGATTTCTCAGTATGTCCTGATACGTAAAACATTACAGGAGGATGCACTTTCTTTTACATATGACTTTATAAGTCATAATACTTTATTCCTTCTTTGATTGCTCTAACACATGCTGTACTTTGATACTCAAATGGGAGAACAGAATGAGCAAAAATTTTTCATTGAGATTTTTAGTATTCCTTACTGTTTACTATTGTAAACAACGTGAACGCTTTGCACAAAATCCCAGAATTTACATCTAAAGCCAAAATATTTGGTTAGCAACGTCTAACGGGGAAGCTGATGGAAGGTAAAGGAGTGGAATCATTGTTACTCAGTTCATTTTTGATAGCTCAGAGGATAAAAATATTGTAGTTTGCAATATTCGGTTTATTTTATCAAAGGCTAATACCTTAAAATATGGATATTTCCCGCTATGAAATGCATTTTCAGCAGTTGCCATGCTTCTGTATTTAGAGTCATTTGCCAAATAGGTTTTAGATTTAGATTTTTTTTTGTTCCTAAGTTTTCACCTTCTGTTTTGAGAGTAATGTCATAAACTGAGGAAAAAAGAAATTCTCTTGGTGTACAGAGTGAAACATTTTTATGTCATAGTATCTTTATTTGACGCATGCAACACTGATACAGGCATCATTTATTTTTGTCTTTCTTGAGACTTCTATATGGAATAAATAAATGTTTATACTCTATGTTTCATTTTGACCGCACTCTTTTAATGAAAGTGTTTGTGACATTCAGAGATTTACGAGTCCTACTCGAGTTGCTCTAGTCACACATAAATAGATTTCAGACTTGACTCAAACCCCTGCATAAAGACTAATAAACATTAAGAGTCTTTCGAAATTTAATAAGGTGCTGAACATTTCTGCTGGAATAAAGCCTACAACATGCCCTGATGTTTTAACCAGTCCCTCCAGTATTTTGTGATTTTGCAATCACAGAAATTTAATGCAAAATCATGCAAGCTCCACAGTATTTGCAGGAACTTGCAATTCTTCAAATTTACTGCAGCCTTCCATGCATTGTTGTGTTTTTTGCTAGGCTGTGCTGCAGAGAATACGAGCACAGCAAACACATTTCACGCAGAGCACAGATGAACATAGTCTACATAGAAAAACAACGGGCACTTTGGAAATTAAATTATACATTTTTCTGTCATTGTATTTGACTGCACCAGAGTTTGGAATAACTTGTGGTCACATTTCCATGGGTACTAACTAGTCTTTAGTTACACCATAAACAACCTGATATATAACTGGTGCTTAGTTGATTTGTTGCTAATGTTGAATTGATGTTTATTTTTTTTTTTAATTCCTGAACTTACTATTTTGCAAATTTTCCTCATAAAAAGCATGCAGAAGCCCACAACCTGCACTGAACTTTTTGAGAAAAGCTGTAATGTATTTGCAGCCTAAAGAACAGCAAAGCGTTAAAGGGAACATGCACTTGGTTTTGTCTAATGTTTCCATGCTTTGTTAAAATCAGATGGAGATGTACATAGGCCCCTATAAAGGAAATCAGGTCAAGAAAATAGCATTTCTACGTGATGTTGATTGCTGATGCTGAGTTTTGTATACATTTTAGATGATGCATTTTTCAGTTGTGTGCACTAGGAAAGCCAACAAAGTTCAGTTCGCAGTGCCTGAGTTGCAGTGCCTCATCGGCAAGGCAGATTTATTTACACACGCGTAGCACTATTCATAGACGTGAGCACTGTGGCCAGTGGGACAATGTTTGCATTGATGCCAGTATCTATTTAAGTGAAAAATATAGTTTTTCTTTAAACATACAGTGTTTTTTCTTCATTTTGAATTTGAGCATTGTGCTTAAATGATATTGTAATTGTGGTTCTTCACTATTAACCCTTATTGGTTATTGCACCAGATCCAATTAAAAGACTAGACGCTCTTAGGATATATATTAAGTTGGAAGCGGAGACTTGAGACTTGACTTTGAATCTAATAAGATTTCACTGAAACTCGTTCCTCAGAGACTTCAGACTTTACTCTGACTCATTTTGTGACACATTGACATATCTGGTGACATCCTACATATGGCTTCGACTTGCAACTCAACATTTAATCCACTTAACAGAAAATACAGAAATATATATTGTGTATCGGTATTCTGCCTAAAAATACCGTGATGTGATTTTTGGGCCACATCGTTGAGCCCTAGTGGGGATTGTTGAGTATTTATTGTTAAGTATGGGGCAGTGTGTGGCTCAGTGGGCTAAGCCTGTGTGTTTGTAATCAGAAGGTTGCTGGTTCAAACCCAGCCACAGCATGTCTGTGGGTCCTTGAGCGAGGCCCTTAACCTCCAGTTCCATGGGCGCCCCAACAGGCAGCTGCCCTTTGTGGACAGCTTACTCTACAAGAGCAAGTTGAGGGAGGTGTAAAGACAGTTTCCCCCTGGGGATCAATAAAGTATTGATTATTATTATTAAAGCTTAGCGTCACTGAACTGTAAGCTCCCCAAGACATCCTGATAAACTCCATACCTTAAATTCACCATATTTATAATTTGTTTTCATCATAAGCACAATATAATCATACATTTACTTGGGATATTGGGATAGATGGGATATTTATACCCATGATAATGTACAGCGGCCTCCGCAATCATTGGCACGCCTTGTAAAGATTTGTAAAAAGGGTTAGAAAAAATTCACATTTGGGTGTAGTTTCATATCATACTGAAAACCAACCTTTCATCAAAATAAATTTATTGAAAGAAAAACAAATCCTTTATCAAGAAATAATTATTTTCAGTAAAAACACGTGGCACGATTATTGGCACCCCTGCTTTTAATACTTTGTACAGCCTCCCTTTGTCAGTATAACATTTTCTAGGGTTGGAGAATATCAAGCAGGGCATCTGAGTCCATTCCTCTTTACAGAATCTCTCCAGATCATCCAGGGTCCTCGGCCCTCTCTTCTGCACTCTCCTCTTCAGCTCCTCCCACAGGTTCTCAGTGGGGTTCAGGTCACGGGACTGAGATGGCCATGGCAGAAGCTTGATTCTGTGGTCAGCTAAACATTTTTGTTTTGATTTGGACATGTGCTTAGGATCACTGTCCTGCTGGAAGATCCAGTGACAACCCAGTTTTAGTTTACTGGCGCAGGCAGCAAAATTTTGATTTAAAATGTCCTGGCATTTCATGGAGTCCATAATGCCATGTACCCTAACAAGGTTTCCAGGGCCTTTGCAGGAAAAACAGCCCCACAGCATCACAGAACCTCCACCATATTTTAGTTGGGATAAGGTTCTTTTTACTACAGCCATCCTTCTCTTTACACCAAACCCGCCTTGAATGTTTATTACCAAAAGGCTCCATTTTTGCTTCATCAGACCATTGAATTTTGGTTCCAGTCAAAGTTGTAGTAGTCTTTTGCAAACTCCAGGTGTTTATAGTTGTCTTAAACTGACAAAAAAAGCTTTTTTTCTGGCATACCATCCGAATAATTAATTGGTGACGTCTGATGGTTTTTTCTGAGACGTGGTAACCCCAAGATTTTCCTTGGTTTTGTAAATCACCACCAGTGATCCTTGGGGATTTTTTGCCTTCCTCACTTTATGTGGGTGAAAAATAAACTTGGGTCCACTTCTTTTTATTATTGCCCTATCAGTAGAAATGGGCATTTTCAGGCGAGTAGCTATTTCTCATGCCCTCATTTGGTCTGTGTTCTCTTATCTTTCACATGTTGATGGATGACTAAGGGACTTTGGCCTCTGTGTCTCCTCATGTTTGTACCCCAGTTAATCAGGAAGTCATGGATTACAGTCTGAAGGTTTCTTTTCACTCCAATCAACTCAAAGATGTACAATTTAGAGGTGAAACATGCTTCAGTTACATTGTGTTCACCAATAATCGTGGCACATGTGTTTTTGTTAAAAATGATTATTTCTTGATGAAGGATTTGTTTTGCTTTGAATAAATTTATTTCAAAGAAAGATTGGATTTTTCTTATTTTTTCAGTGTGAGATGAAGCATATCAGGTAGATTTTTTTTTCTAACCCTATTTATAAATCTTTACAAGGGGTGCCAATAATTGTGGAGGGCGCTGTATATCAAAGTTAGAGTAGACAAAAAGGTGGACCAACCCTTTAAAAAACAAAAGAATATGGATTTAAATATGTGGCTATTTTACAGGAAAAACTGGCGGAGAGGAGGAAGATTCTTCTAAAAGCTGCTCAAAGGTAATAAGGGCTTTTCGTCACTTGGTGTAGTTCAGAAGTAATTTACTTATCAATTACTATCACAGTGAGAGAGTTACCTTTAAAATTGCCTTTCACTGTGTGTGGCTCCGTAGGTCAGGTGCCTGGGAATGGATGTGTGTGGGTTCAGTTCCTGTAGCTACATAATACATTTTTGGTTTATTAACAGTTGATTAAAGAATCATCTGTATTTTTTTAATAGTATCACCATGTTTTGAAGATGCTAATGAAACCCCAGTTTAATTTGATTATGTGTAAACGAACAATTGTAAGCAAATTGTACAGCCATTAAAAGTAACGACAGTACGATGGTGTCACTTCCTGTGTATGCAGTCTGACAGGATGCTTTCTTGCAGTCAGCACGAGGAGAAGGAGAAGGCTTTTAAGGAGCAGCTGTCTCACCTGGCAGCTCTTCTCCCTACCTTACAGGTGAGGACGCACCACATCAGAGGGGTGTTCCATCAAGCAGGATTCCTTGCTTAGCCCGATAACTTGTCAGATTTAAGGTAGTCTGAGCTAGATGGACTTCGTCTTTGTTCACTTACATTTAGCCCAGACTACCTTAAATCCAACAAGTTGTCTGGCTAAGCAAGAAGTCCTGCTTGGTGAAACAGGCCACTCCATTGTTTTTGTTGCATTTTCACCATTTTAAACAGCTGGTCATTTCTGCTTCAGTACTTTTTTCTAAGGCACTACAGTTGGACCCCTCTGGTTATCAGCCCCAAAATTACAGATCAGGCCACTTATCCACTGTATTTCCTGCTCCGACCCTCTACAGCAAAATACTCTGTCCACAGCCACTCATTCTGCCCTAATTTGCTGTGACTATATGTAAGTTCCATGTAACCTGTACTCTACTACTGTACCCAAGTGCTAAAACACCAGGAGCACAAATGACATATTATGCATACCCTGTTTTTGTTGGTGATTATTAATTTTCTGTTACAAACAGAGGAAAACAGTAACTCCGGAGGCATGATTTAAATACGTTTGTCTCATCAGGTTGTCAGACTTACATGAATTGGCCAGATGGTGGCACTATTGTGCAAAAATGTATACCCCTCATTATGGATGTAACTTGTAACCCGAAATACCAAATTGTTTTACATTTAGATTCTGTGGCTTTAATAAGAAATGATTCCTTTGCATTGCTGCCATGTTCGATTTTCTACGATGCAAATCCTGTCCAAATCCTTTAAAAGATGCCAGTTTCTGATCTCATCAGCAGTAACCCTGAATCAAGCTTTTTAATGGTTCGTTAAATCAAAGGCACTGGTGGAATTGTACAGCTGCCACCATCTAATCAATTTCACTGTAAAATAGATCTAAATACTGAGCTTATATCTTCTAGACCAGTGTTTCTCACCCAGTCCTCTGGGGCTCCAAGACACCATTTCTGCTCCCTCCCAGCTCTCTGCCAGACAGACCCCATTTCTGCTCCCTCCCAGCTCCCGGGACGGGATTTAAGCCATGGACTGTCTGCGGGTTTTGGATGACTGGATTGGGAAACATCACTCTAGACTAATGGAAAAAGGCAGAAAACTTTGGCCAGAAACTTCTCACTCTGTCGTACCATATATCAGCAAATCTGTTAAAAAAATATATGTCTTGTTGGCCAAAGAGATACACCCAGGGTTATGAACCTGCTTGGCCTTGACCTCAAGCATCCAGTTGAGGGTTGATCTTGTTGACATGTGTACTTGAGTCTCTCTGTACTTCATTTCACAGGTTCACCTGGTCACATGTTCTGCCTTCCTTAGCTCAGCCAATAAGTTTGAGTTCCTGGATATGGGATATGTAAGTATGTCAATGCATAACATATAATAGACCTTTCTTAATCATCTGGTCAATTTTTCAGACATTGCAGACATTGAATTGAAACAAGTTGCTGAGAAGATATGCAATAAGCAAAAGATTTTCATATTTTCATGTAAAAATTCAGCAGAGAATGGTAAGAGTAATGAGTGTATTCAAGTGTAGATAATAACCAGCACTGAATCCTTTTAGTGTGAAAAAAAACTTGAAATATTTCTGTGGCAGCCTTTTTACCTGAAGTCACCGACTTTTTCAGCAATTGATGGAGAGACTGAAGAAGATTGTGAAGCTGCCACACAGGCTGAGGCCGACCCAGAGCAGCAAGGTGTGGTTAAGCGACTCGGCCCAGGATCCCTCCAGCCAAGTGCTGGGTGGCTGTGATATGCTGGGAAAGCCTACTGTCCGCTTCAGTACACATACACATGTCACGGTTCAGTGTTTCCAGTATAGAATGAATTTAGCAAATAGCAAACAGGAATAGGCTACTATACACAGCAAGGTCAGGAGCTTTAATAATCATAGTCAAAGGTGGCTTGGGTAAAAATAAAATCCAAAATCCAAATAAAAAATATATATTTAGAGGAATAGATAAGCCGTAACCCACAGTAGTTATCTGCTTAAATTAGCACTGATTCAAGCACACAGGCCGCAGATGGAAAATAGACCAGTTAAACTGGCCAATTAAATAAGAACAAAGACAACATTTTGTATGTAAAGGGTGGTGGAGGTTTAGACGAAACGTGCTTCTGTGAACTTCAAAAAAACGTGGTAGCGGCAATTTACCTTGAAGTCCTCCCCTCCTGCAGATTAACACGGAGTACCGGTCCGAGTTTGCCCGTTGCCTGGAGTCGCTGCTCCTTCTGGGCCAGCGGCGGTCCGTGTCTGCCTCAGGGGGCATCTCTGGCCTGGGTCTGGGCAACGGCAGTGGCCTGTGAGTCTCACTTTTCACTGCTTCGCTGAGGATGGGGGCTTACAGGGGGCTTGTCCCCTAAGATATGATGACAGAATAAGTCTGCCATCCTATACCCGAGATCTGTGTCTGCTTCCTATACAATGACTGGCAGTGCTGGAGGTCCAATCAGCTGCTGATCCATTATTTATCAGTAACCAATCAGAGCTGTTGATTTTTGGGAAGAATAACATGGGTTGAATGTTCTCTGGACAACAAATATATTCAAAATTCTGAATAAGTCAGAACAATAAAATGACGTAGTTCTTTTATTACAGTTTTGCCATCCACTTCAATTCTTCCAACATACATTAGTTTCAGTGATTCTTTTAAGGATCAACAAGGACCTTATTTGATTTATGATGCCATAAAATAATTTAGAATCCAAAAAAAGCTTGTTATTCAAATCTGGTGGAATAAGTTTTAGTTAAAAAGGGAAATCGACTGGTTTTGTTGTGTTTTGTCCCAATAAGAGAAAGCTGTGAGAAGATTGATGACCAGGCATGGTGTTTGGGGTCCTGTTTTAGCGAATACATGTCCTCTCTGAAAAATGTTGTTCTAGAAAAAGCAGTGATAACAAGCTCTGGGTGAATACGGATTCTGAGAAACTGAGGCCTGGAGTCTTCCGTGTTGTGGAACGTCATTGCACTTCTCGGTACTTAGCTATCATAGCTGCTATGCACGCGTTCATGATACAAGTGCAGCCTAGAAAGATCGGTCCCCTGAATCTCATACACGCCGATCCAAAAAACACAGATATACCCAAAGGAGGTCACATGGGACCAAGAAGATATGCTAACTTTGGATATGCTAACTTTGGATATGCTAACTTTGGATATGGTAACTTTGTGCTCTGCTTCTTAACTGGCATTTTTAGAAAACAGATTAGCATGGTAATTTGGGGATGTGTGGATATTGTTACGAATAATGTACTGAAATAGAGTCTAGACCATCATCATAATTTTTTGGCGACATAAAGTATACCAGGCTAATATTGTTTCATGTGTGCTGCTTTTGCCTTTGCTGCTCTTTGTTTTTATCGGCAAAATTTCTGCAATTAACAATTAGCATAACTCCGGCACTTATGTCTGTCTGCGTACATGTTCCTTTAAATAGTGTGCTGTTCTTTATGGGGAGGGGATATAGGTAAGACACACATGCCACCCCCAGCCCCTCTTTTAATCAGTCTATGCCCATCGTCATTTGGGAAGAGATGACACATGTGCCCTTCCCGATTTTCCACAACAGCGGCCTCACTGTTCCCAGGCCTGTCGCTTACTCTGCTTGCAACTCATTGGCTGGCAAAGAGCTCCTCCCGTAGGGGGGAGGGGCTATTTCTCCATCACTATTTTTATCAGAATTTCACAGAACTCTCTCGGAATGCCGCTGCCGACAGGGAGGCCAGGCAGGCTTGGAGGGGTGGGGGGGCAAAAGGGCAGTATATTCCATATTACTGATGTAACACCCCCCGTGTCAATGTCTTTAATTGGTATTGGCTGTGGGATGACAGGCAAGTTCAAAAGGTTTAGGCAGAGTGTGTCACTGTCTCCTGGCCATTCTGGGAACCGAAAGCACTGTTGCCAGGCCTCCACAGCATAGCCTGCGATAAGAACACAGCTACCACGCAGCTAGCAGGTAAAAATCATGCCGCTTTTCTAAACTAACGGACGCTTCATTAGTTCTTCTGCTTGGTTGTTATCATTCACAGTGAGTATCGAAACAGTCGGCGTTTTGTACAATGTATGTCGTCTACTTTATAGAGATTCCGTTTTTTTCCCCAACACTTGATTAAATTGTAGACTTTTAAACCTTGTGTAATTTTACTCTGACCTTATGGACGTACATCCGCTTGTCTCGGTTATAGCCGGTAGCAGAGTTAGCTCGTGTTGAAGTGACAGTTAGCGGCTTTCTGACACCTGGTGCCCCAGTGGACACAGACGGTAATAGGTCCTTTTCTTGGTAGCCTTGTTCCCCGCGAGCATGCTTTTCTCTCAAGAGTGACCTTGTGGTTAACTCGTGGTGGGAGGGGCCGCCCGCAGTACACAGTGTCAAGCAGAGGCACTTTTCCTGCACTGAATTCCTGGAGCTCCGCTCACAACATCATCGGTGTTATCTTTAGACCATAGACTTAATGATGCTTGGTCCAGAGGCGTTACTTCGAGTCGGCGTCAGGTGCCCAAAGCGACGACAGTGCTGACTGCCTCCAAGTCCCAACGGATTTGGTCAACAAGATTCTTCAACTACAACGATTGTAGCATTGGTCGATGAACCGCTGGCTTGAAATCCTGTCTCGGGTATTCTGACACGTGAAATTTTTCGGTGTCTTTCGTTGAATCCTATGGGCTCCACTTGAAAAGGTGAGAGGAAATCTCCAAAGATCTCAGAAGTGTCACATGGGTAAAATATCTGTAGAGAGGTTGTCGTTTTGGTCTGTCTTTGTTTTCAGTTGCAAATACATGCTGCTCGTACGTCTTTCTGCTAATGTCTGTTTGTGCATACTGTAATATGTTCACTTCCTGTGCTGGGGACAGTAGCAACCAACTCTTATGGAACCTTGTATTCTCTGTTTTCTGAATAGGAAACCAGTTACATAGTCTAGTTTTCAACAGGGGGATGTCTAAATGTCAGAATATACTTCTGGAATTAATCATAAGATAACTTTAGCATTACTATTAAAACTTGATTTCAAACACAAAAGGAATAAAAAATCAACACAGCTAGAATAGGACAAAGCCATCAGATAATTAAGAAAAGAAGCCATCAAATTTCCAACTGCTTTTCTAGTAAATGGGCGAAAGCCCATTCCAGGTGACCTAGGGGACAAGGCAGGGGAACACCCTTGAAGGTATACCAGTCCATCAAAAAGTGAAAAGAGGAATTATAAAAAAAATAATAAACCGAGTAAATAGTTTGTAAAACCAATTTACACCAGAGTTTTCAACAAAGTTGTTGTAAAAGTGTTACACAGTGTGTGTGGACCTAAGGTAAGAACATGCTTTTGTGGCAGGCAAGGGCATAGATTTGGGACATGAGGCTACTGATTCTGAAACCAAGCCTATGCCCTGGGCGGCATGGAACTTTGGGCGTTCATGGTAGAGACAGCAATTCGAGGCAAGATTTTGATTGGTTCTCTGGGCAAAGAGTCTTGTTCTTTAGTTGAGTGGACTAATCTTCTTTTTTTGGTAATTTGCGCTGGTTGTGGCAGTGTGGTTTAAATCACCAGCTAATCCCACACCTGTCGCACGGTCACCGAGTGAAAGTTGGTAGAGGAGAGTTGGAAGACTTTGACATGTAGGTGTGATTGGTTGCTCTCCCCCACCAGATTACAGTCCTCCCTGTCTGTGCCGTGTCATTCGCCCTCAATCAGCGACATGTCACTGGGCTCCTCGGTGGTACGCAAACCCACCTCCCACCGATACATCAGTACCAAGGTCCTGCTGGCAGAGGGTGGTGACACCCCCTTTACCGAGCATTGCCGCAACTACGAGAATATCTACAAGGTGAGTTAAGCCCCGCCTCCCTCAACATCACATGGCAATGATAAGAAGAATTAGATTTGAAATTTCATAGGGGGCAGGATATCTGCACTTCTCATTGGTCACTTTATTGGTTGTCACTAGGTGAAATCTAGCAATGATTGGCCATTAATGATTCTGAATCCTAATTTCACCCACCACAGTGATATGTCTGTCAGCCACCAAGCTGTATGCATTGTCTCTCAGTTGCCTGCCATTTTTAGGAAGTTAAGCAATTAAAAAATGAATAAACAGCAAAAAGTCACTGATTTGAAGCATAGGGGTCCAGCGGCTTATCATACCCTCAGAAAAAATATTAATGCATAAAAGTAGATAAAAGTGTAGAAGCGCTATTGAAGCCGTGTTGAACTTTATCCATTCACTCATTTTTGCTTAGTATGTAATCTACTTTCTTAATCATCTTTTGGACATATTTTTTCTCATTTACATACCAGGGCATTTACTCAAGGTAAGTAACAGTAACCTTCTCAAGAGCTCTTCGTAAAAGTATTATAGCAATTTTTGGCCCAGCGATCCTGTGTGGCTTTCCCAAGACTCTGCAGACTGAGATCCAGAAGCTGAAGGATCAGGTGCAGGAAATGCACAGGGATTTGACCAAGCACCACTCACTCATCAAGACAGACACCATGGGCGAGATCCTGGAGAAGTCGCTGCACGTGGATAGCCAGATTGCATCGGAGTACTCCGCTGTGGAGATGATGAGGACTGTCTTTGAGGAGGTGAGGGTCCAGGCCCATTTGGAAACAGGATAATCTTGGAAAAATGGGTGGGAAAAAGAAAATCACAGATTGGGCAATTTTCATCATAGATTTGGGAAGAGACGTTTCAGAGGGTGGCCAATGAACAGGAGATCTATGAAGGTATGAGGGACGTCTGAGTCTGAATCCTGTAGGTTAGTGTTTGGAGGCCTCAGCCTAATGCGGCTCATTTGTGCGCTTTCCAGCACAGCTTCACGACCTACTGCAGCTGAAACAGGAGAACAACTACCTGACGACTATCACTCGGCAGATCGGACCCTACATCCGGTCCATAGCCAAGGTGAAGGAGCGCCTGGAACCCAGGTACTAAACCCTGCCGGTACCAACCAGCAGTTTGGGTGCCACCGGGTGAATCTTGTTAGGGATGCTGACATCTGGCGTTTTGTGATAAAAAGATAGAGAGAAGTATCTCCGGCATATTTGTTTTGTTAATTTTACACCAAAAATAAGCACTACACCATTGTGGTAGTGTGTATTTCAGACCTGCCAGACATTCCAAGCTTATGAAGTTCTTGGGGAAGCCCGGAATATCATTATATATCTCCTTATCTAATCTTTATAGCCATCCAAATTTCCATTTTAAACAATATCACATTATATAGCTGAGTGTTTGCTTAAACAATCCACACTGTGCTTAAAGAAAGCAGCGGAAGGCTCTTCACCACAGGATAGGCGCAGGCTTCAGTTTGATGTCTGCTTATGGTCCAGTTCCATAAAGGGAGACGCGTTCCTGGGAACCTTTTAAATGCACAAATCCATCCTGATAAATGTATGGAACCTTAACATGTGCCGGTCCTGCCAGCTCTTATGGCATCTTGTGTTCTGTGCTTTCAGGATAGGGAACCAATGAGCAGTATAGAACATTACAAACTACACACATAATTTGTTCTAGATTAAGATGTCTGCTCATTGGGGGAATTAAATATATTTTATAACTGATAAAGCTAATTGGCAAATAGGGTTCTAAAAAGACATCCAGCAGCACCAATTACAAGATTTGTCTAGTCAAGACAGGCAGTCACAATTGTATAATTTGCACCGATTCAAAGTATCCAGAAATGCACTGAGGGACTCATGAGAGTAATTCATTTGACTTGCTTGGTGTTATATGTCAGGAATAAATCATGCTTCAAGACCATGCTTTAATTTGCAGGAAATGCACTAAAAGAAAAAAACATGTTTAGTAGACAGCAAACAATTTATTCTACTCTAATCATGATTTAACAATACACCACTGACATAGTAATTTATTACTGGTATAGTGAAAGGTGCCATAGAATGAAAATCTGACTTTACCTCGACATAGTTGAATACGCAGAGTTTGGTACATGGAACTGGCATCCCATGAATCTCAAACGCTATTGTTCCCACTTTCAGATATAAATCCTGCACAAATAAACGAAGGTGGTAAAATGGGCAGATTTATAAATCCTGTTCTGTTACGTAACAGTCTTAGCCACGCCCCCAAACTTCACACACACCAGCCCACTTTCAAGCCCAATAGACCTGCACAACCTGCAGTATATGTCCTACACGTCAAGGAGCATGCATGCAAAGGGCACCTGGCACAAAAAGAACAATATACACTGACAGCCATTGATGTATGGTTATTTATTCCTAGTAGGCTAAGAAAGTTAGTCCCTATTCAGGGGTCCGTTTCCCAAAAGGCTCCGTTAACAACTTACATAGTTGGAACTATTCAGTTGCATGATTCCAGCTATGTAACTTGTTAATGTTTTTAGCAGCTGTGCTTCTGGGTCACGTGCTCGGGGCTGAATTAAAGCACAGAGAGAGTTTGGACAGCTTCAGATTGTAGCCGTGTATCACTGCTTTTCAGCTGCTGGTTTTAAAGTTGGAAGAATGATGGAATGTGTGCACACAACGATTAAAAAAAAGTAACAGACAAATAAAAATATTTTGTTTTTTATATTAAAGTAGATGTATTATCTGTATTCTCTTTCTTTAAAAAGTAACTACTGTACTGTAAATACTGCCTTTTCAAAATGTAACAGAGTACAGATCTTTGCATTCTGAATATGTATCGGCGTTACTTGTATTATGTTACTTTCCACCTCCGCTTACACAAACATAAATGGTATAGCATACTACAGTACATACGTAGGCTACAGTAAACTTTTTATACAAGTATAAAGAGTACACTATAGCGATAAAAAGTACAACATAGTAAACACAAAAACCAGTAAAGTAGTTGTTCATTACCATCATCAAGTATTATGTACTGTACATAATTGTATGTGCTATACTTTTACATGACTGGTGCATGACTAGAGATGCTAGTTCTATGTAAGCTGTTGCAGTGCCTCACTGTAAACCAGCCAATCAGAGTAGAGCTTATCAACATATTAATGAGCTCACCAAAATAGGGAAAACAGCCTGTTGCATTACAGATCAAATAAATAGTAAATTGGCCTGTAAAACTCATTCTGGGCCTTTTTCAACCAAACCAAGTTCACATGCCTTCATGTAGACATCAGAGAACAATTAAACATACTGAAAAAACACATTCTATGGCACCTTGAATAATTAATTATTAGTTATTTTGCCTTCATCTCTATGATATAATGTCTTTGTTTTCTTATAGACTGAAAGAGCCATCGGACCTGAAGGACGACCGCACAGAGACCATGCTGAACATCTACGATGACTGCAACATGATCACAGACGCACAGCACAGGCAATGCCTTCCTCGTACCCACAACACTCCCTTTCTTATGCTCCCATAAAGTGGGCCAGCTTATGCTTAAAGTCAGGCCCTCGTTAACCTGAAGAGATTGGGCCCTGACGTAGTTCGGCATGAAGAAAGCACCTGAATTCCTTCAGTAAACTCTCCCGAGGCCGAAATTAACAACATGGTCATTAAACAGAAGCTTTAGCTACGAGAATTCATGTAAATCATGTAAGTGATCCTCAAAATGAGAAATGTGGTGCCAGAAGGAGCAGACACAAGACTGAAATGATCTTGGAGGTTTGTAATACTCTCGGGGTGAATCTCAATACCAAGAACACAAAGACAGTACTTGTGGTCTTGGCAAGACCGATCTGGCTAACTTGCCATCCAATAACGAACTCGGGGTGCAGTGAATCTTGGGACTAGTCTGGTTGGGTGTGGATGCAAGTGATGTATCCTTAATATTTGGGGCAGAACAAGACCAACATCCAGAAAGTTTTACCATCCTCTGAACAATGGAAGATGCCGTGAAACAGGTACACGAACACATAAGTTTGGTCAAATACGTGTATTGAGATTCACCCTCTGAGTAGGGTTAATAAGCGGCTTTACTGAATCCCCGCTTACTCTGCAGAAATGACCTGACCGGTGCTGCAGAGGACAATCGCGACAAGGTCCCAGACAATCGCTCAATCAACATCCTGTCTGAAGACATGTCGCTTAAGAACAAGGACTACTACTGGTCGGGGAAGCAGAAGAACTCCACGGATGTGCCCGGTCGGAAAGAGATGCCTTTATAAAAGCAGTTCCCCAATGCGGTCTTTCACTGCACCATCGGGGAGCACCAGGACTCGTCAGCAACACCTTTATCTGGCATATGCTTCAGCACCAGTTTGTGGTAGGAGGCACAAGTGCTCAGGATTCACAGCCAGCGCGTTTGCAGGCGCCTGACCTGAACTGACTGATGTTGCTCATCTAGTTATAGCTGTAGGTTTTCCATAAATGGAATTAATGAATGTATGAACAATGAATCTGGAGGATCAGCTTACGCAAATAGATGATTTTTATAGAAAATATGGACTTTTTTTTCCAGATATTTTTGCCGAGCTAGAGTTCTCTATGATAATGAATGTTTAATGATCGATATTGACATTATTATATTGGTATTATTGCTGTAATAATCCCTATAGTTTTTTTCAATAGTATTTTAAGTAAACTAAAGCACAGTTTAGTTGATTTAATGAACAAATCCAGTCATTATAAAGATGCAGTAGATATAAATAGCAAAGCATGTTAGGTGTCTGATGGCACTGCTTGTTATTATAGCTGTAGATTTCTGTCCACGGCTGTCTTTAGCATTTGTGGTTAGGGTTTGATAAGAACATCGGAAAGAATTCTCTTAAAACTAAAGCTGGAAGCAGAAACCGGGCAACGACAAATGAAAGAGCAATGATCAAGAATGATCAGGTGTTGGAATTCATAGCAATCTTTGACTTTCATGGTGACAGAACGGGTTGAGAGATGATAACGATGCAGAATTACAACAGCAGCTCTCAGATGAATTTGACTTCCAGTTTAAATAACTCGGGAGGTACACGACAGTGCAGTACTGTACGAAGAGCCGCTTACAACAGGACTTCTGTGGAGATGCATGGTTTTAAGCCAAGCCAGTCCCACTCGTAATTTATGAAAATATTCAACAGATGTGGGGGGGTTATAAAAAAATTTATTGATTGTCTGAATTCACAATTTTCAAAGGCAAAATTGAAACATAGTATAACATGTTGTTTGAAGATGGATGACGCCAGTAATATGAAGACAAAAGCTGTCACAGATGTAACTTGGCTAAACTGGACCAAGAGGTATCAAGTGTTTCTGCTTGAAATGGCCCAGTATCAGTACAGGTTTATCCTAACCAGGTCTTTTTGGTATAACAGTCAACCTAGCCAACAATAAATATTATGGAGACAAAAAAATGATAATACCTTGCTTTATTTCCCTAAATCCATTTGCAGAGTCTTCTATTTACTAAAAGTCAAGTCAAATAAAATGTCTACCAACAGTGCCCCCCTCCCCCAACCTCTGAAAACCTTGGGCAGCAGTACCCCCTAATATGAAGTCATCACCCTTAAAACATAGTGGAGGCCCTTTTTGTTTTTTAAACCCAAGTCTCTGCAGCCTTGACTGCTCACCATAAAAGTGCATTAAAGAGTAAATAAATTGGTTGATTCAGTACACAGAACGGCTGGGGCCTTGGGGGGGAAACAGGGGGGCCCACCTGGACTCTGACACATTTTGCAGTTCTTTTGGCGGAATGCTGGCCAGGAAATCAAACATTCAGGCAGACCTCACAGTATGAAGGAACCCGTACTGATTCGTGGAACCGAAACCTGTCATCCCGTCGGAACGTGACTGTACACAAGTTAATGATCCATCTGCTACACGCTTTGTAATCGTCCTCAACGAAGACAAGGCCTCATTACTCATGCCTGAAGCTAAAAGCGGCCCTCAATGAAAGCGAGGAATCCCAGCCGCCCACCACAGAGACAAGTGTCTGATGACTGCGCCTATGCTCCAAAGCATCCAGACCGAAAACAGAAAAACTATTTAAAAAAAGGACAGACATAATGATTTTTAAAGCTGAAAAAACACTAAAATTGCTTAATACTGGCCTCCTGAAGTAATACGGTAAAGAAAGTGAAACATTATGACAAAATAGAGGTGCACAGGGAGCTGAACACTGGCCACCAGTTTGGTGCTCAGTGACTGAATGCACTAAGAAACAGAACTGATGAAGACCTAGACTGAACAGAACAGTGACCTTGGCCACCGCTATATGGTGAGATGCCCCGACATACACAGTGGTGTTTGGAAATGAAACAACATTAAAAATGAGACATCATGTGTGATTGGCTGTTACCCATCCATGTGCCAGGCTGCTGGAAATAAGGAAAGGGGGGAAGGGGGGGGGGCTACAAGCCATTATAGTGCTCAGTATTTAGTTTCAGTGTCTGTGTGACCACTTTGGTCCCTGCAGCAGCCAGAAGGCCAACGACGGCATGACCGGCGTCCTCTGACATCCTCACAGGAGGTCAGCTTGAAAGCAAAGTCTTAAAAAAAATCCCATTTCCGAGTCTCTCTTGCCCGGCGTTCAGCTCTGTACCCGGATGCCTGGGATGAAGGGCAAACCCGTGGACACCTTTCGCTTGTAGTCCAGGTAGTTCTCACCGAAGAAGTGGATTAGCGAGATTTCTTCCTCCTCAATGCGCTCGCGGAAGAAACGCCAGCTGGCTAGGGTGTAGCCGAGTAAGCAGACCGGGTTACATAGCATCACCTGAGCAGGGAGACAAATACACACTGGCTTATACAGCATCACCTCAAAATGTAGAAGGACGTGCATTTAGTAGTGAAAGCCAAATGAAGCTTCATGAACCATTTGCTGTATTTTCTGACTCCACTAGATGGCGATCTCTGTTAAAAAAAAAGGGCTCAAAGCAAACCAAGAGCACCATCTAGTGGAGTCAGAAAATACAGCAAATGGTTCAAGAAGCTTCATCTGGCCATCACTAGTGTTTAGGGTTGACCATTACATACAAGTGTTTGTACTATATTTATCCAGCCATATTTTACAACTGCTTAAGCAGTACAGGGTTGGAGGAGAGGCACAGGGCACAAAGCAGGGGACGGCGAAATGGAATGCAGACATTAAAACCAGTTTAGAGACGGCAATGGATGTAACTGCAGGAAGACTATGGGAGGAAACCGGGGTACCGAGATGGATCCTGTGGTCCGATTCCCAAAAGCTCCTGTTAGCGACTTACACAGTGGAAACCATTTAGTCACATGGTTCCAACTATGTAAGTTGCTAACTTTTTGGAAACTAACTTCTGGTTGACATGGAGAAAGAACACAAACTCACAGAACTGGGGGTAGGAATCAAAACAACAAAAAACAAGTAAAATGTTCATATTTATACTGAACTGATCCAAACACGTTTCCTATCCATATCTTAGCATTTTTATATTTGGAAAAATTGACTTAAGTAAGAATTCTTCATCCAAATTGACAGCATAAGACTGTAAAAATGATGTGACTATCTGCTCTTCTGACGACGTAGTTAAAAAAACAGGGCTCAGAATAGGAGACATGAGCTGAAAAAGTTAGTTTTACCAATATATGCAGTTATACTAAGAACCAATGTATTACTTGTTCTAAAATTCACCTGCGTGCCAATGCTCCAGTAGAACCAGCCAACGTATGAGGGGTGCCGGCAGAAGGCGTAGACCCCGCTGGTCACCAGCACGTGGCTCTGGGCCTTCTCGTTCTGGACCACGTGGTTGAAGTTAGAGCCGGCAGTCAGCATGGCGGACTTGCGCAGGCCCTCTCCGCACAACACCATGAGCAGCCCCAGCAGGCTGACCCAGCCCAGCTGCTTCAGCTCTGCGGGGGAAGAAAGAAGCAGCAGGGATCAGCCCACGGCCAGCGGGGATCAGCCCACGGCCAGCGGGGATCAGCCCACGGCCAGCGGGGATCAGCCCACGGCCAACGGGGATCAGCCCACGGCCAACGGGGATCAGCCCACGGCCAACGGGGATCAGCCCATAGCCACCACATCATACTGTGATGCACCCAGGTCCTCAGTCATTGGCTCGCAAAATGGGGAGCTAACAGGAACAAAGAAACAGATGTACGGTAGGGTAGCAACTAGGCTTGGGCAGTATTATGATAATATGGTACACCGTAAAATTCTGGGTATTACTGCAGTATACTGAAATCTTCTCAGATGAGACAAATAATATATGAACAGGCCAACTGGGGACTAAAACGGTGTTTTCTATTAAAACACCAAGTGTAAAAAAGCCCACTGATATTAAGCAAGAAGAGTGTGAGGAGTGGTAGGAGCACCTGGGAAGAGGAGTTTCTCGACCATGAACTCCACCCATGAGGACACGGCTGCTACAGTATACTCCACGCTGTGGTTGAGCAGGAAGGAATCCAGGGACAGGCTACGAGGGTTAATGATGGCCGTCACCAGGTACTCGGAGTAGTGGAAGAAGGACAGGGAGCACATGTACCTGTCAGAGAGGTCGTCACTGTTAAGTTGGTCCAGCTGTCAGAACCCCAGGTGAAAGAAATTTAGACAGTACTGGGTTAACCTCAACTACTGGTGCATACGTGACAAGCTGCATAAATGCTGTCTCCAAACTTCACAGACATTTCCAGACACTTCTAATAGCCTTTTCACACCTTTCCACAACCTTATCACTGTCGCAAAGAAAGAGAACCACATCCTCAGAAGAACGACGAACATTTGCCAGAACTGAGGAAGACAGATCAAGACTTTTGGCGACCTAGCAACCAAACAGGCAAAAGAAACCAAAAGAAATTCTACAGAAAAGCTTACGTCTACAGCCCGGAACACGCCAAGCCAATTTTGGGCCTTTGGAAACTGTCACAGCATCGGTGAGAGTTGGTGACCGCCTGTCGTGCCGGTGTGTGTAGCAGTCAGACACGGTTAGTCACCATCGGTGCCGTTTTGGCCAATTTAGTATGCTGAATCGGCTTCAGAGCTAGCTGGCGAAACTGAGCTCTCTGATTGGGCAGCATGTCAACTGTCACCTCTAGTCGTGCCGATGTGTTCCAGCACAAATTTTCACAATCAATGGGAGCTGATGGCAGCCAATGTCAGCTGATGGGAGCCGATTATTTGTCGTTGTTGGTCTGCACTAGTCTTTTGCCGTCGGCTTGGTGTGTACCCAGGTTAAGGTTGTGGTCAAGTTCTTGGCTAATAGTTGAAGAGAAAGACAGCCTTCCCCTAGCAACCTAGAAATTGTTTTAAGCATGCCCTTCTTCCTGTTGAACCTCTGTAGAATGGTGCTGTTTTTTGTATGACAAACTGTCTACCTTGCATGCAATAAAGGGCTTCCATATTTACCAAGCTTATCGCCTTGTCTGACTTGTGATTTAGAAAAGTTCCACGATACCCATTAGCTTGACGGGGGTCAGTGCAAACAGAACAAAACAGAGAATCTCCTTCAATTAATGCAAATACCGCACTGTCATTATACTTAACACCAGGCGGAAAACTTTTTAATAGGCAACATATACTGGCCAAAAAAAGTTGCACACATTAATATTAACATTTTGTTGGACCACTTTTAGCTCTGACTATGGCATTCGTCGTCGCATTATTTATGCAATGTCTCAAGATTCATTTTTGTCCAGATTTACATGGATTTGTAACCAAGATTTATACTGACGACAAGAAAGTCGAACCGCTCTGTAGTCCTGACCAGCACGTCCTAAAGACTTTCAATAATTTGGTGGACAGTTCTTAACCAAATTGCAATACTTTCCAAAAAGTCCTTAGTAGTTTTCTTTGCTTTATGTAAGTCAATGATTTCCCCCCTTCTGAAACGCTGTGATATCTTTTATGTGATCACAAGACATGTCTTCAGATATGGTTGTTTGGAAATAAGGTACACACTGCATCAGCTAAAATTAAAGGAATTATTGCCAGCTGAAACACGGGATAATTATGCATTGCAATAATGATCCAATCGTTGGCTCTTATGTATTAGCTTATTTAAATTCAAACAGCAACGTTTTTTTGGCCAGGGACTTTATAACAGCTATGCGACGTCATCTTCTTGTTAGTCCCATCACAACATTCGTAGTTAATTCTCATTTTAATAAGGGTTTCGTTGTGGGAAAATATATGCACTAGACTTGTTCCCCGCACCACAAAGCTGAAGAACGTATGGATTTAATATGCAACTCCATCCCAGCCCTGGGAAATCCTAGGGGTCTGACGTAGTTTGTGAGGGTATCTTACCAGCCAAAATGCGTCCATGTAGTCTCAGTGAAGCTGATCAACAAGCCACACCCGAAAGCGCAACCCAGGAAGCAGGCTCGCACGGCGACCTGGGGGCCGTAAGGGAGGTGGGGGGGATCAGCTTCTGCTCTCAAACGCCACTGCACTGGGCAGCAAGCGTTTCAAAACAGTCCATAATGACTGCAAAAAATATCATATTTTCCGTATTTGATTTTATATTCAGAAATAACTAATAAATTGAATGTAGGAAGTAAAAACATCTCCACACTTTTTCATCCCACTTTTAATAAAGATTAATTCCGTTACGTGCAGCTCGGGTTACCTTTTTCTTTCTGCTGACTTTGCTTTACCGCTTCCAGTTCACGTTCGTTTTACAACGCGATATTTACCCCAAAAATATCTTTATAAAATTCAATGAGTAAAAATACCGGTCAGGACCATTTGCCTAACTCTCGGCCTCTCTCTCTTTCTAGGCTTATGTAGCTACTGTATGCAGAAGTGCACAGTAATTAAGAAACTAAGCATTCAGCTGTCAACTGTCATGCCGGGAATTGCTGTCAGCTGCTTAAAAGGGGGGAAATTCTGCCGGATCCCCTGGTTAAGTGGTCACATGTACAACATCACTGTAACGAACAGGTTATATTAGTTGTAATAAGATTACCTAACTATACATAACCCAAATCCTAATACGACCAGGCTAGCTAGATTAAGGGCATGCCCAGGCAGACAGGCACAATGTCAATAGTTTTCGATGCTATACAGAATGCAAATGTGACTAGTAGTTCAGACCTAAAGCATCTTTCAAGTGTCAGACTAAGCAACCACACAGGATTAAAGTGGAAAAACAATTTAAAAATGATTTAGAGTCTTACCTTATGCAGGGGTCCTTTGTAAATAATTAGCAATAAACCTTGTACAACCCCAATATATACCGCAATTGCTATTTTTCCCCTTATTCCAGAGAAATACTCGAAAACCCAACCGATGTGTGATCCTAGCGACGTAATTACAGGAATCAAAACAACACCCATTCCCAAAAAGAAGCTGATTATACTTATTCTTCCTTCTAAGACTAACTTATTGCCTGCCATGTTGGTAACCGAGCGCTCTGCTGAAGCATCGCGATCTTTTCTAAATTTACCCGAGTCAAGCAGGTACGGCAGAGAAGCTGGGCAGCCGCAGGCGTCCGCCCGCCGCCCTGACGTCATCAAAGCGCGTCGCCCATGTGGAGTGACGCCAGGGGTCGGATTAATTAAATCTCAAACCGAGGCCTTTCGGATCTGAAGGCTAAAGGAACGACTTAGTCAAGAGCAGAGCATTTTGGGGAAACATGCACATTTACATTTATAACAGTTATAATAATAGCATTGATTTGATATCCAGTAACCGTGTCATTAACAAATACGTGGAACGAATTGGTACAGATTAGATGTGAATGATCTGACAATTATTTACGGAATATTAAAATTTTAAATTAGATGTAGTAAAAGTTCAAATATTTTCTAACACGTATTTATTTGAATAATAAAAAATGTCTATAGGTATGATTCAGTTATTTAGTACAAGGACCCTATCTCAGGCTACAGCATGCATGTCCGGGAGAAACTCGCAACGGCATATAATCCATTGCAGGACACATTTACATACACTCACACACTATAAGTAATGTAGGACCTCCATTCATCCAGTTTCAAGGCTTCAAACAGCCAATCTTGCCGGGCAACAGTGATCCAACTATGCTTCTAGTTACACTTACAGTGGACCCTTTACTTACGAACTCAATTCATTCGCGAGGGCTGGTCGTAACTCAAGTTGGTTGTAAGTCAAGACTATTTTCCCCATAAGAAATAACGGAAATACCCATAATGCGTTGCGAACCTTCCACAGCACCCCTTCCTAACCCTCTCATAATAAAAAGAGATGTATAACGTGCGTAATATACCAGAACCACCAATAATTTTACCAGTGTGCTCGCCATCATTTAGCCACACTAATAATAACCTGCAGTGGATCGGTCAGGGTTCATTTCACTGCATATTGTACTTGTTATAACTATGTATGTGACAAATAAAGAATCTTGAATCTTGAATCTTTCTACCTCGTCTAACTCTGTTCATCGTGACTTACTAATTTGAGGTACACCTTTAGCAACACTACCTTCCTTATACAAATCTTTTCTTTGTAAGATTGTCGAGATGGTGGATTTCAACATGCTGAACATATTAGCGAGATAAATCACACGAACGCCACTCATCTATCTGCACAATTTCCTTATTCGTTTCGATTGTGATTGCTTTCTTTACCTTCTCTTCCTTCCTTCCTTAGCTTTTTTTCTAGCTTTTTTGGGCGGCATTTTGATAGCAATTATCGAAATTAACTATATAAAGCACCGCAATGACCGATATTACGTCCGGCCACCTCAGTTTTGTTCATAACCGCATAAGCGGACACAGGTTTCGGTCTCGACCGGCATTCGGGTCATAACTCAAGACTTCAGTCGTAAGTCAATGCTAAAATTTTGGTCGTAACCCAAAGTTGTTCGTATGTCAGGCCGGTCGTAAGTCGAGGGTCCACTGTACCTCTGTCGCTGTCGATCATTTATTTTTTGTGACGTCTGTGTAATTTCTGACTTACAGAAGTCTGTTGAGTAGCTTCTCGATGGTTCCGACCCTCACTCAGATTGTTCTCCCCATGTTGTACATTTTTATTTCCACTTCGGTTCCCTCTCAGGATTTCTTGTCTGTCCCCCAGTTGTATGCATCCCCTACAACGAACTGCTATTCCATCAGAAGTGTTCCTGTGCCTTGTGCTGCACGATAGGTGGCAGTATATCTACTGTATCTCTAAGATTACAATTGTAACTATTAACCATGTAGCGGATGAAGAACTTGACGGTGATTAGTCGAAATATGTGATAATTAAATTACCGGAAGTTATTGATTGATTTACTTGATTTATTTCCTAAATATATTAGGATAGTGTAAATCTAGCAGCTCTTACCGATTACAGTAGGGTATATGAAATGTGGGGGGGGGGGGAAGCAATTTTAAACATTATTTTTATTAGTTGGTATCATCGTTTTGAGATTTCATGCTGCGGATGGATAATTCTGTTGCTTTATAAAGCTCTTGTTACATAGAAGGAATTGTGTTAGAAATACGCCGCATTTTTCTACTCATATTGAAATATATTTTAATAACAGGGTTGCCAACTTCCACGTATCTGGCGTGTCACTGACGCTTTCAGATTCTCACGCTCGCGCAAGAGATCTTATGACAAATCTGTATTATTCCATTATAAACCTAAAATTAGCTACATCAAAAGCGTCAGGGCAGTTTGCAAACCATACAGACTATTTACAAGGTAATAAAACGGTTTAATGCATGTAAATGAGTGTGCATGTGTGTGCAGACTTGTATCGAATTGAAAATCTCACGCAAGCCAGCTGACCAAATTTGGAAGCCCTGGTTTATAATATGAATTTACGAAGTCTTGCCTTAATTCAGCCTTTTTGCGTTCGACTAAAGGTATCTATGGAGCCTATGAGTACCGAAAAAAAGATTCTCCATTTCGGATCCCATTTCCTACCTTGACGTTCCCACCTTCCTGTCAGTTTTCCTCTCACTTGTAGCGTTGACTTTATATATTTATACAAATGTGTCAATTAATAACCCAGACTTCTATTTCCGTTTGTTTGCAACCAAGCAATTATGTGAATGTGCTGTTTTGGGTGACTGATAAAACAATTAGAAATATATAAAACAAGATAATATTTATCTTGAACAAAAGTAAAAGTAGTAGTTTGGTGGCCTAATGGTTAGGGAAGAGTACTTGTAGGCCTAATTGAAAGATTGCTGGTTCAAATGCCTGACCAGCAAGGTACTGCCCCCAATCACTGTTCCCTGGACACTGAATTAACTGCCCCCTGCTATGTCACATCCAGGTTAAATGCAGAGGACACATTTCATTGTTGCACACTGTTGTGTGTCAACACTGATCTCTAAATTCTAGTGATACTTCCTTAATCCCCATGGGGAAATTGTCTTCTCACCTACCCCATCTTGCTCTCCATGACATGTATGTAGGTGAGCTTAGCAGCAAAGGGCAGCTGCCTGCAGTGTCACCATGGATCTGGAGGGGGGGTGGTTAAGGGCCTCACTTATGGGCCCACAGACATGTGCCTATTTTTGGGCTTGAACCTGCAACCTTCTGATCACAGGTGCAGAGCTTTAGCCTGCTGAGCCATACACTGCTGACAGCCTTCCAAGGTTGAGTATATATCTTCATTTTGTTTGCGGTCACCGTTTGCTTTGTTTCTTCACTATTAGCCTTTTTTAAAAAGAATACCATGCCCTACTGCCATAAAGTTTGTCTTTGCCCATAAACGGGAACAGATTCTGATCAGTGGATAAATGAGGCCTTTCTGGACTCTCTTCTTAATGCATCTTAGGACCAGATAGTCTGTCTGAAGGTATGGTGAGGTCATGTCACCACAGTGTGGAAGACTGATGTTATTTGTTTCAAGCTGGATACTGTTGCCAAGACAATTCGAGGGTGTCTTTTCAGAGACTGCAGCTGTCAAAAATAGCAGGCCCCTGTCGTGTTAAAGGTCAGCATGTTTGATCTCATTAAAATTCTACTTTTAAAAATAAGGGTTTCGTGAAATACATCATCCTCTTCATACGTGGCCCATGGTGTCACACTTCAGGTGAGTGGAGCCGAACTTACGGGTAAGCGGGGTTTATTTAGGGTAGACTGGCGACGAACACCAAACATGACATGACACCACAATGACAGATCTGGGGAATACTGACTTAGACGCGAACTAAATACACAAGACAGGCTGATCTTAACAAGCAACAGGTGATTACAATCCGGAAGTAACACGAGGTAACGAGGGGGGCGTGGCACACACGAGGATCGGACGAGCCGGGCGTGACACATGGATGATTCTTTAGTATTTGCTCACCTTTGTTGACTCCTTCAACTCAGACAACATGATGTTTTCAAAAGTGAAGTGGACGTAGGATGGAGAAAATCATTATCTGACAGTTCATGTCTTGGTTGGAGGCATTGCAGCACTAGGTTTCATCCAATGGACGTTTCAAACTGGTATAAACAGATATATTTAGTTTTATATAAGTGTCAGCATAAACACTGTAATTGAAAGACACTTTAATTGTCACTTTCCAGGTGGTCTATAACAATAAATAATTAAATACTTAATTATTAGGTTAATGCAGCCAACAATCGCAATTTACTTGAATGTGCCTGGAATTTACTGATAATCACACAGAACAATTGCTATGTAGATTTTTTTCTTAACAATATTTCAGGCAATATTTTTCTTCTGATTTGCTGAAATAGGGTACATGTTCCCAATATGTGGCATGTAAACATTTCAGACTATATCTTTCTGAATAATGACCCGCAGTATAAATGGCCGATTCGCTCCCATCCCGCAGTATGAGCCGTAGGAGCTGCAGGGCGAGATGACGCTCACAGCCCTGCTATTCACGACGGCCACTTGCTGAGTGTGAAAAGGAAAAACAATTTAAGAGGATAAGGACCAAAGTACAAGTTGAGCTGATTAATTTTTTTTTCCTCCTTTAAATACAGACACTTAACTTCACACAACACTCCAACTGGAAGCTGATGAAAGCCATTATTCCATCTCTTTGGATTCAAAAGCCACTATGATTAGGCGGGCAGTTATAGGACAGTTTAATGCCGCACTAAAGGGTTTTGCTAAAGGGCATTGGGGAAGTTCCCAGTATCCTCAGACACTGCTTGCTTGTCTTTGTCTCAGTTTTTCAAAGCTTAGATAAATAAAAGGGAACGCAGCGCTTCTAATAAGATACCACAGGGGAGTTAATTTTCAGGGTCTCCAAGTGAAGTTCTGAGTGTGCGGAAGTGAGCATGAAAAAGTTCAAAGAAAGTCTGACCCTAACATCACATATCAAATGTCTTTATTACACTGCCAGTTTTTCTTTAAGAAGTTTTCGTTGTAATACCTTATGCGAATGAGCAAGATTAAGTTGTGGTTTTGTTGTGCCTTCTGAGACGAAATGGAGAATCATACATGACTATTTTTATCTTGAGGTCAACTTTGTAAAGGCCTTTAAAGTGAATGCAATGCTTGCTAATTGGGACGCAAGGTCATTCATTTGAAACCCTTGGTTACTCCGTAACTAAGTGTGTTTATTAATAAGCCAGAAATCCATGCCAGATGATTATTATTCAACAGCTGTATTGACCCGTTTCAGTAATTCCCAGTCCCCGATGAGGACATTGTCTGAGAAAGGGTTCTTTGACAATGGTGTAAAGATTCTTGATTTAAAATGGATTAATTAATATAGATAAACTGTCCAGGCTTGACCTTCACTGTGCACTCTGCTTAAACTTCTCCAGTCCCAATAGGGAATAACCATGACCAGTTAAAAGTTCTGGAGAAATAAATCACAGGAACACAGAGTGACTCAATATATTCAATTTCAAAACTGCTAAGTATATTAATTTGCAAGTCTACTGTAATCAATACTACTTAAACATCAAAACTACTTGCTTCCTACATGAAAAACATTGGATCTGTTGCAAGAAACAATTCGTCTTTTGCAACATATGAAGACATGGCTTGCTGTGTAATATTTGCATGTTCCTTTTTACAGAATGTTGCAGTGTAATCATTACGAAATATTAACAAATACTTTAGTTAAGGGGGCACACTTATCCACTCACAGCAGCTAGTGGGCTTAGGTAAGTTGGCTGCATCAGTGTATGATCATAAATGGTTCTTTTTATACATGATGCCAACTTTTGCATAAGACACACATTGTGTGCGCGGCTGAGGGTGTGTGTAATCTGTAATCCCATGCATCATGACAATAACGTAACTTTGAAATCCACGACAAGGAATTGGAGCAAACTGTTCATGCATTCTACCGTGAATCAGGAATTTGAATCTGGCTGCAGTCCTTGTGAGAACATCTTAAACACATACACTTTATTTGCACATAGGAAGTTGCCCAACTCCTAATATTCTGCCTAGATAGCAGAATTTATTGGGGAGGTCACAGCCTTGTCTAGGACACACCATTAAGTTTCCAGCTAATTTATACTTAACTCAGAATAACTCAAGAGAGCACTAACATACCATGAAGTGATTAATTGTTGTTGCTGACACACCACAGTGCACAACAATGAAATGTCCTCTGCGTTTAACCCATATGTGACATAGCAGGGGACAGTTATTATTTATCACCAAGGGGGACAGTGCTTGGGAGCCTTGCTCACTGGTCAGGGATTCAAACCAGCAACCTTTCAGTCACAAGTGGGCTTCCCTAACCATTAAGCCACCACTGCCCCATCCTTAGCATGACAAACTCATAAGATCTCTCAAAAAATGAATAAGCTGGACATCATGAAGATTATAACAATAAATGGGGAATCATCGGGAAAACACATCAAGACGAAGTTCAGCAGAAATCTCTACCACTTACGCATCAGTTGCTGTGGTGGTAGATCTGTCAGGAGCCCCCTGTTGGGGGGGGGGCATAACCCTCCTGTTATTCTTCGAAGACTCATGGTCCAGAAGCCTGCGGCAGCTACACCAGGAGACCACAGACTCAAACATGTTTCCCCCTAACCCTACCTCTCACTCATATGGTGAGTTTCCCTGAAAATGAATTCAACCCTGTTGCAAGCATTCAATTTACACCATTTTTACAAATTACTGCAAAAGAATTTGCATGAAAAATCACCTTCTGCAGGCAAAGAAAGGCTTGTACTGATAAAATGAAAAGATGTTGAAAGTGACAAGTAATATACACAGTGGTATCCATAAATCGATTTACTACAGATAAATATGTATTCTGCTTGTATTCGATGTTTCTAATGAGTCATTTTGGCACCTTTACGTAGACCGAGACTTTCACACTTCTTATGACTGCAGTATTCAGACACACCCCTTCATCTAAGGCAAGTGTCAATCAAAATATTTACGTCAATCCATACTGCCTGCAGAATCAAATATAAAAATATATGAATGTGCCCACAGGCACTCTTTGTGACCCCCTCCTGCCCCAGTCCTCCTCACTGGGTGGAAGCTGGGTCGATGGACTGGTAGGATTGCTGGTTCTGGCAGTCAATTGTGATTCCTGCAAGGGGACAGGAGAAAATCAGGCCACAAAGCTGTTTAGTCACATCAACTTAGAAGCTGTAGCTACAAACGATATGCCAAAAGGCTAATTTAAAAATCACTGCTTATTGCGAATCTCTGTCTGCACCAATGCAGATCCGTCACCCTGTGGTGTAGCTTACATGTTGATATTTATTTCATTGTTAAATTAATATTATTACTCTTCATTGCTTGGCTGCATATAGATCACACAATTCCCTAAACATCTCTATAAATGCTATACTTTCCCACCTCAAAGCATGAGAGAACTCAATTTCTGTCCCGGAAAGAGTTTCCTTTTGACAATTATTTGTCAGTTTGTCAATTTTTAGCTATGTTAAAATATGCTATTATTTTCTTGTCGGGCCTTGTATTGTGTTATGTGTAGCGATGCTGCAAATACACTGGCATCAAACAGAATTCACAAAATGTCTGACGAACAAAACCAGGGATGGGATTAGCCTGTCATACCCATTGTCCATTTCCTCATTTAATGCTTAACCAATGTTCACGGCCACTGCCAATATCAAATATTATACGGCGGGTGGTCTAGCTCATCTTTAATGATACATAGAGAAGGCTGAAGTCATACAGGTTGGTCTGCGTGGTGGCTGGGGTCCCGCACATACCTGGACTCAAGGCCATTTCCTTACTTTATAAGGTAGTAGCAGCATTTTTAAAGCCACACGGTGTTTTACAGGGAACCAGATTATTTTATGGAAGATTGGAGTGAAGCTCTGGTGCTATTAAGGCTTTTTGTATATAGTACAGGGATGGCCAACCGGTCCAGATAAAGAGGTATAAAGCATCTGACACCACAGCAAAGAACCACAGGCTGCTGGCAAGCTGCAGGTTCCTCTCCCCGGATATAGAACCCAGGAGATGCTCAAGTAACCAGATTAGAAAACAATATAGAGAAACCACGCGGACATTTTTTTTCCAGAAAACATAGTTCAAGATACAATAACAATTACAAAGGTTAAATTATATGGACACACCTCAAGGCTAAACTTAAAACATAAGCATATTGAAATAACTGGAAGTTATTTTTGAGTTCTTTGGAAGTGACTAAACCAGCTTGGCTTAAGAAAAGGTGGGTTCAGTCAGGCAATAAGTCTGATGAATGCTCTTCACATGATGCCTTAGTTCCAGGTGGGTCCCAGCCATGATGTTGGAAGCGGACCCCCCCCAGCCCTTTCCCAGAACTGCCACCCATCCGGTTCCCCTCGACGACCTTGAGTGGATCCCGTTTTCATTCCTCTCCGCCATTCCCTTAACAGTGTCACTCCTGCCATCCCCCAAACACACTCTCCTTCTTTTCCTCCAGTCCCTGTGCCATGTGGCTCCATTCATTGCCCAAAGCAAATCTTACTCTTGGTTTTATAACATTTGAGCTTGCAGGAATTATTCATCGTAAGCTACATTTTTAATGTACAGATAAGCCAGTGAAGAGAGCAGTGGGATCCATTAAACCACAGGTCGCATGCTGTTTGTCAGCTTCCAGGCAAATAATTTACCTTATTTATTTAAAGGTATGGTACCTAATATGTAATTTAAGAGCAGCTATTGCCACCTTCCATAATATCAGTGGATCACACCCCATTCACTCCCCTGCATTCCAATATTAATTGGGGTTGTAACCACATAAACTTTAATGGCCATGTTCTGAACTTGTTTGTTTATTATTGGAAACTGGCAAAATGGTATTGATTCAGGGACAACCATCATGATGGTGTGTTTGAATTGGAACATTTGAATTTGGTTAAATTGGTATACGCAAGATTTTTAGGACATTTAACCTCCTGAGACCCAAGGAAAAAAGTGTCCTTCAATTGTAGGTTATTTGTCTTTGGAGGAAATAAGACATCTTACAATTTAGATTTTTTCAAATTTATTCTTATTTCAATTTCACAGCATGTCCTCTTTAGTGCACAACAAGAATAAATACGTTTCCCAACATCAATGAAAAAATAAATGCAAAAATACAATGTCCACTACAATGGACATAAATGAATAGGTCGGGTCTCAGGAGGATAAATGCAAACCTATACAATTCTAATGGTGTTGATGTTATGTCGTAACGTTGTGGCCCAATGCATTAGTCACGTGTTTGTGGTGATGTTGGTGTAAACAATCCTACTACTTTGCCAGTCATATATAAGTATAGCACAAATAATAATGTACATTACACATTTTACTT